CCCATCCTCGACCGTGATGGAGTGCCTGCCAGACACGGCTGCCTCTCAGTTTGCTTGGAGCATGGCTTTTATACCAAAGGACTGAATCTGGCCCGCACTTGGGCCATCAGACATTGTTCTCTGCTTTCAGACTGAGAAGAAGTTTCCAGAAGACTAATCATGCAGGTGGTGGGGGCCCTACTCCAAATGCAAATTTCATTTTAGGTGTGATGTCTTAGTTACCTGAAAGCAGAGAATATTTGCCCATTATTGTTATAATTCTGGGCACAGAACAGGGGTAGCGGCCCACAGCTTGATGGTTTAAAAGAACAACCATTTATCAGCTCATGAATACGTGCCCCACCTGCAGGCTGGGCCCGCTGGGTGGTTCTTCTGCTGGGCTCGGCCAGGTTCGCTCCCCGTCCACGGCCAGCTGGCGGTCGGGGGATCCACACCCTGCACGGCAGTGGCTGCAGCATATCCAAGGGCAAGCTGATGCACAACTGCCTTTCCAGCCCTGGCTGGCCTCACGTTTGCCATGATCGCGGGCTCGACACAGGACCAACCCATATTCGAGGGATGGAGAAGAGGACTCTACCTCCTGGGGCAGGGGCAGAATTTGTGGCCATTTTTGCCACCTGCTACTGTGGGTGTTCACAGGCATTTTCGGGGGTGCTTTGTCGCCCTGTGCGCGCTCCACCGGGGGCTGCTCACGTCTCTGTGTTCTTCATGGCCCCATAGAGCAATGGCTCATTTTGTGGGGTTTCTCTTCCATAGGCAGTGGCTGAGCCGCTCCACCTCCCCCTGGCAGGAGTTGAGGCAGATGCGTCTGCTTCCCAGCAACTAGCGCGGGGCCGGCGAAAGCTCATTCTGTGCATATTTATTAAACAACTCATTGAACATGTTGAATTGAATTGGATATGAAATGGCTGCAGGTGAGTGCGTTAATTAGACCCAGGATCTGAAACTCCAGATGGGTAGAATGTAAATTAGCAGCGCTTTTTAGAAGCATTCCCCCAAACCTCCCCGGACACCCACCTTGACCCAGCAGAACTTCCCGTGAATCACAATGGGTGAGGCTTTCAGCCTTTCTTAGGTCACAGCCCCATTGAGAAGCTGATGAAAATAAAAGCCCTTCTCCCAGAAGAGAAGGCTCCTTGCATCGGCTCTGTCGGGGCTCAGTTGCGGAGAATAGACTCCACGCCAACTTGGTAAAATAGGAAGGAATTCACCAGGGGTTAGCACAGGGCCAGAGGGAGCCTTAGCGAGGCTGAGGAAATGGATTCTGAGCTGCAAATTCAAGAACAACTTTGAAAGCAAAACTGAGCCAACAAAGAAAGCTCTTGGCTCTTTGCTAGCGGGATGTCAGCTGGGAAGCTGCTGCTATAACCTCGGGTTCTGGAGCCAGAGCCCCACTGCCACCATCAGAGAGTCTGAAGACCGCTCCCAGAAGCCACCCACCTGGGTGCTTGCCTGTGAGAGCTTCAGCAGTGGTAGACCCCTGCCTTACATGTACTTCCTTTTTTAAAAATTTTATTCATTTATTCATGAGAGACACACAGAGAGAGGCAGAGACACAGACAGAGGGAGAAGCAGGCTCTACTCATGGAGCCTGACATGGGACTCGATCCCGGGTCTCCAGGATCACCCCTTGGCTGAAGGCAGCGCTAAACTGCTGAGCCACCCGGGCTGCCCCATGCACTTTCAATTAGATGCAAGTGTATCCATTAATAGCACCTGACGACTTCCTACAAGGCCTTCTGGGATAGACGGACCATGGTGGATGGAGGGAGGGAGCGATAGTGGGATGGGTGGACAGATGGATGATGATGAACAGGTGGATGGATGAAAATAAAAAATAGGACACAGTACCCTTGGGTCATCCCTAGCCCAGCCTCTCTATTCATGAGTAGCCAGCACCGAAGTGCAGAGACCTTGGCTGGGCTGGGGCCCGCGACTCCTCCCCCAGCTGCAGCGGCATCCTGCATCAGTTGCGGGAGGGGTGCTACACTTGAAATCACAAATTGGGCCAGGAAGCCCTGGGAGTCACAGAATGGCCCCTGTTGCGACTTCCTACCACCCTCCCTCTTGGCCGCTGTGCAGGCAAGAGCATCAGGAGACCCGAAATCGAGCTGACCTCCCGGGGAGTGACGGGCCCGGGGTCTGAGCTGCCCGTAGTGAGTCACACCTCGGGCTGGGACTGAAAACCCAGCTGAGGGCGACGACCAATTCTCCAGGAACAGGAAAGTCATCTGGAGGCTGAATTGACAGTTACTTACCCCAACCCCTCAAATGGCTTTTAACAAAGCAATTTTCAGCATCCAATTAAGTTGTTATGGACTATTAGGATCACTAATTGTTGTGTATTTAATAGGAGAAACTCGCGCTCGAGTAGCTATTATAAATCCACTTGCTGGATGCTGATGGTTACACTGCTCTGGAGAGCCCAGGCAAGCCCGATTTCTGGGTACGTGTGTATGGAGCCCATCATTGAGGACTCTTGACTCATTGGGATATAAATGTGGATAGTTTTCTCAGTAATTGCTTCTGACTGTGCTGTCAGGCCCTGTCTCGTCCCTGCTCTTTCCTGCTGAACAGCAGGAAATCTGGTTGAGAGCTCACCCCGATTCTATTGCTGTTACTGTGGGAAGGATACCAGTCAACTGCCTGGGATTGAATCTTACCGGTGTGACCTCAGGTGTGTCCTCGAACTAGGGATCATTGTAGCTCCTCCTTCTTCCAAGCGTGCAGTGCAGACCGAGGGAGACAATGTGTGGAGGGCTGCGATAAAGCAAGTTATGCTTGTAGTACTGCTGAGGCAGCCTCATTATTTTTTCTGCAACTTGGTCCTTGGTTTGTTTTAAAATGTTATTGTGCTATTTGATTCAGACCCTTCTCCCTTAGTACCCCTCTCCCATTGCTTTGGCCATGACTTTTGTTCAGGCAAAGTAAGAAACGGATAAATGGATGTTTGGATGGGTGAGTGAATGGAGAGAATGGAGTTGGCTGGTTGGATGGATAGGTAGGTGGGTGGGCGGATGGATGAGTGGGTGGATGAATGGACGGGTTGGTGGATGGATGGGTGGGTGAGTGGAGAGATGGATGGTTGGATTGATGTGTGGTTGGGTGGGTGAGTGGATAGATGGATAAATGGGTAGATGAGTGGATGGTGGGTGGATGGATGGTGGATGGATGGGTGGTTGAATGGACAGATGGATGTGTGGATGGGTGAGTGGGTGAATAGATGGATGGGTGGATGGGTGGGTGAGTAGAAAGATGGATGGGTGGATGGAAGATGGATGGGTTGGTGAGAGGGGGATGGGTGACTAAGTGGATAGATGGATAGATGGGTGGATGGGTGGATGGATGGTGGGTGAATAAATGTCATATTTGATTCAAGGTCTTCCTTTCTCCATGTCCCCCTCCCACTGTGCCAGCCCTGACTTCTGCCAGGGGAGCAGCCAAGTGAGGAGAGTGGAAGGGTCTGTTTACATCATGCCCCACCCTCTTGGCTTCCCTAGGTGCTCCAGTGTGTGTGAGGTGGAAAGAGGGAGAAGAGATGGCTCCTTATCTGACTGGGGGTGAGGACACCATCCCACCCTTGGTCAATGCCACTGCTGTGGTTTGAGTTCCCCCTCCCACCCTCAAGGGACCCCCTCGGTCCAGAGGGCTAGGCTGGTCCTCTGGGAAAGGAGACCCCTAGTGAGCATCCATGTTCCATCGCCCTCATTCCTGGCTGTGAGGGGCTCCCTGACCCTTCCCTCACTTTGTGGTCCCCAGGAAGCCTGAATTCCCATCTCACCCAGCCTCCAAGCCCACTTGGGGCCCCCGGTCAGGCACGCCCTGTCACTTGTACTGCTCAGAATAGTCCATGTCTGACCACCCTGGACACACAGCAGGCGGGAGCTGAGGGACACCCAACTGGAGAATGACACACCCATCTGCCCTTTCAGACACGTCCACACCATGTGTGAGTTCTGAGCACCAGGGTTCCTGCCTCAGGGAGGGGAAGGGGACCCTGCCCACGGCGGCCATGGCCGGGCGGGGGAGGGCGAGGTGGGTGTGCTGGTGGTCTTAGACTTTCTCCCAAGCCCCACGCCCAGGTGGTGCCCAGCAGCCTGGGGTTCTCCTAAGCCCAGAGAGCTTGGCTTCTTTCCTTCTCAGCCTGTTGGGCTGGAAGCCCCCAATGCCATTCTGCAGAAAGTCTAGGAGCCATTGTGTGGGCTTAGGGAATAAAATCATCTACCATCCTGCAGAGCCTCCTGGAAGATTCTAGTAGTGCCCTCTTGAACTATGCCGGGAAGAACAGGAATGGACAGTCTGTCCGGGGCGCCAGGCTGGGAATTTCTCGAGGAGGTCCCCCCCGGGCTCCACAGGCCACGTAACACTGTCCACACCTCCCCTTCTGTCCAGGTGCACATTCTGTCCTCAGAAAGCAAGCTCCGAGCAGGCTTTGCGGGATGTGTGTGGAGGCTGTAAGCCGACAACAACTCAGGGGTTCTGACCTAGGGGGAGACCCCCACGTGAAGAAGACTGGAATCAGAGACAGACAGGGGGCAGACGCTAGCCCTCCTTGGTGATCCCTGTCCCCAGCCTCGGGGCACTGGCCCTCTCTGCAGCCCCCTGGCTGCCCCGGGAAGGGCTGGCCCAGTGACCCTGCCCCTCCTTGAATTCTGGGGGGGGCTCTATTCCTTGGCTCATGCCTCCCCGGGAGGACTTGCCAGCACTCAGGTGAGATGCGCCCTTACGGTGGACACTTCGGTCGTGATTTGTTTCTCTCCCGCCACATGGAACACAGGGTGGGAATCCACTCACTTCCCCCGAGCCTCCTGCCAGCACCCCTGCACCCCGGAACCTCTCTCAGACATTCACTGACTTCTGAGGAGGCAGGGACAATGCTTTTTCATCTCTTCCTCAAGAGCATCCAGTGTGGCACCTGCTACAAGTTGGTGCTTGCAAACTTGCCAGAAGGTCGGGAGAGCAGATAGAGGAAAGGGACCCCGGGAGCACAGAATGTTCCTTCAGTCCAAGCCTGCTGCTTGTTCTGGCGGCTGAGATGTGGGGTAGAGACGGCCACACAGCCAGCGGGAGGGGCTCTCGGCCAGGCTGGTTCCAACTCGGGGGGCGGGGTGGGGGGGCAGCATGGGCTTGCGGTGCTGACGGTGAAGATGTCAAGACCCTGGTGCCACCAGGGGCCTCACACTGGGCCCTTCCAGTGTGAAGTGCAAAACCACTAGCTGTGTGACCTCCCTTTCACAGAGGGCAGAACAGAGGCTTGAGGAGGGGATACGAGTTGTTCTAGAACTCACAACTGGAGTGCGCCTGAGTTAGAACTCCAACATAGGTCCTCCTGACTTGATCCTTCCCGGCCCACGAACCCTCGTGGAATGGGGCTTTTTGGAAGGAGGAGAGACTGAATGAATGAATGAATCCAATCCTCAGGAAGGTACATGCTCTAAACTGGGTGTTTAGAGAAGAACATCCGAGGCGAAGTCAAAGTGCAAAATTAAGGTTCAAATATACAGACAAGGAAAATGTTAAATATCCCCCACAGGTCATGAGATTGTGTTCCAGACCTTGTCTGCTCTAAAGAATCATCTTTAGTTGCAATCTAGGTTAAATAAAAGCGAGATTTACTGGCTTCTCAACTAATGAGTCCTCAGATGGAGTTCAGGTTCAGCTGGTTCAAGCAGTGGGACGAGGTAGGGAATTCCCTGCAGCTTCTTGTCTTCCGACACCGTCTTTGCAGGTAGGAGTTCTGATGCAGTAGGACCTCTTTATTTTAGAGTAGTTGCCAGATTTAGCAAACAAAAACACTGGCAATGTTTGGGATGGGCTTCTTCTAAAAGTTATTTGCTCTATTTCTGAAATTCAGGTTTAACTGGCATTCTGGATTTTTCCTAGTAGCCCTAGTAGCCCTACTTTAGAGTTGTTTGCTGTTGTCGTCTCTCACTGTGTCTAGAATTTATTCGTCACCTTTGATGCTCAGAAATGTCATCAGAGGGCATCTGTGTATGGGACTCTCCCAGGGCTCTGTCGACAGGGAAACCTTGTGCTCGGTGTGGGAGCTGCTCCCCCACTGTTTTGGTCCTTCTCTCCTATGTTGCTCACCCTCTGCACCCCTACGAGGTTTATGCACAGACTTGAATTCCCCATCATTGTCTCAATGACCTTCAGCAAGTTAATTAGCCTCTCTTAGTTTCAGTTCCTGAATCATGAAATCGGTTTTAATGAACCAATCTCACAGCTGGGCGCATGAGGATTAAACCCCTGACATCATGTGTGCCCTGGCTGCCTCCCTAATGGTGTCCTCCTGACCAGAGCATCTGCGCTGTCCTCCCCATTTGGGAGGGCGTGTCTGTAGCAGGATGGCACTTCCCAGTCCCTGTGGTGGTTTGGGGCCATGTGACTCATCCTGCCCAATTAACCGTGAGCAGATGTGCCCAGTGTCCCGGTCGGGCTGGAGACTTTCATTGCCGATGAAAGGCCCACCAGGGGGATCTTATGCTCACCCACAGTAAATGACAATGTTCCAGACAGTGTCCGCTCTGTCGGCCAGATTCTGGAGCGAGGATGATGCAGGAGAGAGCCCCGCTGGCCTACAATGAACCGGCAGCACAAGTGGGGATCAGGCTGGTTTATGGCTGTGAGCCTAGGGGATGTTCGTTACTGCCACGCACCTGACCATGCTGACCGTCCACAGGGGTTAGCAAAAGTTCCCTCCCCGGGGTGCCTGAGCATCTGCCTTCGGCTCAGGTAGTGATCCTGGGGTCCTGGGATCGAGTCTTGCATCAGGCTCCCTGGATGGAGCCTGCTTCTCCCTCTGCCTGTGTTTCTGCCTCTCTCTGTGTGTCTCTCATGAATAAATAAATAGAATCTAAAAAAAGAAAGAAAGAAAGAAGGAAAGAAGAAAGAAAGAAAGAAAGAAAAGAAAGAAAGAAAGAAAGAAAGAAATCCCCCCCCTTCGTTGCCCTGTGTTAGTGAAGTGAGTGCCCTGTGAGCATTTCCCAAGATGCTGCAAACCGTGCCCAGAGAGAGGGTGTCTGTCCTTTATTGGCCACACCTACAGAAGTATGGGGAGGAAGGACCACCCTCATGTTCAAGTTGGTCCTGAGCTCTGATCGATCCAGCCAAGTTGGGGCTCAGCCTGGAGCTGGTATTGATAGGACAGGTCCACACAGATCCACACAGCTGCAGATCAGAAGGTTCTCCTACTGACGATAGAGGCACCGATGTCCTTATACTCTTTGCTAGTGACCCACATGTCCTTGAAGGTGGAGAGTGAGCACAGGATGGAGCCGCCCACCCAGGCACTGTAAGTGGAATAGGGGCAGGTGGACACCTGGAAGGGTGGAGGCAGGGAAGGGGTGCGGGAGGGGGGGATTGCAAGGGAGGAGCGGTGGGGGGAGAGGGGAAGAAACCAGAATCAAAATACTTCTCTAAATTTGGACATAAGGGCAGCCTGGGTGGCTTAGCGGTTTAGCGCCGCCTTCAGCCCAGCGAGGGATCCTGGAGACCGGGGATCGAGTCCCACGTTGGGCTCCCCGCAGGGAGCCTGCTTCTCCCTCTGCCTGTCTCTCTCTCTCTCTCTCTCTCTCTCTCATAAATAAATAAAATATTTTTTAAAAAATTTAATTAATTAATTAATTAACTTGGGACATAAAACAGCCGTCCCTGAACGAAGCTCAGGGGCAGTTGTTTCTACCCTCCGGGCAAATACTATTTATTCCGACCTTTGAAGAAGCCTGTCGGTCCACACGCTGTCTGCCTGTGGCTTTAAACTACAGGATAAAAGGAGCAGGAGCAGAAAGGACTCCCCTTGGCTCTTAGGATCCCTCTAGAATGCATGATACGTCAAGTTCTACAAAGTCTACGTGGAAGGCATATGTGTTTTGCAGAAAAATGAGAAAATACAGAGGAGCAAAGCAAAAATCACGGGGGATTGAACAACCTGGAGAAATCCCTGTCGTTTCACACTCACGCTCGAGACTTCCACTGTGCTCAGCCCTGACTCGCACTGACAGCTGCCCTGTGCACATTCGCCCTTGATTCTGGGAGAGAACAGAGTGTCTGCCCCAGGTGGGAGACACCTCTGCGCCTGGAGGAGCCAGACATCACCACGCCCACCACCAGGTGCGACCCCTATGGCTCAAGGTTAGATTCACTTGCTCAAGGTCAGACAGTGGCCGTCCTCATGTGTCCACAGACCTTCCTAAAGGCATGTGGATACACCACACAATAGAACAGGCTTGTCGTTTTAACGCAGGAAGGCAGATGCTTTGCCACAGGGATTAGCAGGGAAAAGGGATTTGGAGCAAGGATTCAGAACACCCAAGGTCCGGGGGGATGTGGGATGACTCCAGAGGATGATTCTCAAATTCGGCTACTGTTGCTCGCCGGCTCTGTGGCCCCACAGAATCCTGCCTGGCTAGGAAGCATTTGTTCCTATTGGTTAAGAAAAGAAATAGTGGGATCCCTGGGTGGCGCAGCGGTTTGGCGCCTGCCTTTGGCCCAGGGCGCGATCCTGGAGACCCGGGATCGAATCCCACGTCGGGCTCCCGGTGCATGGAGCCTGCTTCTCCCTCTGCCTATGTCTTTGCCTCTCTCTCTCTCTCTCTCTCTCTCTGTGTGACTATCATAAATAAATAATAATAAAAAAATTGAAAAGAAATAGTGCAAAAATTTTAAAGAAAAAAAAGGAAGAGTCAGAGGTAGGGGAAAGAGCACATTCAGGGTCAGGCATCCGGCAGAGGAGAGAGCAGTCTCGGCCACCCAGAGACCCACTGGTCTTTGCTGCCACCAATAGGCTGTCACTCAGACAAGTCACCTACCCCGTCTGTGTCTTCTCAGATCCCACAGAGTGTGCACAAAACTGGGATATTTACGCATTCAGAAGAATGCAAAACCACCAACAGAAAAATGGCCAAAGGGTTGAAATAGGGAAAATATGCTAAAAGAAAGAAAAGAAAAAGAGGAAAAACCACAGACCACTGGGCAACGTTTGCAGAACTAGTCACCTTCGGTAGCCCTGTAAACCTAACACTTCCCTAAAAAATAAAAGCCATTACTTTAAAACTAAATACATACATAACAATTTTACGTGGTGGCAGGATGAGGGCAAGAAGCCCGAGCAAGAGCAGAGTCGGGCAGATGACTGATTTCCTTTGGGCCTTTGGCACTGGCCCTGAACGCATGGTCCATATCTGCACTGTCACCCCCCTCACCTCTCGTCCACCTGAGCCAGTCCTCCTCCCCATCTACCCCTCTCTGGGGTCCCTCTGGCCTTAGAGCACCTTGCCTCTGCAGAAGCCTCCAACGGGTGCACCTGGAGCCCCTGTTCCACCTCCAAACTCTGTAACTGTCCTTGACCAGCTCTCAAGCGCCAGAGAGACACCTGATGTCTCCCCCAGCTAGTCCCCCAGTGGTCTTCCCGCCTGCAGGGATGGCAGCCACATCGCTCAAGCTGCTCAGGTGGGAACACTGGGGGACATGCCACCTCCTCCCTGTGGACCTTCCACCCTCATCTGGAGCACTGGCCCACCCTGCGCCGCGCCTGACAGTCCATGCCCCACCCCCAAAGTCAGCCCTCCCCAGAGCAGCTGGAGTCATCCTCTGGGCTGGCTCTGCTCAGGGTCGAAGCCCCACACAGCTTCTCTGACCTCACTGCCCTTCTCCTGGCTCAACCCCAGCCAACCCAGCCTTTCCTTTCCCCCCGCCACAGGGGCTGCTCCCTCTGCCTGACCGTGCTTCCACAGACATCCCTATGGCTCCTCTGCTCCTCCGAGCTTCTCCTCCGAGCATCTCCCCCAAGCGTCTCCTCCAAGTATCTCCTCTGAGCATCTCCCCCGAGCTTCTCCTCCAAGTATCTCCTCTGAGCATCTCCCCCGAGCATCTCCCCCGAGCATCTTCCCCAAGTATCTCCTCTGAGCATCTCCCCCGAGCATCTTCCCCAAGCATCTCCCCCAAGCATCTCCTTCGAGCATGTCCTCTGAGCATCTCCTCAGATGCCGCCTTCCTGAGGAGACCCACCCCGACCACTCACGCCTCCTTTCTTGGCTGCCTCCCCCGTGGCTCACAGCCCCTCCTAACACATGTATTCCCTGGCATGTTGGTTTGTATTGTACGGCTTCCTTCACCGACTAGGATGTGAGCCACTAATGTTCCTGACTTTTGTTTACTGATCACTCCTTAAGCACCTGACCATGTGCCTGGCACACCTGGTATTCTAGAATTTTCTGTGCAGTGAATGCAGGAAGTCCCCGAAGGGTGGGTCAGGGCATCGTACCTTCACGTTAATCGTAGGGGAAACCAGGGCAGATATTTCTTTCTGCAACCGGAAGCACAAGCCAGAACAGGAGCCAGTTCCTCCAGACAATACGATGTGGCTGAAGAGAATCTTCCAGAGGGCAGAATTGCAGGAGCTGATGCTCTGGAAGGCCTTCATGTGGATGCCTAGCTCACGTCTCCCTGTCAGGATGGGCAGAGGAAGGCAGAGGTTTGGGGGCTGCAGCCTCAGGCTCTTTCCTCCCAGTTGGAGGCCCTGGGGAGGCGCGGACTCCCCCCCAACCAAGCCTCAGCTCCGAGTGTGGTGGCAAACATCAGCACCACTGACCCCAGGGCCCTTACAGATTTCAACAAGATAATGTGTGCAACTATGTGGGACTGACTAGCCAATGGCTGAATAAATAAACATTAATTTGCTCTCTCATCTGAGATGATTTATACCCAAATGTTAACTGACAATTATTAAAATTTAATGCCACGGTATCAATTGCTCTTATAAACGGATTTCTGCAGAGGCGGTGTCCTTGCTCAGGTAGCCTTTGAAAACTATACTAATTCCTCCTTTTTGAAAAAAAAAATTTATTTTTTAATGGAGGTATAATTGACACACCACATTATATTAGTTTCAGGTGCACAACTTCATGATTCAGTATTTGTATATATTGCAAAATGATCACCACAATACGTCTATTTAACATCCTTCCTAGACTCATCATTAGTCCATACACATAAACACATATATGGGCGAAGAGCCCTTCATGACAGCGGCAGGATGTCTTGTTGTCCTCATCTGGGATAGCATGTACCACACAGCCTCGGGATAAAGTCTGAAAAGGCTGATCTTCTGGAATCGTCCAGGACGTGCCAGACCCAATGAGCATGAGCTGCAAACGCTTCATTCTCATCACGGTGTTGGCTGTGTGCTCCTGCTCATAGAGGCCTACCCGACTCAGAGGAGAATGTTCACATTGTCAGTGAGGAACTTCATTCAGGGATGGTTTCACGTGTCCACCTAATATTTTGGGGGCACATCCTATGATTGAAGCCATTTTCCACTGCACAGTCCAATGGGGAAAGCAAAGGTAAAGCCAGCCCACTCACACTAGATGTAACAGCCATGTCCTTACTAGGCACTAATTGTGGGGAAGTGGCTCAGTTCTTTTAATCCCCCTCTGCCCCTTGTAACCAATTATTTTTAAATTTTTTAAATTTTTAAAAATATTTTTAAATTTTCTAAAATTTTTAAAAATTGATTCCAGGAAATAGTTGGTCTTCCATGACTACCTGGAAATCTTTCCCATCAATGGGGATTTTACAAGCCATCACTTTTTTCCTGTTCTGCACGCCTGCCAGGGAGCTTAGCCAACTCAGTGCTCGTGTAAGACCTCTAGATCACTGGGGCTGCTTCCAGCATCTGGCCATTGTAAACAATGCTGCAAGGAAGAGGTGGTGTGTATACACAATGGAATATGATTCAGCCAGAAAGAAAGAATGAAATCTTGCAATGAAATCATTGCAATTTGCAATGACATGGTTGGAGTTAGAGGGTATGATAGTAGGTGAAATAAGTTAGTCAGAGGAAGACATGTACCATATGATTTCACTCGTATGTAGAATTTAAGAAACAAAACAAATGAACAAAGGGGAAAGAAACAAACCAGAGAGACAAACCAAGAAACAGACTCTGAACTACAGAGAACATGCTGCTGGGCGCCAGAAGGAGGTGACTGGGGGCTAGGGGAGCAGGTGCTGGGGGTGAAGGAGCGCACATGTCATGGTGAGCCCTGGGTGATGAAGTATAGAACTGTCGAATCAGTATATTGTACACCCCAAGCTAATAAACACTGGGTGTTAACTATACCAGAATTTTAAAAAGAACCTCTAAATCAGCCGAACATTTAGTTTCTTCCAAACCTATGGTTTTAGCTGCTTTGTCTCCATTTGTATATTTCAAATTATTTTGTGAGTAGACGGACTATGAATAATATATAATGGGAGAGAATAATATGGTCCCATGTAGAATTCAGTCACACCTGGCAAATATTTAGTGCTCTGCACTGGATTTCTTCATCTGTAACATGGAGCAGTGTCAGATGGGGGAGGATTGTAGGCTATAGCCCGTGTACGGTGGTCGCCAAAGTCACAGGCATACAGTACAGGTTTAACAAGTGATAGTTAATATCACAGGAACTTTTGAAATGGGTGCCAACTGCCACTCACAGCAGTACCCCCTCCTGGCTACGGGGCTCCATTCCCTTTATAGCAATCCTGCTATCCAGGTTTGGACTCACCCCTGGCCCCTTCCCTCCCCTTACCTATGAGATCTGCCTGAAAAAGCCCTTCAGGGCAGAAGAACTTCTCCCGCCCAAGGGTGATCTCCTGGCCATCGGGCAGCTGATACTTCTGTGCATAGGAAGGACAGTCAGCTTTCACTTTCTCCTTGTTGAAGTCCAGAGCCACATAGCAGCATTTTTCTTTTATGTTCCGGATGTACTCCCGATCACCTGTGGAGGAAGGGAAAAAATGTGACCCAAGATGGTTCACAGGAGCATTCTGTCCCCAGAGAGCAACTTTTTGAAAACTCAGCTCCTTGTGGTGGGGACATGGTGACCATCATCCTCATCATCACCACCATCACCATCATCACCATCACTATTGTCATCACCATCACCATCACTATTATTCTCATTGTCATTATCAACCACTACCAATCACTAAATGTCCCTAAATATAGATGGACCTGTTTGTAAAACTTGAATCATAGTCAAGTAGTCTTAGCTTTCCTTACAAATTGAAGGCCGCAGGTTGAGCAAGCCAAGCAGGATTTTACACCCCAGAGACTGGTTCACTTGGCCAATAATAGCAATTTCCTACCTGTGCTCACCAACGAGTGCCCACTGTTTGTCAATAGTTTCAGGAGGTACAATGTTAGGTCTTGGCCTGCTATATCCACCTGGATGGTCGACTGATGTAAAGCACAGCCGTCAATGATGGGCACAAAGTATGTCATTCCTTCTCCAGATTCAATGGTTGTTCCTAGACAAGAGAACATGCTGGCATCATAATGCAGGGTGCATGACATCCCTTATCAATTGTCAAGTCTGCAGGAAGAGATGGTAAATGGGAAATAATTGGAGGAGAAGGCAAAGATCTGAGGAGCAAACTTTCTTCTGTAGGAGAGTGTGCTAGGGTAAAACCTATCCAGGTCACACCAAAGTTTTGGTCAGAAAACCTGCAAATTTTCTTATTAAACAAGACATATAGGCATTAGCAGCAGTTGCCAAAGGATAAAAGAGGAAGAAGAATACTCTGCTCCTAACAGCTTTTTCCCTAAAAAATTGTCCATCAATGTAGGCACTGGGAATCTCTGGGTGGCGCTTGATTGTCGGAAGAGGCTGGATGCAGTGAAGGATGTGTACGTTTTAGATAGCAAAGCAAACTACATCTCTCTGTGCTAGTCCAAAATTTGTGATGTGGGTTTGGAAACACAGGCTTCACTTTGTGTGAAATGGTGGCTTGTAGAGCCATCCAGAGTGGATCAGTGGTCTGGACAATTGCCTTCTTTCACATGTTGGATCTGGTAAACAAGGACTTCACATTTAAAATGAAGACCTCCACATCTAGCTAAGGTAGGGAACAAGGAGTGTGTTCCCTCCACACACCTGAAACACCTAAAACAGAAATACAGGAAACAACAGTTTTCAAGATGTTGGACATCAAGCAACAAAGGACGATCTCTGTGGTCCCTGAGAGAGGGGACGTCACAAGAAAAGAACATGGCAGACCATGATCCTTCATGAACACAGACATGAAACTCCTAAACAAATTTTAGCAAATATATGCAAAGGATAACAAGTCATGACCAAATTGATTTTATCTCAGGAATGCAAGATTGTCTTAACATTCAAAAATCAATTAATGTAATTCACCATGTTAAAGAACTAAAAGAGAAATTCTACATGATCTTATCGGTAGAGGCAGAGAGTGCATTTGACAAAATCCAACATCCATTCATGATTTAAAAAAAAAAAAAACAACCACTCATCAAACTAGGAATACTGGATAATTTCCTCAAACTGATAAAGGAAGTCAATGAAAAACCTATAGCTAACAATGCACTTAATCATTCAGTAAGACTGAATGATTTCCTTTTGAGGTCTGGAACAAGATAAGGGTGTCTGCTTCCCCCATTTCCATTTAGTATTGAGTGAAGATTCTAGCCAGAGCAACGACGCAAGAAAAAAAACAATAAGAAGCACTCAGTTTGGAAATAAAGAGATTAAACTATAGACAACATGGTTGCCTAAGTAGAAAATCCTATCAGCACTAATAAATTAGTTTAGTTAGGGTGCCAGGGTACAATATCAGCATACAAGAGCTGATTGTATTTCTATATACTTGTGTGGAACTATCAGAAATTGAACTAAAGATACATTTTATAATAGAATCAAAATATATGAAATACTTAGAGATAAATCTGATGACTGGTTTGCACAGATGTTACACTGTGAACCACGAACCACTGCCAAGAGAAATTAGAGAACACTTAGGAGATATACCGTATTTATTAGTCAGGAGACATGACTGTTGTTAAGATACCAATTTTCTCCAGATTGATCTATAAATTCAATGAAATTCTGATCAAAACTCAAAGATACTTTTTTTTGGTAGAAATTGAGAACATGATTGATTCTAAAATTTATATGAAAATGAAAAGAACCTGGAATGGCCAAAATGTTATTTAAAAAAAATAAGAGTCCGATGGTGTAGCACTAACATCATATTTCAAGATTTATAAAGCTCCTGTAATCAAGACAATGTGGTATCATCCTAGAGGTAGACAAACAGATCGCTGGGACAGAACACAGACTACAGAAATAGACCCACACAAATACAGACAACTGGTTTTCCAAAAAATGCATAAGGTAGTTCGATGAAGAATGTCTTCACTCTTCAGTTGTCTTTTCAACAAATAGTGTGGGAACAACTGGACATCTATACACATACCAAGAAAAAACTTCATGCGTACTATAAGCCACACACAAAACCGCGCTCCACATGGATCACAGAACTAAGTGTAACACTGAAATTTATAAAACTTCTAGAAGGAATCACAGCAGAAAAGCTTTGGGTTCAGCATGTGTTTCTTAGATTTTACACCAGAAGCATGAGCCACACACACACACACACACACACACACACACACACACAAAGGATAAATAGATTTCACTGAAATTAAAAACTTTTGCTCTTCGAAGCACATGGTGAGGAAACTGAAAAGCCAAGCCAGAGATTGGGAGCAAATCTTTGCAAAACATGTACCTGGTGAGAGGCTGATATAGGGAACAAAAAGAATTCTCAAAACTCAAAGATGAACAACTCAGGGTCACCTGAGTGGCTCAGTTGGTTGAGCATCTGACTCTTGGTTTCGGCTCAGGTCATGATTTCAGGGTTGTGGGATCAAGCCCCACAACAGGCTCAGCACTCAGCATGGAGTCTATTTTTCCCTCTCCTTCCCCCCCGCTTGCACTCTTTCACTCTCTTATAAATAAATAAATAAATAAATAAATAAATAAATAAATAAATAAATAAAATCTTATAAATTATAAGTTTATAAATTTATAATTATAAATTTATAAATAAGTAAAATTTATAAATTTATAAAATAAAACTTATAAATAAAATAAAATTTTATAAATAAATTTTAAAATTATAAAAAATTATTTAAAAATTTTATAAATAAAAATAAAAATATAAATTTTATAAATTTATATTGTAATAAATATATGTATATTTATATATTATATTATTATTATATAAATATATTATATATTATTATATAAATATAAATATTATATATTTATATATAAATTAATATTATATATATTAAAAAATAAAAATATAAATTTTATAAATAAAAATAAAATAAATAAAATAAAATTTATAAATTTATAAAATAAAACTTAATTAATTTTTAAAGATTTTATTTATTCATTCATGAAAGACACAGAGAGAGAGGCAGAGACACAGGCAGAAGCAGGCTCCATGCAGGGAGCCCGATATGGGACTCGATCCCGGGTCTCCAGGATCATGCCCTGGGCCGAAGGCAGGCGCTAAACCACTGAGCCACCCAGGGATCCCCAATAAAATCTTTTTTTATAAAAAAGATGAAGTCAGTGAAAAATTGACAGGACATTTGAACAGACACTTCACCAAAGTTCCATATAATGGAATGCTCACCACTACTGCTTGTTAGGGAACCTACGAGTCAAAACCACAGTGAGATGCCACTGTGCACCTGCTATAAGGGCTACACGATGAAGAGCGGCCGTGCCAGTCTGTGGAGGAACGGGCACTCTCATGTGGCTGGCAAGCAAGGCATGTAGCCATGCTGGGAGCTAGTTTGGCGGATTTTTAAAAAATTAAAATACTCTTACCATCCGACCTAATCATGTCACTTGTAGGTATTTTTATGCAAGTGAAACGAAGGTGTATGTCCACACAAAGACTTGTAGACAAATGTTCAAAGCAGCTTTATTTATAATAGCTCCCGACTGGAAACAACCCAAATGTCCATCCACAGGTAAATAAATCAGCAAAGTATTGTGCATTCACACAATGGAATACCACTTGGCAATAAAAATATGAACTATTAATACAAACAGCAGCACAAATGAATCTCCAAATAATTATGTTGAGGAGGAAAAAGCCACAAGAAAAAGAGTACATACCCAACAACATTCACTCAAAATTCCAGAAAATGCAAATGCATGTGAGGACAGCTTGGAGGGGGCAGCGTGGGGCGGCGTGGGGCCGCGGTGGGGGGATGTTTAGAAGTCTCGGATCCGTCCCTTATCTTGACTGTGCTGGTGGCTACATGAGTGTATCTACACATCAAAACTTCTTAAATTGCATGCCTTAGGCACCCTGGCTTCATCATGCGCCAGTGACACCTCGATAAAGCTGTCAAGGAGCTAAGTGAGCCGAGTGGAAGCAAATTGCTTACCCAGGAGGACGGGAGGGAATTAGGAGGAGGGCTGTCCAGTGTGTTTCTCACGTCCCGTGGATCCTTCCCTTCATTCATTATTTGGCAGGGAGGAAGAGGACAGGCGTGGGCTCACGGGGCTCCGAGGGGGCCACTCACCCGAGGTCTGGCCAGAGGCGTATAGAGAAAGGACTCCCTGGTTGGCTAAGTACAGGGCCGGCACGTTGAAGGTCTCAAACAGGATCTGCGGAGAAGCAATGGGAAGCGCTGGACGCCAGGCCAGTGGACGGAAGAGCAGGCGGGTCCTCCCTTAGTCCTCGGGCACACAAAGCCCACCTGCAGGGGCACCTGGCTCCCCAGAGATCCAGCCTACGGAGTCAGGGAGCGTGCCACTCTTCAGCCCAGCTCTGCCCACGAGCTCCGCGACACTGCTTCCCAGTAACGCGGGCTCGCATCCTTCCCAGGGACCTGACGGGGCAGACGTAACATGCTGCCACAAGACCGAGGGGATCGCGTCATCTTCTGAGCCACCCAGTTTTCATGATGGGGGTGAAACCGCCATGATGCTGAACCCCCAATGCCTCTGTGAAGCCAACATTGTCCTCTCCACGCTTTTGTTCTTTCGACTCTTGGAGACTAGGCAGGCTTTACACAATACTTTGACTTGGGATGGTTTACTTGTTTTATAACAATTGCAACAACGAAAGCCGTCAGTTACTATGTGTTGACTGAGCCCCAGACACTTAGTCCAGGCACAGTGTGTCCAGGATGCTCTCCTGGGTACTGACTGTACACAGGGTGCAAGGCACGGACAGGGGAGGCACAGCCTTGCTTTTGTTGCCCATGGTGTCCCCTCTGTGGTATGTACATTGTCCCTGCCTCATCCACATGAGAGACTAGTGGACAAGAATGTTAGTGAACAGGTGGCAGGGTTGGGAGGATGGGCACCGTCACCGTGAGGTTGGCTGAGCAAGTGAATGATTCTCCTGCAAGATAGTGACACTGGGTTTAAGATTTCAAGGTTCTTTGGATGGTGAGACCGACACACAGTCACTTGGACCACTGATCGGCAAACTTTGTGAGGTACAGCTCCAAACCTGCCAACAGGGCCACAGGAGGGTAGCACCTGGGGACAGGGTGACAGCCAGCTAGAGCCGTCGGGGCATCTTACGGACGGCCAGCCGGTAGTTAGCTAAGTTTGGGAGGATCCCTGTGATTTGGCTCAACTGAATGATTTCACAGGCTCCTGGGCAGAGGGGCTGTCCTTAGTTTGGTACCTGGCTCAGGGGCAAGTAGGGCAGGTGTACAGTGGCCCTCGAGTGGTATAGGACCATAAGGGAAGTGACTGGGGTGTGGGCTGCTCAAGAAGTGAACCAACTGGCTTCTGGCAAAGACCTCAAAACCCAGTAGACAGCATTTTAGAAAACAATATTTGCACAAAGTGTGCAACACCACTGAGTGTGTTGGGGGTCACTAAGCATGTGTCTGAGGGCAGCTGTCAGTGGGGGCTTGGGGATTTACCCAAGACAAGCAACAGCACGTGTCCATGCAAAGACTGGCTCATGCCCATTTGCACCTGGTTCTTTCACAACAGCCCCCAAGTGGAAACCACCCAGATGTGCGTTTGTAACGTGATGCGTGGAAGGTTAGGCACCCAGATGCAGGCACCACATTTAAGGACACAGAGATGGGCACGGCAGTGGCGGTGAGTCTGTGTCACTCTCTGGCATCCCCAGAGTCTGCATCCTGGTGGAAGAGGCAGGGCATGGACTCTAGGTGGGAGAGTATCTTTTGTGATCCCACTAGAAACCCCACCTCCTAAAAATGCAAGGACAAAAACCAACCTCAGCTCCCCTGGCCTGGCATGAGGCCAGAGGTCACAGAGCTTGGAAGGGTCTTCCAGGATCCTGGGGTCAAACTCCCATCCTACAGATGAGAACACTGAGGCAGCAGGAATGCTCAACAGGTGCTAAGCACGGCGACACACACGTCACAGCTTCAACTCATCTCGTTTCCGTGACATCCCCAGCATGATGCCATTACCATCCTGATAGGGAAATCAAGACACCTCGACGACAAGCAATCCACCCCAGGTCCCACATGTGGGGAGAGCCAGGGCCAGAATCGGGCTCCCCGCTGCATCCTGGGCGGCTCCCTGCACCTGCTGCTCCCCTGGGACGCAGCCCCAGACATCCTGCTAACAGGCAGACTTATTCCAGGAGAACCAGCCCTGTGCTCCTCAGTTTGTTCCAGCCTCTGGGAGGGGCCGGGGAGGCTGGCACCCGGACAGAGGGAGCTCGCAGGGGAGAGTCCACAGATGGGGGACTCCATTCTCCTGCAGTGACATGCTGCTCCCTGCGCCCCCGCACAGGCCACCATTGCAGGCTGCCCCCCATCTGCCTACAGAAGCTTCCACCTTCCTCGGCCACTCTCTGCCCTGGGCAGTAGCCAAAAGTTCCCCTTTCCTGGGTGACCCGATGGCTGGGTTCTGCCCACGGCGACGCTGGAAGGAGGGGACATCCCTGCTCCCTCCCTGCTGGTCCCTGCTGGTCCATCCTCCTGGCAGAGGCCCTCTCTGGGCTGCTGACCACCTGTGCCCTGTCAGGTTTAGGGGCCCGGCTCCCATCACTAGCCTAGAACTCCACACTGGCTCATGTCACTGTTCTAAAACTCATACTCACCTTTGAGCGTAATCTCTTCAGTGAAGAATCACCAAAATTACCCCTCGTGTGTGTCCCTTTGTTTTTATGCTGAAATCTCAGTATAATCAAAGGGTAGATTCAGAGAAAGCCGGGGCAGAAAGGCAGGCAGTGAACCCAGGGGAGGTGGGCAAGTGCCAGCACAGTGGCTTGTGTGAGGGTAAATTTTTTCCTTCAATTTGACTGAGCCATGGGGATCGCAGACACTTGGTCAATCATTATTCTGAGGGTGTGTATATAAGGGTGTTTGGGGATAATATCAACATTTAAATCTATAGATCAAGTAATGCCAATTACCCTTCCCCATGGAGGGTGGGCCTCATCCAAGCAGTTGAAGATCCAAACAGAGCAAAAGGCTCCAGCCTGCCGACTCTGCCCCTGCAGATCCTGGGGTTTGTCAGTCTCCATAATCACATGAACCAATTCCTTAAAGCAGATCTGTGTGTGTGTGTGTGTGTGTGTGTGTGTGTGTGTGTGTGTGTCCCACCGTTCTGATTCTCTGGAGGCCCCTACGACAGTTTGTCAATGGCATATTCCCCTTGAATGCGCGACAACCCTGTTTCTCTCTCTCTCTCTCTCTCTCTCTCTCCAGCTCACTGGGTCCATGATGGGCACACGCTGTTCTCAGCCCGGATACCTGCTGTTTCCAGGCCAGGGACCTTGTGCCCAGTCCACGCGGAGCCCAGCTGTGGCCCACTTCTGTGGGCCTGACCGCATGCGGGCAAAGATTCATCAGCTTCCTCAGGGCTTGGTTTGAAATGAGGCAGCAGCTCACGCCTGTGCTCTGATTGCTGGTGCTCTGTTTCTGGGCCATGGAGCAAGCCTCCTCCACGGGCAGGTGGTACCGCGGGCTGCCGGCCTGCCCTGGGTCACTGCTCACTGCAGGAGACGCCCCTGGGCTCCAGGGGTGCTGGGCCAGGTGGTAGAGCCTTGTTGCTTGCTTAATTAGTCCATGGACGTCCTCATTAGGTGTGCCTAGAACCTGGCAGCCCCTGTGGCCCCCTCCCACCTGGACCCTCCTCGGGCCCTAAGGGAGACTCTGCAGTCTACTGGAGGATACCCTCCTTTCTCCACCAATCTGTCCTTGACAGCCTCCGAGAACCAGTTCAATCCAGTTCATCCAGGTCAGTCCTATCCACACGTACCACGAACTCCTTCCTGGGGGACATTGGGAGCTCTTGGGTCAGGGTGGGACCTCTAAGCTGGCCCCATGACCCAGCAGGACTGAGAAGGACCCAGCAGACCTCCTAGCCCTCTGCCCTGCAGCCTCAGCCAAACCCCTTCTGCTCCTGCACACCCCCAATCCTTCACCTGTGCAAAGGGACAACTGCCCTGCCCACAGACCTGCTGTCGGGTCCACCTGAAATGAGTCACAGTAAACATTTCACCCATGCCCAGCCCCTTGGGGAGCTCTCCCGTGGTAGCCGCCTTGCTTGCCACCAGCGTCAAAGGAGACAGATGTCTCCTGTGTTTTCATCTCGCTGAGCAAAGAGGCGATGCCCTGAGGGCATCCCCCAGGCTCAAGGCTCGAAAGGTGGCCAAAGCTGCTGCCCCATGACCTGCTCCCTGACCCATTGCCCACCACCTGGCCTCTTACCTGTGACATCTTCTCTTTGCTGGGCATTGTGTTTAAAGGCGGCTCTGTCACCATCAGAGGATGCTGCTCCGGGGCGATGCGGAGCACCTGGTAGAAGGAGTGATGCCAAATCTGTGGCGAGAGAGGGTGATACGGAGGCACAGTGAGCCACAGCCAATCTACTGCAAGTGGGATGGAGCCTGTCTACACCACAAAGTGGCTTTCTGCAGATGCAACTATGATTCACAGCAGGAAAGACAGTGAGTGTGGCTATGACAGGACACAGATCCTCCATCTGTTGCCAGCCTTGAGTCGGGGCAAGAGGAGTGAACAAAGATGCATGAGGCATAGTCCTCATCTGATGGGGGCAGACGTGAGCCCTGAGACACAGCACCGGGAAGCATGGCACCAGGCATGTGCCAGACAAGCGACTTGACTTTAGGAGCTCTCTCCTTATCTGTAGAGCGGAACATTTTCCTTCCTCATAGGGGACCCTGAGGACATGAGTGAGGACCAAATACGACATTTGTAGAAAGCCTAGTGGCCATCTTGACCAATACCACAGCCTGAGCGGTTTAAACCATAGGACTTATTGTCTCCCAGTACCAGAGGCTTGCAGTCAGCCAGGTGGGGTCCTCCTGAGGCCTCTCTGCCTGTGTGTGGATGGCTGTCCTCTCCCTGTGTCCTCACGGGGTCATCCCTCTGAGTGTGTCTGTGTCCTGATCCCCTTATCATAAGGACCCGGATCACACTGGAACAGGTCACCCCTAGTGAACTCATGTTTCCTTGATTGCCTCTTTTAAGACCCCATCTCCAAATATGGTCATATTCTGAGGTTCTGGGGGCCAGGACTCCAACACAGGAGATTGGGGGACACAGTTCAGGCCACAGCACCCAGCAGAGTGCTTGGTGCACAGTAGGTACTCAATAAGTAATGGTTACTTACTTTGAATAAAGGTCCCGCCTGCCTCTGTGGGGGGAGGCTCCATGGAGGATGAAAACAGATGTGAAGGATGGACTCCCTGGGGGAGCTAAGTGGAGGGAGTGCCTCTGGAAAGAGGGCACATGTGCAAAGACGTGGAAACACAAAGCAACATGGCACCCATGAAACAGCAAAAGCCAGACATGGGCTCATGGCTGTATGTGCAGCCACTGATGCATTGGAACAGGGAAGAGGGATGACCCAACATAGAAGAAGTGCTCAGCAGGCTGCGTGGGGGTGAGCTGGAGGGGCGAGGTAGGAGGATGGGTACCATGGGGTAGGATCATTGTAATGATCCTGGTATTCAGGCAAGACTTGAACCAAGAGTCAGAACCATCTGAAGACCCACCATTAGTCAGCTCCACTAGGGCTCAGCTCCTGGACAGGGGAGGTAAGGGGTGGGTGGAAGCCACAGCCCAAGTAGCCTGGATCCTGCAAACTCCTGGATCCTGCAAGTGGGCTGCACACTCCAGAGACCTATCTACACTGCTTCAGTTTCTGAATCCCCTGTGATGCCCTGGTAGAGGGCTATGGACAGAACCAGAGCTGACACCCCAGCTGTGCAGATAGGAAGAGTGTCTGCAAGTGATGCTTCCACAACCACCCTCCGAGACAGCCTTCAGGGATGCACACCTCCTGGCCTCAAAGCCCCGTGCATATCTTTCTTGCATGGAACCAGGACTGGCTCATGCCACCTGCAGAGTATGGCAACTGTGAAGGTGTGTGGCTTTCAAGGCTACATCATATAGCCGTTGCAGCCTTCACATTGGCCCCCTCGATTGTTCACTCTGAGGGAAGCCAACCACCATGCTGGGAGGACTTTCGAAGGGCCCTGCAACAAGTTCCCAAGAAGCACCACCCTACCAGCCAGCCACATGGAGCACCACCTAGGAAATGTCTCCTCCAGCCCCAGTCGAGCCTTCAGATGGTACAGCTCTGGTTGACACCTGACTGCTGCCTCATGAGACACCTTGAGCCAGAACCACCCAGCTGAGCCACTCTCAAATTCCTGACCCACACAAAGTGGGAGATGTAGTAGGCGCCCATCAGTATTTTAGCCTCAAAGATTTGGGATGGGTTGTTATGCAGCAGAGATAATTAATATATCTTCCCAGGCAGCATGTAAACTTCAGCCACATATGGAAGCTCTGATCAGAACCTCCAGCTACTAAGACGTAAAGTGGTTCAAATAGCCACATTCATTACATCTTTAACCTGCTGGACTAAGGAATTTTATTCTGAAAGTAAAATATACATATTGTAACATTTACCAACTTAACCTTTTTAAAAACTGCACAGTTTAGTGGCATTAAGTATAGTCACACTGCTGTACAACCATCACCATCTCCAGAAATTGCTTGTTGTCCTCAACTAGAACTCTGTCCTCCTTCCACATTGACTCCCCATCCCCGTTCCCCAGCCTGTTTTTCCGAATCTGCCAACTAAGGGTGGAACCCCACAGTGTTTGTCTTTTTCTTTCTGGCTTATTTCACTGAACGTAATGTCCTGCAGGTCCAGCCGTGTTGTGGCAGGTGTCATAATGTCCTTCCTTTTCAAGGCTGGGTATATTCCACCGGACTATACAGCATGGTTTCTTTACCCATTCATCTGTTGATGGACACCTGGCTTGTTTCCACACCTTGGCTATTGTGCATAATGCTGCACTGAGCATGGGGGTGCAGATGCCTCTTCCTGTCCTTGTTTTCAATTCTTTAACTTTTTGAGGAACCTCCATGCTGTGTTCCACAGTAACTGCACCATTTTACACTTCCACCAGCCATGCACGAGGTCCTGATGACAATGCTTGTCATTTTCTGTTGTGGTTGCTGTTTTTAAATGGCCGTCCTAAGCATGGAGTGGAGCAGGGACTTTTTATCCATCATCCCTTTAACCTTCATACCAGCATTATGTGCAAAGACAGTTATACTCTTTTCTTACAGATAAGGAAACAGAGGGCCAGGAAGGTGGGTTACTTTCCCAAAATGACATAGATTGGAGCACTGGGTGGCTCAGCAGTTGAGTGTCTGCCTTCGGCTCAGGTTGTGATCCTGGGGTCCCGGGATCGAGTTCCGCATCAGGCTCCCCACAGGGAGCCTGCTTCTCCCTCTGCCTGTGTCTCTGTCTCTCTCTGTGTGTCTCTCATGAATAAATTTTTTTAAAAAAATTTTAATGACATAGATAATAAGTGGTGGAGACAGGATTCAGGCTCAGGTCTCTGACTCCATGACCCATGTGGTTAGTAGCTCGATGTAGTGTCTACAGGGACTGAGGGCTAAGAGATGCCCAGAGAGCCCTGGATGCCAGGGCACCTCCCTCCCCAGGTGCTGGGGCGGGAGGTATGCCACCTAATATCGGTAGTGGGTACCATGACCAGGTCCCACCCCAGCAGAAGCTGAGCCTACCTTCTCCATGTTGTCCCAGTTAGCGACGGTCGCCCGGGAGATGGGATATTGCAGATTAAGGTCCCCTCGCTTTTCCTGAGCCTCGTCTCCGATGAACCAGTCTTCCTCTTCCATCCCCACCAAAGGATTCTGAAAGACATGGGCCAGGATAGATCTGCTCCCAAGAGTGACTCACCCTCACTCGGCATCCACGTGTGGGTACACGATAAGCAGTGACCGGGAGCTGTGATGTGCAGCTGGGAGACCACTCCAGGTCATGGCCCTGGCAGCGATGGCCTCCTCAAACCTGTACACAATTTCAAGATGCCACTAAGAGGTTTCAGCAAAGGACTCGCAAGGTAAAAGTGCTCCTAAGTACACTCACCTTGTCCGTCTGTGGATGAGTCACCTGAGGGCAAGAGAGAGAGGCGGTGGATGAGGCGAAGGTGTCAGGGAGAGGCACCAGCTTCTACACATGCTCAGGAAAATTATCAGGGGAAGGGTCTGCAGTTTAATGTAATTTGTTATTCTTTAGGAAGATGGACCTCGCTACTTTTGTGGCAGAGTAAACCAGTTATTCCGTCATTCAGAAGGGATTCAACAGTTGATCCATGTGTAAATCTGTGTCTAACAAGAAGCAAACATCAATACAGAATGAAGTGTGAGAAGAAACGGAGAAGGTGCCTGATGGGGCTAGGACAGGCCATAGGATGTCGTCCAGGTGAGAGCCCGGATGTAGGAGAGAGGGCTGGGCAGGTGTCCTAGAATGCTGGGCAGTCGGCACGGCAGCTGGGAACTTCCTGAACCAGTCATTCATGAAAGGAGTCCAGTCCCATGTTTCCCAGAAATGGGTCTGTCTGGGTGTCCATCCTGTTCTCACTTGTTGGGAAAGAGCAGTCTGTAGGAAGCATGGCCTTGGGATCATGCTGCAGTGGTGCCATGCTGCAGTGGTGCAGGGAGATGCTGTGCTGTGATGGTGCAATGGAATCCAGAGAGAAGCCCCATTCTTGAGGCCACCACAGCTCATGCTCACAGAGCTCCATACATTAGGAATTTGTCTTTGAGGCAGAGGGGCTTGGCCTGGGGGGAAGCACTAGCCGTGAGATCCCCAGCCAGCTGCCTGCCTCCTCTGAGTTCCATCTCCACTCTTGGATGGGAACAACATCTTCCATCCCACATTCCTCTTGACGCTGCTGTCAGGGGAGCAAGGGCTGTCGATGGGAACGCATTTCATAACCTGAAAGGATGTGCTGACATGAATGACTGTCCAGGCCACCCTGCCTCTGACATTTTTTGGCTTAGCCAAATCTTGATGCATGAGGGTGGGGGGACTAAAGGGGTCCACGGGCAGGGAGGAGCAGTGTCACCCTGCCGAGATGGACAGGGCTCGGGCCAAGCGGCTGCTCTGGTTGGGGTGGACTGAGGGCCTGCCTCTCTGTGGCCATGGGGCCTCCCATGAGGGGTCTCGCTGCTGGCTTACCACCAGACTGAGAGGCAGCTGAGGGGCCGTGGTGATGTGAGTCCACGCAGAGCACCCCGTCCTGTGCTGACTCCCCCTTAGAGGCAGAAGCTCACTTCCTGCTGCCCTGGGGCAGCCCCCAGGCCTGGGAGGGAGCAGCCGAGTGCCTCACAGGACACAAGCAGAGAACCCGTGCACTGAGGTTCAGGTGGGCCACTTACTGAGCGGCTAATTCATCGAGGTCACTCGTTTCTATTTGGGTGAGAAATTTGATCTTCCTCACTGTGATTTTATGCTATTTTATATATAATCTTGCTTCCTACTAGGCCACTCTTTGTACAGTTAACAGGATTTTTCCCTTCCCTGGGGCTGTGGACTATCCCTGTGGTGCGACATCGAGCTTTCCCCTGGCAGGACACGTCACTGCACCTGCTGGCACAAGATGCCATGCCAGGATTTCAAACAGTGAAAGGAATACGGGGCACAGGTTACACCATGCTGGGAGGCTGAAAGAGCCAGCGGGGAACACCAAGGCACCCAGAGAGTGGAGCCCCAGGATCGCTGGGCAGAGAATGAGGCGCTGCAGGGAGCTCAGAGGAGGCCGTGGGAGCTGGAAGAGGGCGCTGCCTGGACGGGGAGGGAGGCTGGTGAGGAGCGGGAGCACGCAGGCCCTTGCCACTGCCCGTGGATGTGAATAGGGCAGCAAACCAGTGAGGAGACCTGCCCACTCGGCCCCAGATTGACATCTGTCAGGGAGCGGTTGACAGGGGTGTCCCAGCCCCCAGGGGGCACAGAGATGCAGGAAGGTGGGGCTTAGGGGCAATAGGCAGAAGCCAGCTCTAGTGGGTTGAAGATATGTCCACACCCAACCCCCCAGAACCTATGTAGAGGTGACTGTATTTGGAAAAAAGGTCTTTGCAGATGTAATTTATTTACAGACATTGAGATTGAACATCCTGGATTGTTGGCGGGATGGGGGCTGAAGCCTGTGACAAGTGTCCTTGTAAGAGCCAAGAGAGGGAGACCCGAGACAGAGATGGGAAGAGGAGGGACCACGTGGAGGCCACGAGCAGGGGCTGCAGGGGCAAGGCTGGGAGCCCCCAGCCGCTGAAGGAGCAGGAAGGATTGTCCCCTGGTGCCACTGGAGGGAACCAGCCCTGCCCACACCTGGATTTAGGGCTTCCAGCCTCCAGAACCAAGTCAGAATAAGTTTCTGCTGTTTTAAGCCATCAGTCTGTGGTCACCTGTTACGGCCTTCCTGGGACACTCACACTCATCATGGTCGCCACCCTTCATCTCTGTCACCACTACATACTTCCTACAGGCCGGACGCCACGCTAAGCATGCACGCACCACCTCACTTAAGGTTCGGCCAAACGTGGCGTTTATGCTTTCGTTAACTGAGCTCTCAAGGCAACTTGCCCAAAGTCACATGAGGGCTGAGGCAGGGCCGATGTTCAGATGTGGGTCTCCTGACCCCGCAGCCCCCACTCTTCACTGCTAAGCTCTGCAATCTTGAAGAAACAGGCCCGTCAGCTAGCATAGGGGCAGGTACCTGCTGCCACCCACTTAGAGAGGGGCTTCCTGCCACCCAGCACGCCCAGGTAGGAAAGTCCATCTTAACTTCAGCTGCATGATTACAAACATTGCCATTAATTTGCTCCAAGTGGTGCAGAGCCTGGGACCCCATGATATTTGGGATTCCCCACGTAACCGTGCCGCTCCTTCTCACAGATGGGTAAACTCCCCAAGGAGGAGCACAGGGACTCAGCACCGGGCGCTGAGCTCTGACAGGCCCTGCCTCACTCACTTGCTCACCCGGGGATATGCTGGTTGCTCTTCAGCGAGAAGGGCCGTCGTGGCACCTACCTGGTAACAAGTTACTGTCATTATGTGAGCTCAGGGCCTCCCGGCTGCTTTGGCCGGAGAGGCCCTAGCACTTGGCAGGACCCTCCAGAGGAAAGCAGGTGGCCACCTTTAAAGGGCGCGCAAGTCTGGATGGCAGAGTTGGAGCCAATCCTACTGCTGCTCAAAGGGAAGGCCCAGACGAGGAGCACAGCATCCGGCCCGCAGACGTGCTTTGTCTCATCCCCTCATTCTTCCATTTGTAGAAGAATGAACTATCCTTAAAATCTTGACACGAACATCGGAATTTCCACATGAGCCAGCAATTCCACCCCCCGAGGACACCCCCCCCCCAAAGAGCCGAGAGCAGACCTCAAACAGACATGGGCCCACCCACGATCACAGCAACATGGTTCACAATAGAGGTTGAAGCAACTCACATCGTGTCGAAGTTTCCCGAGGATGGTGGGGAACATGGCCAGGGGAGCTTCTGTGCCCGAAAAGCCCACCTTGCTGAAGCCTGAGCCATAGTCACAGACGACGGGCACATTCATCATGTTGTGCGTGACCTGGACGGGACTGCGGGAGACACAACATGGTTATTCGTGCCATTTGCAAGGTGTTAACTGAGGGGCGGGTGCTATGCCAGGGAGGACGCAGGCTCTACACTCACAGCAGTGCGGGTGGCTCCCAGAACCTAGGCTGGGGCCCTGCCTGGGGTCAAGCCGCTGCCTGGGTGCTGAGGGCAGTGCTCTGGAACAAGTGTGTTTTCTCTCTTTTTTCTTTTTTTTTTAATATTTTATTTATTTATTCGTGAGAGACTCAGACGGAGAGACAGAGGCAGAGGCAGAAGAAGCAGGCTCCTTGCAGGGAGCCCGATGTGGGACTTGATCCTGGGACCACAGGATGAAGCCCTGAGCTGAAGGCAGACACTCAACCACCGAGCCACCCAGGCGTCCCAAGGAGTGGGCTTTCAATGACCATGTGCATTTGGCTGCCCTGGAGAAGGCAGGCCTGGGGACCCACTTCTGGGCTAGAATGCTCGTGCTGTGACTGTGCTTCTACTGGTTTCTGGCACAATCCATGACTTGCATCACAGGGGGGTCATCTTTCCCATTCACTGAACCAGAGGCATTGGGCAGCGAGACCCCAGTAGGAGCTAGTGGCCTGGAGGTCACTGCCAGGCTCCCCCTGGGCCCCACTCAAATTACCACCTCTCCCGGAGACAGAGACACCGCTGGCCTCCTGGCCTCGGGGCGAAACCCACCCCCCACTCCCTTTGCTTTCAGGCATCTCCTTTATGTTTCTGCAGGTTTGGAAAACATGAGAAAATACATAGAAGAGAGTCGTGATCACCCACAGCTCCACCACCTACAGTTGCCCTGTTGTATTTTGCTAATTAGTGCAAATCTATAATAGATGATTTTTTAAAAATTAATTACCCTCAGAACAAATGAATTCATTTTCTCTTTTGAACACTGTATTTTAACTAAATCTGTATCATCACAAACGTTTTCATCCTGTTAAGGCGATCTTCATCATTTTCCGGGTAGAGAAGGTCTATATATATTCATTATGGAAAATAGAGTGCACTCTGGGGAAAGAGGAAGCCCTCCGCAGACCCTACTAGCCACAGACGGCTCTCGTTAGTTCGGGGTATTACCCTCACAGTCCTTACAAGCCACACGGTGGGCACTTTCTCTCCAGCCGTGTGGGCACAATTCCAGGGGCACAGAGTGTGGTGGAGCTGCGTGCTCACTGTGCACACACATTACGTCTGCTACAGAGGATACATTTTCTCTGCAGTTTTGTATTGGACTCTTTCCTGGACATGATCCGCATTTCTGAGTCACCAGGTACCGCATGGATGCTTTCTGAGAGTGCAGAGCCCCACACTAGCCTACCAGGATTTAACCATCCCTAAATGGGGAAGGCTCAGATCTTGGCCGCCTCTCCTCCCCTTTCCATGGGACCCCCATGGCTGCACAAATGTAGGTGCGGTATGGGCAGCTGGGCCTGCGCACGCTGTTCACCAGGTGCTGGTCGGTCATAAACCACTGAGGACCTGGGGGCTGATGGCACGAGACTAGGTGCTTGACATCTGCAAACCCTATGCAGCAACAGTACTCAAGTGTAGGGCAGTCATGGGGAAGAAGGACATGAGGGATGGTGTGTTAGTGTCCCGCCAAAAGAAGGAGTGTTGACAATCCTGACCCCCAGCACCTGTGACATGACCTTATTTGGAAGTAAGGTCTTTACAGATGTAATCGGGTTAAAAGGAGGGCATGCGTGAGGGTGGGCCCTCATCCAATGCCTGGGCTCTTTTTTAAGAGGAAGAAACTGGACACAGATAGAGACACAGAGCAGAGACTGGAGTGATGTGTCCATGAGTTAGGGGATGCCAAAAATTGCCAACCACAGCCAGAAGGTGGGAGGGAAGCCTGGGACTGACTCCTCTTCGCCCCCTGCCCACACACCCCTGGGACTAGGACAGAGTGACATTCTGCTGTTTTGAGTCCCCCCAGCATGTGGTGATTGATTCCTGCAGCCACAGGAGACCACCAGAAAGGGCAGAGGCACTGTCCCCCAGCACTGTGAGATGAGTCACATCCCCACCTTTCCAGTCCCTTTTGGTCCTCAAGCTTCAGTGCAGATGTGGCCCCCAGCTCAGAGAGGGCTTTCCAAAGTGGTCACGACCAATCCCTCCACTCTTTCTTGTTTCTCTTCCTACCACTTGGTATTTTGCACTGTTGGAATGAACACCATCCTTTTTCATTTAATTGAGCATTTTCTTTTAACTTTGCTTGAAGATTTTTGCTCTGTCTACAGGAGACCCAGCAGAGAGGCTCAAACACATGCGTTCGGGGTGGGGGGCATCCTTTCCTTCCTCCCTCCTTCTGTCCCTCCCATCCTTCCTTTTTCCTTTACATTTATTTTGTTTGACTCTTCTCAATGAACTAAGCCATGCACTTGTAAGTCCAGACACAGCTCAGGTCACCAGTGTGGGTGATACAGTGCCTGTGGGCCTCATGGGATCAGAGAGGCCCCGGGTCCAGGTGGCACAGTGGGGGTGGATATGGATAGCAGGCTGGGATCTGGTCCTGTGATCTCCACAAGACCCTCCTCGGAGTTTCAGGTTTTGCAAATTAAAAGTGAGACATCAGGATGACCTGGATGAATGTGGATCTCCTGGGCAGGACCGCTGCTGGGCACATGGGTGGCTAGGGACCCAGTGATATTCTGGTGAAGACCAGAGTCAGCACACGCACCTGCAGAGCTCCTTCACCTGGGAACAGTGCACTGGACTGACAGTGGGACCGGTCACAAGTGCACAGGCGCTCAGGGCAGGTGGCTGTGGGTTCAATTCCTGAGCATTTATTGGGGAGCTGGGTTTTCTACGTGGCACTTGTCAACAGGGATGCACTCCTCGCAGGTGCTGAGTTAAGCAAGTGCCATGTCTGGCCCATAGGACTTGTTCAACCCATAATACCAATTATTATTACATAATTGCTGTGATCTGGAACCCAAAATGTCACCTCAAGCTATTGCACATTAAATTTCTAAACAATAGGGCAGCCCTGGTGGCACAGCAGTTTAGCACCACCTGCAGCCTAGAGTGTGATCCTGGAGACCCTAGATCGAGTCCCACGTCAGGCTCCCTACATGGTGCCTGCTTCTCCTTCTGCCTGTGTCTCTGACTCTCTGTGTGTGTGTGTGTCTCTGAATAAATAAATAAAAAATCTTTTAAAAAAATTTCTAAACAATAGTCCCCACAAGCCAGTTTCCCGGGGGTGAGGTGTTTTACGTGGTCACCCGGGGAATGTGTGGAGCTGCCCGAGGGGGTCCATGTGCAGTGGACATTGGGGAGCATGTGCTATTGCCACCAGAGGAGATTTAACATATCCTGACCCCGGGGCTCACCAGGAGAGCCCAGCCGCTCAAGTAAAGCAAGCCCTGTGAGCAGAGAACGTGGGTGGCCTGCCGGGACGGGGCCTGGAGACCCATCAGTGTGGATCTGATTCTTGGAGGCGACTCTCTGAACCGTTATGTTGATTATAATGTCCAACACCCTGTGATCAGTAATTTGGGTTCTGAGTCGAGCAATGGACTTCCTCGATCAAGTCAGATTGATGTGGTTCATAAACCAAAAGGTGGGGCACACCCATCAGGCACCCTGGGCCTGACCACCCGCTTCCCTCCACCATGGACTTAAAAGCTCATGTTTTGTAAACTGTAAAGTGCTATGCACACCTAAACAGTGACCGTGATTATAACATCAAGGACTTAAGTTTATGATTTTTTGAGTAATTTAAATTTCCCAGATGGGAGAGGATGGGATGGATGAGCATGTTCACTGTGTGAGCATGTGCACTGTGTGTGCATGTGCACATACGTGAGAGAGAGTGGTCTAGGATGAAGAAAAGTCAGTCGGTTGAAGTATTTGCCGCAGGATGGAGGGATATATAGATGTGCACACAGACACACAGATACATGGAAAAATTCACAGACAAACATGTATGCAATCATTTCTATCCTCATGTTTCTTACACATCTGAGTTCAGATAACCCTGCCTTCACTTAATCCATTTGTTAAAATGGAATCCTTCTCAAAATGGTCCTTACTGAGGAGAAGAGAAGGCCTGCTGCTCTGCACAGTTTCTAGAATCTCGGCTCTCTTTTATAATAAAACATAATTCAATCCCATGTGCGTGTATGGGATCCTGACTCACAACATTACATTAGCAAGTGCAGGAGAAACTCCTGTGGAGTCTTCCCTCCTCCCCACCCTGCATCGAGCCAAAGCATCCCCGAGGCCTCAGGACGGGATCGTTCTCATGGGAAACAGCACCGGCAGGATGTGGCTACTGTCTGTTTTTCTTAAGAAAATGACACCTCCATGGGGCGATGTCCCAGCAGAGGGGCACACAGAGCCGGAAGGGAACAGAACGTGCCGTGTTTACAAACTTCCTGTTACAAGTCCTCCCTTTAGAGGGAAATCACTCTGGCTGGCTTCCAACGTGTCTAACAAAAAGTGGGGAGAAACATGCCCCAAATGACTTAACGGGGCTGCAATTGGATGTTTTCGAACACACTCCTTCAGGCATGGAGCCAGACACCAGTTCCACTCTCAAGGAGTTCCCAGTCTACAGCAGAAACACATTCCTTTTTTTTTTCTTTCTTTTCTTTTTTTTTTTTTTTTTAAAAAAAGCACATTAACTCATCATGATAAGGGCTATAAATAGGAGGCAATCTTGCGAGTTGGCCTCGGAAGACCCGGACAGATTCCAGGCAGGGGACCAGATAAGCAAAAGCCCAGAGTCCTAGGTGAGTGGGGCAGTCCTTGGAGACATATGGGGATGGCGCATTCCAGACAGTCTTGAGTGTTTTCAGTTCCTTACGCCCGCCCGCTGTTACATCTGTGGGGTTCGTCGAGACGTTAATACCAGCCACCACACAGAGAGGACTTTTCTGAGCAGGACACAGGCCTAATGAGCTCATGCCAGCCTCCCAGCAACCTTATGGGGCTGGGGGTCATCACTCCAACTTTTTGATGAGGAGTCGGGCACAGGGGAGTAAGGTAAGGTCTCCAGCTGCTGAGAGCTGCAGAGAAAGTCAGTCCCAGGCAGCCTGAATCCCTATCCCACCTCTCCACCTGAGCAGTGAACTGCACATAGCCATCAATTCTCTGCAGCTTCCTTGTTACAAAGGTGCCTCTTTTCCCCACTCTGAAATCTGGGCTGGATTTGTAACTCCTATGACCAACAACATGTGATGGTGGCTTCACGCGAGCTCTGCGGGTAGCATCCATCAGGAGGAATGCAACCCCCTCTTGCTGTCCTAAGATTACCATGTGCAAGAGACTGAGGCAGCCAGCCAACCACCAAGCACCTGCCGACACGTGCAGGAGGCCATCTTCTATCACCCAATGACAGGTGACCTAGTAGGTGGCCTGCAATGCACCAGCGAACCCAGACCAGAACACTCACTCAGCCGACCCACAGACTACCGACTAATGAGACAGTTGTCCTGGCACAGTTGTTATGCAGCAACAGCTGATCGATACACTCTGCTGCACTTCCTCTGTACTCTAAACAAATGGCCCTTCCCACAACCTCTATGACCTGCTGTCAAAGGGCTCAAAGTCATCTGCTTATCAATGGACAGCCCATGAGAACACAGGGAAGCTAGGGATATTATCAAAAGTCACATAGAAGTGGTCTAACTCAGGGGTTGGCAAACTATAGCCCATGAGCTGAATCTGGCCCACTGGCTGTTTTGTAAATAAAGTTTTATTGGCCCACAGCCATACTTATTCACTTACGTACCACCTACAGCTGCATTTATGGACACCACAGCAGAGCTAAGTAGTTGAGATCAAGTGGCCACAAAGCCTAAAATATTTACTATGTGACAATGTATGGAAAAAGTTTGACAACCTAGTCAAGACTTAATTCCCTCTACATTATGACAATAGATCTCAAAGTGTGGCCCCCAGATCAGCAGAATTTACTTCACTTGTTAGAAAGCAACCCTGGGGCACCTGGGTGGTTCAGTGGTTGGCTCAGGTCGTGATCCCAGGGTCCCGGGATCGAGTCCCACATGGGGCTCCCCACAGGGAGCCTGCTTCTCCCTCTGCCTGTGTCTCTGCTTCTCTCTGTGTATCTCTCATGAATAAACAAATAATATCTTTAAAAAAATGGAAAACAATTCTCAGTCCTCACCCCACATCTATGGAATCAGAAATGCTGGGGCGGAGATCAGCAATCTTGTTTTAAGAATCCTTATGGGTGATTCTGATTCCCACAGCTTCAAGATGAGACAATGAAGCACAACCATCTTTAATTACAGAAGTGGGGTGTGATTGTTGACTCCTCAGCTTAAAAAGACTTTTCTTTTATTCTCACCCCCAGTCTCTTGGGAAGCAACCATTGCTTGCAGCCTTATTCCTCTCATTTAACCTGCCCTCAGCAAGATTTGGGACTAGCTCAGAATCACCCCCCCCAAAAAAAAAAAAAGCCCCTACAGCCCCTGGGAGCCTTGACTGAACAGAGGTGTCATGGGAGCGAGTTGGTGGCAGTGGGAAATGAAGTCAGACCCTCCCCAGACCCCTCCGGAATAAATGGAGCATTGACGAAAGGCATACAAGAGGTTTGGAGCGCTGTTGTGGTACAAAATCAGAAAAAAACAAGCCCTCAATTTGAGTAACAAAGTCCGGGTGAAATAAGCCAACTTGTATCACTTTGGATTTTCCCAGTTTTCATATTGAAAGAACTATGTCCCCAGAAACCTCTGGGTCCTGGGCAAACTGGGACGGTTGGTCTCTCTCAGTCTGGGATTCAGAAGGCCTGAGAAAGCCGTGTGCGCGCAGGTGCCACAGTGGCCAGCCCGGGCAGTGGGCAGGTGCTGCCGCTGTGTAGGCCCTGCGGGCAGGGGCTCAAGGGTGGGCTCAGAGGCTCGAGGGCTCAGGGACCCAGGGGCTCGGGGGTCTGAGGTTGGTGGTCCAACAGGTCCAAAGGCAGTCACCAGCCAGTGTGGGGAAGCCGTGGGGTTTGTGCCAGCCTGAGGCCCCAGCATGTGGGAGCTGGCCAGTGTGGGGGCATCGCGCCCAATCAAGTACACCTCGAGGAGTCTTCTGCTTTACGCCATTGTGTTCCTGGACCCCATCTCCATCATCAGGCCTCCCATCCGAACCATGAAGCCTGATTCCCACATGGGGCTCAATCCTACAACCCGGAGATCAGACCTGAGCCGAAACCAAGAGTCAGATGCTCAATGAACTGAGCCACCAAGGCGCCCCTGTGGTTAGTTTTTAACCACTATCTAGTATTCCTCTGTAGGGGTATATGTTAATCTGAGCCAAGGGGTGTGTCTGAATAACAACGGATGGCTGATAAGCTGCCCTCTGAGGAGGAGGAGGATGCCCCCTTTCACCCCTTCATGGGGTGTGCAGGTTGGGTTGGAGCTGAATTTAGGGGAGCCCAGAGTGAGCCTCAGCCCCGCCCTGTGTCCCTCCCGTCATGCATACTCTCCTCTATACAAATGTTGGTCAATTATTTAAATGACGTGGCCCAAAGTGTCATCAGCTTTTCCCCTAGGATGTCGTGCCTCTTGGTCCGGTCCACAGGACCTCATGCTGACATTTAAAATTACGTGTTTATTGGCAGGAGTGAGACAGGTCAGCTCCACAGCCCTCCACAGAGTGAGGCATCAGAAGAAAGCTTCTGGTTCAGTCTCTTCCACCCAGGACCCCAGGTCCCGTGCCCCAGAGTGCACACGACCCAACCCAGGACAGTGCACACCTTTGAGACTCTAGATTTTCCCCCTCCATCTTTGCACCAAGCAGCTTGATTTCCCATGTGCCCTGGGTGTCCCCTGGTGGCTGTTCACCAGACCACAGTTCCTACGGATCTGGCTCTCAAGTCCGAGATCCAGAAAAGTAATGGGTTCACATGCTATTCCTTCTGAAGCAAGGTTTGTAGTTTCAGTCTTTCGATTTAGTCCTAAAACAATACATAGTAAGGTGATGAATATTTTAAAAGTCATTTTAAGTACAGTGGTCCAAGGCAGAGGCAGTTTTAATACAGTTTTAATACAGTATAATACAGTTGTAGTTAACTAAAAGATCCAATTCTGGGTCCTAAGGATTGCAAAGATGTGGTCTCCGCCCTGCAGAATTGATGAGGCCGTGTCCACACACTGTGGCCCATGAGCCAAATCAGGCCGACTCTCTGTTTCAATAAATAAAGTTTTATTGGGACACAGCCCAGCCATGTCTGCTTGTTGACATATTGTCAGTGGCTGCTTTCTCACTAGGATGGCAGAGTTGGGTCGTTGACAGAGGCTCTACAACCCACAAAGCCGAAAGGATTTTTTAATTTTTTTTTCAAAAGGATTTTTTAAAAATATTTTATTTTTTTATTCACTAGAGACACAGAGAAAGGCAGAGACATAGGCAGAGGGAGAAGCAGGCTCCCCGCAGGGAGCCGGATGCAGGACTCAATCCCAGGACCCTGGGATCATGACCTGAGCCAAAGACAGATGCTCAACCGCTGAGCCACCCAGGTGTCCTTGGAAAGGATTTTCTGATTGCCTTTTTCGTAAAAAGTTCACCTGTTCCTGGCTGAGTGGGTGGGCAGAGACACCTGTAACAGTGAACCGTTGTTACCTGGAAAGAAGCCTCCCGTGTGGATGTCACTGTCCATCAACTCATTTATTCAAAAAACTGCTGCAGACCTACTGATGTGCTGGACGTTATTTCTGGCCATGAAAGACTCCGTATTTTCAAATTTGGAGAGCCCTAGTTTTCCAGTTTGAACAAGACTCGTATCAGTTCCCAACATTTTCTACCCAAAGCAGCACCTCACTTGCTGTTTCAGGGCTTCTACGCCTGAGCCTGGGGTCCAGACCAAAGGGTCACCTTGGCGCAGACACCCCCTCCCAGCTGGCCTGGGGTATGTCATGGGCCCTGCATCCACCGACCCTGGTATGTCTGGATGCTGTGGGAGGCAAAATTCATCTTCTGTCGGGTGTATCAACAGTGAAGTTTCAACTCCAGCCTGACCAGGGCCCATAGGAGTCGAGAGAGAAGCACGCATTGGCCAGATCTGCCTTGTCGAGGGCTTAGACCTGAAGGGATCTCCTGGCTTTTGGAGGGCTGGCCTGACTGTGTCCCTGGCTCAAATGCAAATGCTTGGAATTTCAAATATGTTTGAAATTTTAGGAGGAAATTCCAACATATTTTCATTCTCCAGGGGCCATTGCAGTGAGTGGATCTGTGTCTGTGACACAACCTCAGAGTTGGTGTGGACTTGTCTGTCTCTGTTACACACGTGGACAGAAGCCCAGGTCTCTTTCCTACATGTCCTGCCTGGAGCTACCCCAACTCTGGGACTTGGCACCTGCACACTACACACACCCATTGGAAATTTCCAATTTCCAATGATTTTAGAACTGAATGGGGCTGCAGAAGTGCAGAAGTAATTTGGCTCAATCCCCACCCGGAAAGAAGTCTTTTCTTTTTTTCTTTTTCTTTTCTTTTTTTTTTTTTTTAAATAGGCTCCATACTCAGCACGGAGGCCAACGTGGGGCTTGAACTCATGACCCAGAGATTAAGACCTGAACTGAGATCAAGAGTCGAATGCTTACCCGACAGGACCACCCAAGTGTCCCAAGAAGTCTTTTTTTATTTTTTTTAGATTTTTTTTTATTATTTTTTTTAAAAGTCTTTTTTTAAAAGTTGGAGGAAGAAGGCAAAAGGAACCAATAGGAGAAAACACAAAACTGCTCATTTTTAGACAAGAGAAACAAAACTCCCAAAGTAGGCGCAGCTTAGGATCCTCTAACGCCGTAGGAGAACCTTCCTCCCTCTTACCTCTGTGTTCCCTGGGAAGAGATGTGGCATCTGTGGGCCCAAGTCTCATGGGGGTTTCGTATTTATTCAGCAATGGTTGGTTGTTCTCAGTGACATTTTCTCTTCCTATTTAAAAATGAAGTGTCCAGCAGTGACTGCTTAATTAAGCAGCGAAGGCATCTCGGCCAAAGCAGAGCTGCTGAAACCAAGACCTGCACGAAAGCCACCTGCTGTGCCACCCACGACAGGCCTCCCTGCCAGTCCTCACTGGGGATCAGGTGTTCCACCCAACGGGGCTTCCCAGTGGGCTGTAACCTCCTAAACCACACGGCTAAGAAACACACAAGCACCTCTCGGGCAAGCTATGAACCTGCCTGGCTTGTTACCCACGGATGCCAGTGTAAGGGAACCTTGCCGTGGCAGCCTGGGCCATCATGACGCACCACAATGGCACAGTACTGTGATGCAGTCCTGGCCCTGGGGCCCTGCGTGCAACAGCATCCCAGCCTGAAAGGCCCCGCGTGCCATCTTCAGCTGTTAGGTTTGCTTTCCCACTCTTCCTGTGTCCTCTCCTGGTTGCTCTGGAGCTCGTGGCCTCCATGAAGCCACCCTGCCGCAGGACAGCAGGGATCCCAGTCCCCAGCCTGACATCTAGAGGCCTGCGCTGAGGATGGAGAACCTTGGAGCTGGATGGAGAGCCTGACTGCTGGGCGGAGCTGCCCTCGTCCCCCGGCGGGGGCGGATGACACGCTGGAGGAGAACAAGCCAAGGACAGAAGAGGCTACAGGCCACCTCGGTGAGCACCCTGATGGAAAGGACTGTGCACACGGGGTGCAGAGGGAGCAGGCATGATCCAGCATGGAGGCCACGTGTGTCCCATCCTGGCTGTGCAGTTGAACAAATGAGGTGCCTGAGACTTCCAGAATCCGAACTTACTTGGTGACGCTGCTTCTGCTGTCGGCACGAGGGCCCCAGTGGGATGGGGCAGCTTGACAGCCTTGCTTCTGGGTGTTGAGGATCCCGTGGCCACATCCACAGACGCCCCAGACTGGCCACCAGGATGCCAACTCCCATCACCGGGGCCCAGAACCCACCAGAAATCCCCTTTGCCTTCAGATTTGCTGCTCTGAGCGCTGAGGGCTGGGAAACAGAACTCTGTGTACAGAAAGAGATAAAAGGTCTTATACAGGGGCCTGCAAGGAGGGAGAACTCGGGTGCGGCGCTTCAACCCAGGGTCTGGAGCATGTGGCGTGGCTCCCTGATGCCCCTCACCTTTGCTCTCACCCCCCACCAAAGCCTGAGAAAAGCACAGGCTCAGAGCTGCGCTTCCTCCCACGGGAGGGGCAGGAAGGGGAACACCAGGCGGCTCTCCTGGGGCTGGGGCAAGAACCCCGTGAGCCAGCGCACGGGGAAGGACTTGGAGGACAGCCTGCTCCGCACCCAGTGCGCGGTTAGTGGCGCTTACCAACAGTGCGCAGGCTCTGGGCCATCCTTCCGCCCGCCTGCCCCACCGCCAGGTCCCCCTGCACCCAGAGGGTCTCTACAGAAGGAGCGGCGGCAGCTGCGCCTGCCCAGCCTTTCTCCAGGGGCTCAACCACACAGCGTCACCCTCCTCTGTTGGCTCACGTGGATGCGCGCCTGCCTCTCCCCTTTCTTCGTGCAAGGATGTAACGCACATACGATAAAGTGCATTCACTTGAAGGGCGCCCTGGCACGTGCTCTACGTTCGCCTGCACCTGTGTGATCGGATCTGGACACAGCATAACCCCAGTCCCCGGAAGGAGCTGCCCGCCCCCTTTCACATCCGGCCCCCTGCTGCCAGGCCCCGGAGGTCACCGCTCTTCCGCCGCTAGTGCAGTGAGTCTTGCCTGCCCTTGGAGCTGCTACAGATGGAATCACATGGGGTAGGATCCAGGGTCTGGCTTCCTTCACGTGAGAGCATGACGTCGAGGCAGGCGTGTGGCTGTGCTGGCTTCTCTCCACGGCTGCGCACTCCTCGGCTGCCTGGCTGCGCCGCAATTCATCCCTTCTGCTTTTGACAGACACTTGAGTCGTTTCCGATTTTATGTTTCCTATGTTTGAACAGTGCTGCTGGGAACGCTGATGTGAGTGTCTTTGGGGGAACATAAATGTTTTGTCCCCGGGAGAGCCATCTGGGCTGCAGTGCACGGATGGCCCATAGGACACACGATGCTTGGTGCTGAGGGATGCTTTCCCCAGGGGTCGGACCACCGGCACCCCACCCCACGTGAGCACGTGCCTACTGCTTCACCTGCACATCAGCATGTCATCTCTCAGCCCCTGGAATCTTTGCTCCTGGGGGAGGTGTCTTGGCTCATGGGGGGTTGTATTTGCATTTTTCTGATGACTAATGATGTTGGGCACATTCTCACAGGTCCATTGGTCACGCTGCTCAAGTCCCCTTGGTCAGTCATTATCCTGATGGGTTTGTGAGTGTCCCTCACATATTGTGTCGTTGTGAATGTCTTCTCCCTCATGGGAGTAGCTACTTCACTCTCTTGGTTCCCTGGGATAGGAAGAAATGCTTAATTTCATTGGAGCCCAATTTCTTTTTTATTTGTGCTAGGAGCCTCCTTTGTCCTGTTTAAGAAATCTTTGCCTTAACCAAGATCCTTCTGTTACTTTAAAAAAAAAAGATTCTATTTATTTATTCATGAGAGACACAGAGAGAGAGGCAGAGACAGGCAGAGGAAGAAGCAGGCTCCCTGTGAGGAGCTGATGTGGGACTGGATCCCAAGACCCTGGGATCATGACCTGAGACGAAGGCAGACGCTCAACCACTGAGCCACCCAGGTGGCCCATTCTGTTACTTTTTAAAAGGATTGTATTGGTTTTCATTGTACATCTCATTTTTTGGTATGAGGTGAGTGGCAGTCGATTCATTTTTCCCCATGTGGGTATTCATATAACCCAAAGACTTTGGTCTATTACTTTATTTATTAAAAATTTTTTATTGAAAAACCCCTGCCCCTTCTTGACCACCTTATCACTTTACAGTTCACCTAGACATGATAAATCCCTTTATTGTTAAGACTCTTTCTCTCAGAAATATTTCGTAGTTTTCAGTATACAGAAGGTCTTATATGTTCTTAAACTTTATTCTAAGTGTTTTGTGGTTTTATATGCTTTACTAATCTGTATAAAAATCTTTATTTCCCTTTTTTTGGCTAGGATAGGAATATACCAGGTTTTTGCATATGGACCTGGTAACCTGTAATCTGGCTAAAGTCATTTAATAGGTTCTTGTAGCTGTTTTGCAGATTCTGTTGGATTTTCTACATACATGGTTGTGTCATGGGTGTTCCCAGATCACCCTCAGGTTCCAGGACTCCCCGGGAGGACTCACGGGGGTTGGCACATGGCAGTCAATGGATATAAATCAAAGTCAGTGAAAGAAGAGGCACACAGAGTGTGGGAGAGACCAGGGGAGACCAGATGTGAGCTACCTCCTGGTGAACAAGATGAATAAGCTGAGCCCTGCCAGCAACAGGTCATGGCGACACCACGAAGGCAGCCACCCAGGGAAGCTCGTGAGGGACTCAGTGTCCAGCATTTTTGTTGAAGGCTGGTCACATACACAGCTTCTGCTTGGCACGTAAGCAGAGTCCCAGACTTCTAGGAGGAAATGTGTTCAGCAAAACCCGTATTTCATTCTACCAACAGTTTAGGTGCAGCCACTCTTATCAGAGCGCTGGGAGCCCTGCCCAAAGCTAAGATGTCACTCTCAGGCCATCTCTGCAGCAGGCTTTCCAGAAGGAGCCGTCCAGGCTACTGTCGTAACTCTTTTCTGCACAACAATCTTATGAGTTGTGCTAATTTACTTAACTTTCTCCAATCTGTGTATTTATTTTTGTTCTTGTCTTATTTCAATCTCTAGGATCTCTAGTATAATGATAAATAGAAGTGACAGGGGCCGGGACACCTGGGTGGCTCAGTGGTTGAGCATCTGCCTTCGGCTCAGGTGTAATCCTGGAGACCGGGAATCGAGTCCCACATCAGCTCCCAGCAGGGAGCCTGCTTCTCCCTCTGCCTGTGCCTCTGCCTCTCTCTCTCTCTCTCTCTCTCATGAATAAATAAATAAAATATTAAAAAAAGTGACAGTGGCCATTTTGACCTTGTCCCTGATCTTATGGGGAAAGAATTTAATATCACACCATTAATCCTGATGCTGGCTGTAGGGTCTTCCTAGATGTATTTTATCTATTCCCAGTTTGCTGAGAGTTTTTGTCATGAACTGGTGCTTTATTTTGTCTATTTTTTATCTGTATATTGATATGATCAAATGCTTTTTCTTCTTTATTCTGTTAATGTGATTGGTTTTCAAATGTTAAAACACTTTTGTGATCCTGGAATAAAACCTAATTTGTTGGGATGCCTTAGCTATTGCTGGGCTCAACTTGTTAACCTCATGCAAGGGGCACATTGTATCAGGTGCTATAATTTTCTTTGTTGCTGTTGTCATACCCTCATCAAGTTTTTTTCCTGAGAGTTACACTGACCTCCGAAAACGAGTTGTGAAGTGTGCTCTCAGTCCCTGTGGTGTGAGAGATTTGGTGTAATAGAGGTATCATTCCTTTAAAAGTTTGATAGAATTCACCAATCAACCCCATCTCGGGTCTGCTGTTTTCTTTGTGGGAATATTTTTAAATTAAGAATCCAATTTCTTTAACAGATAGAGAAGCTAGTCAAATTTTTTGTTTCCTCTTGTGTCCGCTTTGGTAAATTGTGTTTCTCCAAGAACATCTACTTTTTCTTCTAAGTCACCAGCACTGCTGACAGTGAGCCGGGGCACCCAGAAGGCTTCCCACACATGCGTCCTTTCTCTTGGAGACTTCTGTCCTCTCTGCTCCATCCAGTGTCTGAAAACCACTGACTTATATATATTGTAAAGTTTCAACTCAATCAGAACTGATTCTTTTTAAGTATTTATGTATTTATTTATTTATTTGACAGAGAGAGAGAGAGATCATGAGCATGTGGAGCAGCAGAGGGAGAGGGAGACTGAGCTACCCAGGTGACCCTAAAAATTTATTTTTGCTCTCTTTTTCCTGACCTAATAAGAACTCCTGGAGAGGTAGGAGATCCTTCTGGAAGCAAGGGAAACCCTCTGGGGCTCCCTGTGCCAGGATCCTCCACCTTGCAGACCTCCCCCTCCTCAAAGGGTGCTTGTGACCAAGTGTGTGCTGCTGGCTGCAAACCACCATGCCGCACTCTCAATCTGCGTGCTCTTTTGTCACCTGCAAGTGCGGGGCACCAGGCTGTGAACATTTCTCATTTGCTACAACTTTGAGTTCCTGGAAAATGGGCTTCCTCCTCCTGCCACCCGCTGCCAGGCTTCTCTCGGCTTGATTGTTGGAGCAGGATGGGGTCTTTCTTGGCTCCCTTTCCTGATTTCCTGCCATGTGGATTCCGGTAGCCAATCACTAAACATTCCCTAGCCCATTGATTAAGGGCCAGGGACTGAGCTGGTGCTTCACCCACATCAGCTCACCAGGGTAAGGTGTGCGTTCCTTCCATGGGGGAACGGAGAACGTGAGGTCACTGTCTCACGGTTGGAGGCCAGGGCTGGGAGAGCCCATCAGAAGTTGTTCCTCATCTGGAAAAACAAGCCTTTCATAGTCCAGAGCTTAGCTCCACTGAGCCCATGTCCCTCCTGTGGGGAGAGGCCTAGAAGCCTCAGAGCATGCAGGCCAGGCAACCCTGGATTCGGTAACAGGCTTCTGCCAGGGGAGGGCTGAGTGCTGTGCCGACAGGTGCTTCTCCAGCGCAGTGACCCTGACCCAGTGTCTCCACTCTGCCCCTAGCCTATTCCAGGAAGGCCAGGAGTTTCTCAGTGAGACCTGTATGCATGCCCTGGGGTCCCCAGCCCGCCCCCCTACCACACCTGTGTCTCCTCTCGTGCTCCGGGGGCCACCCACACTGCCCGCACAGAGCTCCCTGTCAAGGCCTGCAAATGCACCGCAGCGGCAGCCTCCTACACCCCAAGCAGCCCAGTCCATGGAAGCCCAGTTAGCATTGTCGACAGGGGCATTTCCAAAGCCAGAGTCATCAGGGCCTTGGCCTCCAGGCTTGGCCAGAAAGGGTCCAGTAGCAGAATTGCCACCACACAGCTGTCGTAGCAGCTCTGGTTCTGGACACGCTGTCCTCCAGGGCTCCCGTGGGCCTTCCCTTCAGACTTGGGCATGGGAGGGTCCCTGTCTTTTCCCTAACTCTGCATTCACAGACACAACTGCAGATTTGGAGCGGGAGTTGGGATGAAAACAGCTGTTTTTACCCTAAGTCTTGGAGGAAGGGCAGCAAAGGTGTTTTCAGGAGCCCTATGCTGTGTCTTCCTGGTCCCAGGGGCAGTGAGCTGCACCAGGGAGCACGACCCTCTGTGCCTCAGAGCACCCCCCAAGTGCCAGAGGAGCCCAGGACCTGACAGAACAGTGCCCCCCCCCACACACACACACACCATGCAAGTTCAAGGCTGTGCAGCAGATGGAAAACACTGGGGACAGCTCAGTGCGAATCCACAGGAAGCTCCCAAGGAAAATACAGCAGCTAGCTGATGAGGAGTGAAGGAGACATTTGTGTAAGAGAGCAAGCGTGGCGCAGAACAGAGGGTCTGGTAAGCTTTCATGTGTTTTTCCAAAAACGGATCCAATCCATGTGTTTGAACACACCCAGAATATCTCCGGGAGAGTCACACAGCAGAGGGGCACCAGGTGGCGGGGACCAGGGGCAGCCATGTGACATATTGCCTATTTTTTTAAATCATCTTTTTGCTTTGAGATAATTGCACATCCACATACAATTGTAAGAAATCGTACAGAAGGACTTTAGCCAGTTTCTCCCATGGAAGCACCTTGCAGATCGGAGGACAGAGTCCCGGCCAGGGTTCGACACTGACACAACCTGCCAGGCTGGCCCAGATTCCTGGTGTGCGCGTGCACGTGCGTGTGTAATCCTAAAAGACTGTGTCACAGTGCAGGCTCGTGTGTCCACCCCCACCCACAGGTGGGCTACAGAACCCTCACTATCTCCTCTAATCCAAACTCCCTCCAACCCCCCCACCACCACCACGTGCCATCCCATTGAGGGTTAGGGTTTTAACGTACACATTTGGGGCGATAAAGACATTCAGTCCTTGGCCCTGGAGTATGGACGGACCCGCTAGTTCAACTGTTCGCCAGGGAAAGACTTCTGAGTTATTTCTGATTTTCAACAAGTATGAATAAAGTTGTAGTGAACATTTGTGTACATGTTTTATGCAAACATAATTTTTTATTTCTCTGGGATAAATGTCCAAGTGTGAGCGTATTGCCTATTTTAAAGCATTAATAATGGAAAATAGTGCTGTTCAGAAACGAACAAGGTGCCCCCACGGATCCTGCCTGGAGTAGGTGCTCTGTGCAGCGGGGTGCTGCAATACCGCCTCTCTTCCCCTGGCATCCAGCCTGCCTCCCGTGGAGCCTCTTCCACAAACATTATCGTGATCATCTCTGACCTTGATTTATGTTTTAGGATTTGCAATGTTCCTTCTCGTGCAATCGCCTGTGTCTTCATAATCAGGCAGGTAGGGGTGGGGCCCAGGCTTGCCTGCAGTCTCTGTGGCCTCCCACATTCTTACTTCACTGGCCCATTGCTTGTCCCTAGGCTGCTTCCTTCTCTTAGCTCATCAAGCAACACACCTTCACAAATACCTCGCTGTCAGGCCAGAAGGCAGAAGCCAGGCGGGGGCCACCAGCAATAATGCATCTGGACCCAACACAAAGGACTTTGGTCAGCAGAAGGTCTGCTCTTGCCTTGTAGCAGAACTCTACCGCCAGCCAGATACCCCAGCTTTGGTGGATCTCTCCTCCCCATGGGCCTCTAGGTGTCCTGCTGCTCGTGTCCTGTGTAGCTCCCTCCCACACGGACTGTGTAACCAGAGGGAGGTCACAGGAATGATGAAGCACAGCTCCCGAGACTGCTATATGTCTCCTGGGTCGCTCACCCAGAGGGGTGAGAGGAGGCCGACCACCCTGCAGCAAGGATGCTCATGCAGCCCCATGGAGTGGTCCACCATGTGGGGAGACAGCCAAAACCACCCAGCTGAGCCGTCTCTGTGTCCCTGAGCCTCCAAAATTGTCTGAGATCATGTTTATTATTGGTTTACGCCAAGCAGTTTGGGGGTAACTTGTAACACCCTTCCCTTCTGGGAGGATTTCATGACCCACAGGTGGGCTGCCATCCATCGTGTGGAAAGCACTGTTGGAAAGCTTTCCATCTGCCCACCCCGGCGTCACGACACGGCCTTCCTGGCTATTTCAGCGTCCCCTGAGCAACCACCTGACCAAGCTCCACAGAAAGGTGGTTAAGGGCAGATATTGAATCCCGGCTCTGCAGTTGATTAGCTTAGAACCTCGGGCAAGTCCCACTATTGATCTGTGCCTCAGTTTCTCCACCTCTAAAGCAGGGGTGGCAACAATAGTGCTTGCCACCGGGATTATTGTGAGGATCTGCTGGCACACGTCACGTCCTTGCGACAGTGCCCATGCATTTTGGGAGTGTAGAGCTGGGGACTGATGCGTAGCAGACTGTGTTCCGAGGCTGGGGATGCACCAAAGAGCAAAGTCATTAGAGGGTGGGCCTGCCTGAGGTTGTGTCTACGTCTTTCCTGCTTGCATTTCATTGAAAACTTTATTAACCATACGTGTCGGTTCCGGGTTGAATGGGAAGGCTGTGGAGGAGGAAGATGCTGAGCTCACCTCCTCCCACGGACACACTAGGGCTGCATATAGCTACATATAGAGCACTCCTTTCCAGAAAGAACCTGGCAGCCAGCAGAACAGGTCAGCTGCAGTTGAAGAAATGCAGAGGAAACCACATCCATAAGGGTAGCGAGGGCAGAGACGCAGGCCCTCAGGAACCAAACCCCTAGCATGGGGACCTGCATGTAGGGGTGATGCCTCAGCTTTGAGGTCCTCCCTCAAAGGGTTCAAGCCCCAACCTGAGGTACCCCTCGGGTATCTGTACTGGAAAGATGAGCTCCCATAATGTCTCACTTTGAAAATCAGCAGGACTTAACTCTGGGAGAGCCAGAGGTCTGCAGGAATCTAAGACCCCAGGCCTATAAGGCCAGAGTACTATGTCACTGGGTTCAAGACCCAGCACCGGGATGCCTGGGTGGCTCAGTGGTTGAACATCTGCCTTTGGTCCAGGGCATGATCCCAGAGTTTCAGGTTCAAGTCCCAGGTCAGGTTCCCTGCATGGAGCCTGCTTCTCCCTCTGCCTGTGTCTCTGCCTCTCTGTGTGTGTCTTTCATGAATAAATAAAATCTTAAAAAAAAAAAAAGACCCAGCATGGAGGCAGCAGTCTGAAAAGCACCTAGGGCCATTCACGAAGGGCATCGATATATTGAGTGATTTTAGGACGTGTGCTGGAGGAGCAGGGATCTACAGGAACTTTCTCCAGGAACGAAGCAGGGGCAGTCACCATATCCCTTGCTTGCCCTGCCCGCCCTGCCCTACCGTCCCCCTGCAGACCTGTCCCATCCAACTTGCTCACCCCTGCCACCCTCCCTCCAAAAAGCAGCTCTGCCCTGGAGGATGGGCATCCCCACCCACCAGTAGGCCTGCTAGGTGGCAGCCAGCCCCGCCCATCAGCACACCTGCAGCACCTGAGGACCCAGTCACAAAAGGAGGACTTGAGAGCCCACACAGGGGACAGTTCAGGAACACCTGCTACTGGCGACAACACTTGAGACCCATGGGACACCTTCCATGGCACGCCTTCCACGGCAGGCCACGACCTGCAGGGAGATGTGGCTACCTTCCTGATAACAGAAGCAAGCAAGTCGGCCACAATGGGGAGATGGGAGGTTATGTTCAAACTGAAAAAGAAGACACCAGCATAAAAAACGGACTTGAGGAATCTGTGGAGCTGACTTCACGAGTCAAACAGTATTTATCTCTTCAAGTTCCTGCACACGCATGTCGAAACCGCCCTCCAGAACGCTCACGTTGTTTGTGCGGAGAGTGCTGGCCTCCTCCCGACCTTGGCGGCACTCGGACCGGCATTTTGCTGACATCTGCCTGTGGGGTTAGCTTTTATTCCTTGAATCGATAAAAACACCAGTTTCTTAGATCCTCCTTGTCACCTGCAGTTTTTATTAGCTGCCAGGCATGCTGTGTGCTTACCCGTGTCTCTGAGAACATCCTGGTCATTTCACCTGTTACAGACAGCAAGCCGTGGTCGGACGGCTGCATTGCAGACTTCTTCCTTAGAAATCGAGGTCTTAACTCAGCACCTGGGGTTTAGTTTAACAGCAGGATTATTGCCTTAGTAGTGAATACAGGAGAAAAAGTGAGCAAGGCTTGATGGAGCATGTGGTGCCTGAGGGGGGCCCCCAAACACATCCCCAGCCTAATCTGCAGAACCCGGGAAAGTTGCCGGCCCAAGGCACTGCCGGAGTGATTAGACCAATTACCCTGGGGCCAGGGATTCTCCAGGTGGCCCCATGTAATCACAGGTGGCCATGTGAGGCAGGGCCCACGCGGCTGCAGGATGGGAGGCAGGGGCTGGAGGGACCGGGCCACCAGCCTGGGGACGCCAGGAGCCGAGAGCTGGAAGACGGGGTAGGACCCTCCCCAACAGCCTCCAGAGGAGCGTGGCTCTGCCGACCGATGCCTTCATTTTAGTCTTATAAGACTCATTTTGGATTCTTAAATCCAGAACCGTGAGAAAATAAATTGGTGTTGATTGGTTACAGCAGGACTGGAAGCAAACGCCCCTGGGTTTGAATGCGGCCTCTGCCTCTTGCTGGTTCCATCACTGGGGATGAGTTGCCTCAACCCCTGAGCCTGTTTCTTGGCAGGATCAGCCTCTGGAAACAGGGCCAGCAGCCTGCCAGCCCTCAGAGGGCAAAGGTGAGTGCCCACAGAGGCCGTTCTCTGACTAGAGGTCGGAACGCAGGCTGGGCTAACATTTCATGGCACGCTGCCGGAGCCAGTAGGATGGGCTTTGGGAGAGGGGCTGCTGCCTCCCAAGGCCCAGCGGGGAATGGGATGTGCTACGTTTAAGCTCCTCGTGGGCAAGGACCTATCTGAATGTGGCTACGCAAGTTCCTGTGCCAGCCCTGTCCCGGGGGCTGCTGACACCTGGCGAGGCCCAGAGGACAGAAGGAGCCTTTCCCAGAGTGGCACCACCTTCCCGCCCCCCACTGGCCACGAGGCTTCACCATCTCTGCTGTGCTGGCCCTCCTGGCTCTGGGGGCCCAAGCAGCCCCTCTCTCTTGGGGAGGAGGGAAAAGGCAGGCCGTGTGCCCAGAGGCCCAGGGTCTGTGGCTTCACCCTGCCCTGAGAATTTCTAGAACTTTGTAACCAGCACCTCACAGAGGCCTCCAAGGTCCTAAACTCACTGTGCTCGGAGCTAGGGCTCTTGGCCTCATCTTGGTCTTGCCAGAAGTGAGCCTCTCCTGCACAAAGTGGGGGCAAGCCTGGCTTGCATTTGCTGAGCACGCTGCATACAAGTGTCAACCTGCAGCCCTGCCCAGAAGTGCTAACACACACATACACACACAACTGGGCTCGTGGACAGAGACAGATCCCAGGTGTGGACATACAGCTCTTCTACAAATTCAGCCTGAGGAAGCCCTCTCAAAGCAAGGCAGGAAAATTATAATTGCCCTTCCTTTTCAAATGGGAAAAGCCAAGGCACAGAGAAGGCAAGTCACCGGATCTAGGTCCACAGCTGTTTGGTGGAGCCAGGGCCGAAGCTCACAAGCAGCACCCTCCAGTGTGCTTGAAATGAATTCACCTGGTGTCTGAGAGAAGGAGGGGTGCACTCTACTCAAGGCCATCCAGGGCAGTGGCTCTCCAGGCTGGTCAGTATTCCAGTCACGTGACTTGTGACAAACACAGATGCCTGGGAAACCCTCAGCATGGGGGCTGTAATGAATGGGCAAGAGAGCAGCAGCCTGGGTGAGGCCCGTGTTCTCATCCCACTGGGCTGTACAGCCAGTTCCTTCTGGAAGCAGGGGAGGTGCTGCCCAGCACCGCCCTCCCTGCCCACAGCTCACTCCTCCCCAGTCTCTGCAAGCAGAAGGCAAGGCTCACTGCTACCCGGCATCTCTGTTCACTGCCGCAGGCAGGCAGCCAGGCTGGGATTTCTTCCTTTGGTGAATGTGATCGATGTCCACTCCCAACGCAAGAATAGCCCCAACAGCGGGCAAATGGTGGGGGAAGGCTGGCACCGGTCCCCTAAGTCCTCTGGGGAGCATTCACAGCTTTGAAGCAGTACCCAAGCAGCTCTTCAACCGCATCTTGGGCACCCCTTCTATGTACCAGAAACCGAGCCCTTACGTGCAGTCAGGCCCAATCGAGAAAGAGAAGTTTGATCAGGGCAAGTTTAATATAAAGAATTATCAAGTCTACTAAGGCAATAATGTTCAAAGAGAGCTCTCAAGAAAACCCTAGGGTTAACGGCAAATGCCCAGGGCAAAAAAAAAGTTCACTTGAAAGGTACCCCCTCCTGGAAGCTGGGATTCACATCTTGCTGGAGAAGGCTCCCTGGACAGCACACAGGTTTGCTGGGCTGCCTGAGCCAATGTGTGCAGTCACCAGGCAAGCGGGATGCACCCCACAGAGGGCTGGCAGGCGAGGGTGGCGGCTGGACGCTCAGAGGGTCAGACCCTGGGAGCTGCAGCCCGTGCTGGGACCTCTGCATGCTCTGGGCAGGCACCTTGGTTGTCTCCTCACTGCAGCCCTGCAGGCGTGAGCAACAGGGAAGGAGATGTCACTGAAACCAGAAAGAGAAGCCCCCTCGTCCGTGCAGTGTCCCTCAAATATAACATCGTGCACACAGCAAAGAAGAGATGTCCACAGGGTCCGGCTCAGGATCACGGAGCAGGTAAGGAAAGCGCATCTGGGGCCGAAAGGCAATAAATTGGTAATTGGAGCACCTGCTATATCCACGTTCCCCCTTTATTTCGTGAGGATGAGTGATAGCAAGCAGGTGTCTGCTCCAGGTTGGACACCAACATGTCTGGTTCCCAACACACAGGAGAGACACGGTCATCGTGGGGGGGGGGTCAAAGGTGAGCAGGCCCTCCGCCTGCCCGCGGATCACTGCATAGAGGAATCTGCTCGCTTCTGCTGCCAGGGAGGCAGGTGGCACGAGCCCTAAGGACTCCTCTGGGGCCAAGGGGGAGCAGCGCATCCTGAGCACCAGGCTCATTCCATTTCAGATGAGGGACTGGAAGCTCCTGGGGGGGGGGGGGCTGTCAGGAGCCCCAGCAGACCAGCCTCACATGCTCTTCACCGCCCCTCACGGCTCCTCCTACCAGGGGACGGTGCTTCAGAAAATCCCAGGCAGCAGGCGATGGGGCACAGCAGCCGTGTAGCGCTTCCAGTCACTGCCATACTTGTTGGCGCAGCGGTGCTCATCTCGGAGGCAGCGGTGGGTCAGCAGGATGGTCATGTAGATGATGTAGAAGTACGGCAGCAGGTGGCCCCCGCCGCAGGCCAGGCAGTAGGCCAGGCTGCCCATCAGGTCGCCTGTGTAGTTGAGGTGGCGGGCCACGCCCCAGAAACCCGACACCAGGAGCTTGCTGTGGTGCTTTTGCCCATCTGCGGACGTGTACATGCACTCGATGACCTTGGGCTTCCTGCCCCAGATGAGGCAGCGGCCGTCTGTACGGCGGAACAGATCCTTCTGATGGTTGGCCATCCGGAAGATGTAGTAGCCGAGCAGACCCAGCAGCAGGATGCCAGTGGCATGCAGGGTGGACAGCTGCACGGGGTGGTAGACCAGGTACAGGCCCTGCAGGGCGACAGGAAGCATGGCTGGGGTTCCTATCCCACTCTGCCCCAAACAGCTGCCTACCCATCCCATGTGTCTGCAGGGCGACAGGGAGTACGGCCAGGGTTCTGATCCCGCTCAGCCCAACTAGCTGCCTACCCATCCCGTGTACCTGTTTCCTCCTCTGGAAGCAAAAGCACCTGTGTCAGAGGGTGGTTGTGGGGGTCAAGTGTGCACAACAGACAAATCTTTGTATCTACCTGCCTTCCTCCCTTTCCATGTACCTATATACACATGTCCACATACACACATGTATGTCATATGTGTAGCATAACTGTAACTTACAACACAAAAAAATATCATTTGAACACAATTTTGTAAAAAAAAAAAAAACACACACACAATTTTATGATGGTTGACTTTATGTCACCTTGGCTAGGTCACATACCCAGACATTTGGTTGAACAGTGGTCTTGCTGTCAAAGCATTTTTTCAAGATAAAAGTAACACTTAAATTGGTAGACTTATGAGAAAAACAGTGTATCCTCCACCATGTAGGTGGGCCTCATCCAATCAGTTGAGGCTTAAAGAAAAAAAGAAAAGGTCAACCTCCCTTCAGAATGAGAGTGGATTATACCAGCAAATGGCCTTCAGACTCCAGCAGACTCTGACATCAACTCCTTGCACCTCCAGCGTGCTGGCTGCACTAAAGATTTCAGACTTGCTGGGCCCCCCGATCACATAAGCCAGTTAATATTTCTCTCCTCTGTGCATGTGTGTATGTGAATATGTATATATATATACAGATATATACACACATGTGTACGTAGGTTTATACGAGGCCTGGAACACAGTAAGAGACACGTGGGTATGATCCCACGTGTGATCTACTGTGTAGGCGTGTAGCTATACACCAACAGTCCACTGCTATTGGCTCATGTGCCTGGAGCATGGAGCTCACAGAATCAGGGAGCCCAGGGCGAGCAACCAGCCAGGTGGAGAAGCAGGTGCAGGTAGACCATGGCAGGACCGGGTCCCAAAGCACCAGGCCGGGGCTCTCTCCCACGCTTGCTCTGCTATGACTTTCCTGCTTGGGGACACTACACGGGGCTCCACCAGCCCAAGTCAGCCCCTGTCACTGCCTCATGCAGGACTGGCTGCCACCACTTGGCCCCCGTGCAGGTGACCAGGCCTTCCCACACAACTGCCCAGGCAGCCGCCCTGCTCACTGCCAGCGAGGCCAGAGCCCTGGACCATGCTCTCTTCCCTGTCCCCAGCCTCCTTGCTCACTCACGGAATGAACAGGTGGCGCCTGGCCAACGCCTTCCAAGCTGCCACACTCAGCACGCCACGGAGCAGGGGTTCTTGTAGGAGTTGGGAGAGCATGGGAGCCCGATGGCGAAGCCTCCCCTAATCCCCAACTGCCTCAGACACCCCGAGGCAGCTCTGCATGGAGTGCAGGGTGGGTGGGCAGCAGCAACCGGCCACCTGGCCACACCAGTCAGATGCCCCTCCACGGCTTCGTCCAGCCCTGCTGAGGGGGAGCTGCCCTAGTTTTCCAGAGGGGTCTGGGGCTGTGCTCAAGGCTGCCTCCCCTAACTGGTGTGAACCCAGGTCCCTGTGGCTCCCTCGGCCAACTCTGTGACACTTGAATTCCTTGGGGGCAGGCCAGGGCTCTCCTGAGGACCCCAAGCCCCTTCCGAGCTGCCTCCTCTGAGCCCTGAATTCTCTCACTAGTAAGACTTAGCAGGGGCCGGTCCACCTGTCTGGAATATTCTCAGACCCAGCATCAGCACTGCTCTCAGCCCAGCTGTAATGGGATCTCTCAATGCGTCTGCCCACCACCCTAGGCAAGTCAGGGGCTCCTCCTGGGCCCTCTCTCGGAAGCCAGCACCCCTCCCTGCACTAGGCTGCCTTTCCCACTGACTGTGAGCCCCGAGGGGGCACAGCCCACGCCCATCTCCTTTGCTTCTGCATCTCCAGCACGTGCTGGCACTACACAGATGTTCATCACAAGTTTATGGAAAAAACAAAGGTGAGAAGGAAAACCTCTCATCCTTCAACCACTAAGATTTGATATGAATATAAATACCCCCCTCCATCCACCCAGCTCAGCCAAATTATTCCTTTTAACCCAAAGTCTATACCATGTCATCTTTAAGCGTCACACGCTGTGTCCCCCAAATTCATAACTGGAGCCCTAACCCTGAGGACCCCAGAATGAATCTATACCTAGAGATGGGGTCTTTAGAGGGTAATCAAGGTAAAATGGGGTCACCAGCATGGGCCTGAGCCAGTGTGACTGGGGTCTATATGAGAAGAGGGGATCAGGACACAGACACACATGAAGGGACAACCCCTTGAGGACCCAGGGAGAGCACGGCTGTCTACATACACACAGAGAGGCCTCAGGAGGACCCCACCTGCCCGCACCTGCATCTCAGGCTTCTAGCCTCCAGGACAGGGGGACAGTGAGCATCTGTGGCCCAAGCTCCCCTCCCGGTCTACGGTATTTGTCATGGAGCCCAAGCTGACTAATGCACCAAGCCTTCCCTTCCTCCTGGAAACAGGGAGTGGCTCCCCTGTCCTGTCTCTGCTGTCTCCCAAGCACAGCCTGTGTGTGGGAATGGAGCTCAGCACGTGATCGGCCGTGTCTCCGAGGGCAGCCCTGGGCATGCCCAGGGCCCTAACGACTGAGTGTTCCACTGGGCCGCGCACCACATGGCTCCTCACCTGCAGTGTGTAAAGGTACGGCAGCCAGACACAATCCCCCCAGCCCAAGTACCACCCAAAGTGGTCGTGGCAGATGTCGATGGTCTTCAGGTACCATGTTTCATTCCAGAAAAAGTCCAACACGTAGATGGCCTGCAAAACAAGGAGAGCCGTGGACTGACCCAGGGGCACCAAGGGGCCCTCAGGAAGACCACATTTTCATAGATGAGGAGGTGGCACCTGGGGTGTTTCTGAGCTCCTCGGTGATGCACTCCACTGGGCTGCTTCCATGTTTCCACCATGCCTGGGACACAGGGGGCAGCTGGAGAACAGGTCAGGGGGCCCTATACGCAGAGAATCTGCACAAGTGGGGCACCCAGCAATGCCCTAGGAGACGCCACCTGGGCTGCAGAGCTCAGAGAAGACCAAGGTCACTCCAGCAGAAGAGCTTGGGACAGCCCACAAGGAAGGAGCACTGTATGCCAGAATCCATGCCAGCTTGGAAGCCCTTCACCCATGGGTACCCCAGGACATGCCCTGCCAGCTGCCCCTGCAGCACCAAGACCCAGCCCAGCCAGGTGACCTGTGTCCTTCCACGCAGATGGAGAAAAGGTGGAAATGGATTACCGTCCCTCCCCCCAACCTGAGACCCATGGGGAGACCTGTATGGGAACACACTTCACAGACCATAAACTGTGAATACAGCCAGGACCAAGGACAAGCTGGAGCTGTTAACAAGTGTCCCCTGGGAAAGAGGCCCTGCACCAAATGAGTCCCCAGGGCCAGCGCAACACCTGATACACTGACGGACTCTGTCCCCACGTGCTCCCTCACCCGCTCCCCAGAGTTGCCCAGAAAGGGGCCGACTCCCTTCTAAATGCAGTGGATTAAGGTTTTTCAAAAACTATCTGGCTTCCAGGTTTCCCTGCACCCAGCAAGCATCAGTTCTTCCACCCCTGTGGCCGCAGACAGGCTACCTGCAGGATGTTGACCAGGACCATGGCGTTGGTCACTTGGCCGTGGAGCTCCCGCTGCTTGGCCGCAAAGGACAGGTTGATGAGGGTCCAGGCAACGATCCCGGGGCGTCCGTTGAAGAACAGCTTGAAGTCAAACCACTTCCCAATCCGGGGGTTAAACTCAATGCCCATCATGTAGTTGTAAAAGAAATTGCCTGTGAATTTGCTTGAAAATAGAAAAAACACATACATTTAGCCAAAGAGCGTGTCTCACGACACAGGGCCTGTGTGTGCGCATGGACACAAGCACCCCGCCTAACCCTGGCATCAGCTGCAGAGGTGCAAGCAGATGACACACCGGTCCCTTCATGTCCCACTGGCTCTCACTGGACGCTCAGCTCCAGCTTGGCAGAGTCATCCTGAGAAACAGGCACCTGGGCTGCCTGCTGCCTCCCTCGGAAGGTGGGTGGGGGGGCGGGGTCTTCCCTTGAGCTGCCAGGTTTCTCCCCACCCTCCTCCAGGCCCCCCTTGAGGCACGGCCCGCTGAGCTGCATAACTGGCTGCATAACTACATGAAGATCTTATTTTGCAGTCAAGCATAGTTGGAAAGTTGCAGTCAAGGTTGGAAGTGACTCACAGGGTGCTCGGGCCCCCATGGGCAAGTCAAATGACAAATCATGCCCAGATCTCTACCTGGGTAAAAGCAGCATGCTCAGAACCAGGTGCCTGGCTCCAGCTCTCCCACCCCAACCCTTGCTAGTCATTTGTTGCCCTGGTTCCTGACCCCATAGCCCTCTCCAGGGGTGACGCAGAATCAGCCAAGATGAGTGATATGGAGACCTTTCTCAGATATAACTTGTAGACACATAAGGATTTCTGTGTTAATGAGATAAAACATTTTCATGTTTGTTTCCCTCAGGATAAGTATTAAAAAAAGAAAAGCAAAATATATAAAGTCTACAACAGGTGATTAATTAGAAAGCACTGAAAATGACTCACAGAAGACCAGCCTCATTACCTTATTACCACACAAGTCACAAAGCACCATCATCCAAAGATGTTTCCCAAGAGCAAGAGTTAAAAGAAACATATTTTGGTTTTTTTGGGGTCCCTAAATGTACGGGGGACTAAAATGTAGGCACCCAAGCACAAGGGTCTCATTCATGACTGCTTACATCCATCTATTGGAGGAACCCAACCAACATCTATTGGTGGAGGTAGAGATGGATGGAGGGATTGAGGGAGGCAAGGATAAAGGATGGGGGTTGGACACGTAGATGAGTGGGTGGGATGAATGGAATAGGGTTGAATGGGTAGTTGGGAAGATGGGTGGATGGGTGGGTTAAATGGAGGGATGGATGGGTAGATAGGTAAATGGGTGGGCTAAACGAACGAGTTGGTAGGTAAGTGGATGGATAGATGAATGGATGGAGGAATGCGTGGGTGGGTGGATGGATACATGGAAGGACGGGTGGGTGGGTGGGTACATGGATGTGTGGATGGAGAAAGAGCTAGATGAGGAGATGGCTAGCTGGAGGGCTCACAACTCTCCAACCCAAAGCTTCCATGAGAAGGCACCACCCAGTAGGGCTCTCCCTGGGTGGCTCTCACATTAAAACTACTGAGATAATAATACACCTCACTAAGATTGTTTCAGGCCAGACTCATGTTCCAGAGATGGAGGCAATGGGCTGCCTTTTCCACTTTCCTGCTGCCATGATAGCCCTATAGGTGATGACTTGGCTAAAGATGGACTTGGCCATCTTCCACTGCATTCTTTCTAAGGCAGAAGAAGACCTCTGGACATTCAGAAAGGATGTTTCCCAGAATCAAACAAGATCTGTTAGGCATCTCCTTCAAGGATTCTCCTTCTTCAGGGCTTTACAACCTCCTATCCCAAGGTCGTAGAGAAAGGCAAGGGGTGGAAAGGCCACATTCCACTTTAGGCCTGACCAGCTGCTAAAGAACGTACCAGTCTTTGGCATTGGTGGGGAAGAAATAACCCTTGATCATGGCAAAGGTGGAAACCGCATAGCCGAGGATGTTGGCGCACCACAGCAGTGGTATCCAGTTGTCGAAGATGATGGTGGGAGAGAACCAGGACAGGACATGAGAGTTTGCAAACCAGAGAAGGTGTGTAATGAGCCACGCTTGCAGGCCATTGATTTCATACTTGTTGACAACCCCTGCAGACAGAAGATTCAAAAGTCAAAGTGTTTTCCTGACTGAAACAGCAGCTGGTGCAGACCCTCCCTGCTTTGTGGGCCTCGGCTGCTCCGGGCCTGTCTGGGACACCCAGGTCACAGCCCTGAAGCTGCATAGCTTCTGCTATAACATGGGACCCCAGGTCAAAATGCCAGTAGCATACATCACACAGTTAGTCCAAGAATTAACTGCTTGTGCTTTCAGAGTCCTGGGAAGAGGCAAAGGGCTCAGACTAGTCCTCTGGTTCTGATTCTCCTTAGCCAAGCACAAGCTGGGTCACCGGCCTGCAGTTTGCTAGAGGGAGAGGATGCCTCCAAGGTACCTGTCAGGAAGCACCACAGCCTCCCCGCTGCCCTGGGAGCCCCCTGCAGGCAGGGACAGGGCGGATTCCACCTGTGTTCTCCCTGCGGGGCTCCCCCTGGGTTCTCAGTGATGGTGGGGAATGCATGGACTGGGCAGCTCTGCAGGCCCCTGGTCCCCCTGCCTGGAAGCCAGGGGCCAAAGCAGTGCTCTGGGTTGGGAGACACTTCAGGAGCCCCAATTACGTCAACCAATTGTGAGGGCCAGGGCCAGTCAGTTTCCTGTCCGCTGAAGAATGGGATCTCCAACCTCGGGCCGGGTCAGCCCTAGGCTGTGGCAATGTCCCAGCAAAGTTCACTTTCATTTTGTCAGTGAGCACACTCTGGAGTGGAAGCAGCAGGGGGTGGACAGGCCCCATGAGGCAAAGAGGCAGGGAGAGAAGAAGGACCCACGGGCTCAGCTTACCTGCGGGGGTCACGGCACCCTCTTGAACACCTCCCACGTAGCCCGGCAGAAACTTATGGCAGAAGTCAGGAAGTGCCATGTACAAAAGCACCTGCGGCAGAGATTTTAGGCTGTGTCACTGGTGGCCTGGAGGGTCTGGCTGTTTCCATACAACCTTGCTTTCATTCACTAACATGACCCACGCAAAAGCACCACATGAACGGCAGAAATGCTGATTTGGGTCGGTCATTCCTTCCAGAAGAGTCCGTGGCCCTGGGAGGGAGCGGAGGCCGCAGGCCTGGTGGGGCTCTGAAGGGAGCACAGCCCTGAGTGGGAAGCTCATTACCACATAAAGCTGTAGAGCAGTCTCCCCCCAGCAGAGCCCATGAGTCCTCGCCACTCACATTTCTGGGGCCATTTAAGAGAGTGAAAGAATTCACATGCCATGCAATTCACCCTTTCAGACCTTTTCAGGCTCATTTCATGCATTCATAGGGGTATGTAACCACTGCCACCATCCAGTTCCAGAACATGTCCATTACCCCAAGAGAGAACCCCAGCCTCGCCATAGCACACATGAGCGCCCCACTCCTTCTCCCGGCTGGGTAATGTTCTGCTGCATGGAGGGACTATGTTTGGTTTTATCCACTTGTCCACTGGCATTTCTACTTTTAGGTCTACTCATGCTGCCCCTTCTTGTTTTTCACCCAAAGGGACCAAGAGACGGGAAATAAGGGTGAGCCTGAAGCCCAAAAGTTGGGACCCTGAGGAAAATCTACTACAAAGGGTTGGAGCTTTCCTCAAGGGAAGAAGCCTGGGATATGAGGGAGAGCCTTTCCCCGGCTCCATTTCCCTGGATTCAGATAACAAACAACCCTGCCTGTTCACCAGGTTGTTTGTGCCCAACAGCGCCTTCCTGGTGAATGCCTCCTGGTCTCAAAGGCCAGTGTGGTCACAACAGAGGTGAGGATGTCATTGGCCAGGACTGTGAAGCCACCTGCTGGGAACACAGGCTTTGGCTTTGCTGAGTGGTGTCTCTTGTAACAAAGAATATCCTTCTGGGGTCTGGAATGTTCCTTCCCATGGGCTACCTTTTTTTTTTTTTTTTAAAGATTTTATTTATTTATTCATGAGAGACAGAGACAGAGAGAAACAGAGACGCAGGCAGAGGGAGAAGCAGGCTCCAAGCAGGGACCCTGATGTGGAAACTTTATCCCATGACCCCAGGATCACGTCCTGGGCAGAAGACAGGCACCAAATCGCTGAGCCACCCAGGGATCCCCCCCATCCCATGGGCTACTGATGAGAGAAGCTTCCTGCACTGGGCTTCCCTAGGCCAGCCCTGCCTCACACCCTCCCACACGGTCTTGTTCCATACGAGTATGCATGTCCCTGCAGGGCTGCACGTGTTCCTGAACTGTGGGGAGGCTCCCCACATCACAGTTAGACACCGTGATGCCACCAGGTGCATCCTATTAGAAAACAAAGCTAAGTGGGTCAGGCTCCAGGTAATGCCCTGCTGGGGCCTGAGAACAAGAATGCCAACCTAAGCCAGGGTCCCGTTTCCCAGAAAAGTGGCCATCCCAGCAGAGGGACACTTGGCACTCACTGTGCCCTGACGACAGTAGACAGGGAGGGCTGACCTGGAACGTGACCCATAAGGCATACAGCTGGGCTGCTTTCTTTGTCACAGGTGGCGTCTTGGCCCAGATGTCTGAGAGATGAGCACGCCCAGTGGCGACATCCATCACGGGGGCAGTCAGAGAGCAGCTGTACTGGTCACACGCCATGATGAAGTAGTACACAATGAAAGGTGCGAAGAGCAGCAGAAAGATGACGCTCGCTAGCGAAAACCAGTCCACCTCCCTGCAATGGCAGACAACAGACAGTCATGCAGGGCCTGGCTGGCCCCATGACCTTGCAGACAATGTTTTGCCTGTCTGTATGGGTTGCCTTGTGCAAACCGGCCAGTGTCTCAGAGACCAGGCCTCTCCGTGCAGAGGCCTCCCCGTTGCCTGGAAGAGCCATTTAACGTGTGTGCTCTACCGTGAGCAGCAGAGAAGTTGATGGCTCTGTGGGCACCCAAAGAAAGCCCAGAGCCCAAAGACCTTTTGAAATGCACAAGGCCAGAGGCTTCCTGGTTCCTGGCAAGGGGGCTGCTCACCCACTCCCAAGTTTCAGGAGAACGGAGACAACAACGGAGCTGCACAGCCAGGGTCAGCCTGTTTTGGGCAGTTTTTCATTTCTTCTTCACCTCCTTACTTTCTAAAAGGGAAAACTGCTTACTTTTCATTAGTCTGGATGATAAAAATTGTATTTAATATAAGCCCCTAAAATCCCAGAGGCTGGCCACCTCTCACTAAGACCTCCTTTTGTTTTCTAGCTGGGAAGACTGGCAAAATCCTTACCAGGCACGACCCCACTGCCCTTGAGTCTCCGCCCTGCTGTTGGTGATGCTGCCCGGACTCTTGGTTTTGGGAACACTGGGTGGAGATTTTGCAGCCATTGGGCCCTGAGAGAAGAAGACATATCCCGCTCAGATCATCCCATGAACAACCACCACATTTCCCTGTCACATCTGTCACTGCTCAGGCTCCGCAGGACTCGCCTCTTTCACTTGCCTACTCACTACGTTGTCCTCAATGGCAGATTCCAGGCAGAGGAGAGATCATGGATTGTTCTGCAGCTTTTCCTTCCTGAAACCTGCAATAACTTCCCATGTGGCCCTCCTACTTCTCTTGATTCAGGCTCAGACGGAGGCAGAATGCCCTCTTGCCATGTGAACTAAGCCATCCATGGCTCAGAGCCCTCTTACAATCTGCTCCTGTCTCCTGTCCTCCCCACTCTCTACTCATACCTTCTAAACCAGGCACATTGGGTCTTTAATGATCCTTGAATATGGTTCATCTCATTCATGATTGCTGCAACTTCTGCTTAGAACATGCTTTGCAGGTCTCCTCATCCAAGTCTTTTGTAAAATGTCCCCTCCTTAGTATGACCTTTTATTTTTCCTGGAGTTAATTATCACTAATTTTTTTTTCTGATTGCTTTTATAGAGCTATCATACACATTGGCCATGTTTTTTTACACACTTGAACACAATAAAATTTATCATTTTCATTCTCCCTCTCCCCTATAGCCATTCATCTTGAACCAATCTACAAGCCAATCAGCCAAACCATATCGCCTGCACCCCAAACCCCCTCCCAAGGCACTCTACCTGTTACTTTATTTTCTTAATAACTCTTCACATCATGTAGACTGCTATTTAAAATTTGAGTGCATGTCTATTGCCTATCTCCCTCCATTAGAATGCTGGCTCCCCAAGTTCAGGAAACATATGTCCTATTCATTGCTCTACTACCAAATCCTAGAATGTAGTCTAGGATTCAATACATTCTAGTGCATTCAATACATTATCACTCTACAAAGAAAAAAAAAAGTAGAATAACTGAACTTGTCTATGGGGGAAACAGTGATATCTACACTTCCAGAATAAGTTCTAATTATAAATATATCAATCTAATTTCAAAATATCAGGGATAAGAAAAAATAACTTTAAGTTTTTACAGAAAAATCCTGAATTAAGAATCACACCAGCAGCAAGTTGGATTCTAGAAGACAATGACGGAAGACTTTAAAAATTCTGAGGGAAACTTTTTTGCAACCTAGAATTCTATCCCTGGATTAACTATTATTCAGAGTATACACAGGATCCAAGAGAGCTACTTAAAGGAAAGCCCAATGAAAGGACAAGGGGCTGAGAGCTGTGCCGTGCACCAGACAGTAACCAGGCTATACTGGTACAAAATGAATAGCTATAATGGGAAGGAGAATGGAAGTGATGAATTTTATTGTGTTAGAGCATGAAAGATTACTGATATGTATGACAGCTCTGTTAGAGTATTCAGAAATAGTGATAGATGCATAGAAACCTTATTAAATGGGAAGGAAGGAAGGAAGGAAGGAAGGAAGGAAGGAAGGAAGGAAGGAAGGAAGGAAGAAGAAAGAAAGAGAGAGGAAAAAAAAGTCATATAAGGGGGGAAAAAAACCCAAACCATAATTATAGTACATTATTTGGCCTAACAGTAAATAGTAGCAACTTTGTTATAACAATGTAAAATCTGGTTATAGACTGAATACTGGATGTATAGAAGGATACATAAAGTTAGGAATGGCAAAAGCAAATTATTTAAAAATAAGCAGGTAAAAACAACAACACAAAAGTAACTAAAAGAATGAAAAGTAAAAAAAAAAAAAGAAGAAGAATGAAAAGTATTTGCTTCTGGGAGCTGAGACTATAGGATGAATTGGGGAACTGTTTATTCTATATATAAGCCTTAAAACCCATTAATTTGTTTAAAAATGTAAACATGAGTTACTTTAACACAAATGTACATTAAAAAAAGTTTCAGTGACAAAACAATTTTCACTTGTGGTGTGAGAACCGTAGCAACATCACTTAATTTTCACAGGTTAGTTAGTTGGAACATCTATCCATGATGTACAAAGTAGGATGAACAGTTCTTTATAGACCATCCATCTTTACAGCCCCGAAACAGAATACAGAGCTTGGTGTGTGGCAGTCACTTTGACTGAACATGGTAGAAAACTGTAAAAGGGCCAGAAACATACAGGCTCAGAATCAAGTATGGAAAAGCCAAACGGAGAGTGCTGCCAAAAGGAAAAAGTGTATCTTTCACAGATTAAAACAAGCCCAAATAAATATTTTGAGATTACAGAGTTCATTCACCCAGGAATCCCCTCTGTCATAAGCATTGAATCTTATAATAAATGTGTAAGTTATATCCTTGGCACTAGGCAGCCGGAAACTGGAGAGAGGGAGGTGCTTAGGGTATATTTCATTTTATTCCTAAGACTCACAGACAGGAGTAGATGTACCAGGTGTCTTTACCTGTTCAAAGTTAGAAAGTCACTGTCTATGCCCCTGAACAACCGTGCTAAGACATGCTTACCTCCAACGTCTTGTCTAAGGGTTTCACAGCAGAATGGAAGTGTTCCTTCTGGAATGGGCCACTCTAAAATCTCTAGGCTCTCTTGATTCAAAAGGCCCACTTTATCCTTCTCAACCCACTGAGCAAAGTCCTGTAGGGACACAAAGATGATGAAGACACTCAGGGAGCTGACATTTTAGGATTGAGGGCAGATAAGGACCTAAATGGCATTTATTCAAGGCTCACTGGTGGAACCAAGTGAGAAGTGCAAGCTCAGCATTTGGGGTTCAAAAGCGGAAGATACCCCACATGGGAGAGGAGGGAGAAGGCACTATTACAACCCAGCTTCTTTGCCTGGCACACACAGCACCAGGCAAATAGTAAGTACTTAATGATACCGGGGGGATTGAATGGAAGTCTTCATGGAGGCGTCACTTGGGCATGAGCCTTGGCACACGAAGATGCAGACCTGACCAGTAGCGATGAACAGAAAGGCGTTTTCTTTGAAGACTTACACCAATACACCAAGCAGCCACATAGGCATCTGAAACATTCCCTGAAGCTTTATAGTACCACCAGCCTGAACCAAGCCCCTAGAGTTATCACATTCCATTGATACATTCTAGAAGCCAGTGAGAGCCTAAGGACATGAAACAGCAGTGAGAGTGATGTGGGCTTGGAGCCTGGCTCTCTGCAGACTTGTGGGACCCAGTGACCTTCCTCCGTGTCTTGGGTCATGAGTATGTACGCATGTGAGGGTCTGCAGCAGTTGTTAAAGCTGGGTGAGGGAGAGTTAGTGTCCCACACCTGGGAATGAAGACCAGCCAGGGAAGTGGATGGGACTTTCTGGAACCCTGGTCAGGTCCCCTGACGGGTCTTTGAGTTCCCCAGGCCAAAGCTAAAGGGACAAGGCCCCTGAGGGTTTGAAGATGACGTAGGAGAAATGCCTGACCCTAAGCTTCTGATTGCCAAGGCATCCCTAGCAAAGACACCCATCTCAAATAAACATATTACCAGCTGCTTGACCTGGCTAACAGCCAAACAACCAGAGAAGTATCAGGCCACTCCTTTCCACAAAAGTCTGCTTTCAGAAAGCCCTCGGTGACCAAGATAGTTGATCGCTGCAGTGATCCCACTTCTTCCTATGCCCTAATTCCCACTCTATGCTTTAAATTGGCCAATAAAGAGTGAACCCATGAAACTCCAGGCTCCCAACCCCGAACCTAATGAAGACAGAGCACCAGGGCCATACACTCTCTCTCTCTCCATGACCCACTGTGGCTCTGGGCATTCTGTGTACCCTCCAGGACCTGTGAGTAATAAGCCTTGCTCATTGGAGCTCCCCAATGGTTGTTGCTGAGGAGCATCCTGCAATCATCCAGACCACAAGGGCTGGGCCAGCCCTGATGGACCTGGGTGAGGGGAACTGGGGGTGGGGGGTAGGGGTGGGTTGCCACAGTAATAGGAGCTCAGAAGGGTGTCTCAGGCATTCCCAGCCCATAGTATCACCATCTATAGGCTGAGACCCAATCAACAGATGACTTACACCCCTTGGCAGCTTTTTAGCATCCTGAAAGTTTAGAAGTTTGGGGATGCACTAGATGCCCAGGAGCACAGCAGAGAAATCTGGGGGCTGGCACAGGGACTGCCCCACAGGTCCCATAGTCCCCATCAAGGCTGCAAGTTCTCAGCAGGACCAATTCCTGCTGCCTGCACGGAATCCAAGTTGTGGAACCACCTGCTAGGCCTCAGTTTTCTCATCCACAAAGCAGCTATCACCTGCTTCCTCGAGGACACAAGGTCATGGCACCAAGCGCTCGGAGCCCTCCCTGACCACAACAGAGTTCACCTGAAGGAGCCAGCTATCACCAAAATGACTATCAGCACCATCAAGTCTCAGGAAGGCCCAGCTGGGCTCATGCAGGGCATCAGGGCGAGGCTCAGGCTAGCAGAGGTCTAAGGGCCATGCATCTGCAGTGCCCAGGCGCACGTATTCTGGTTATGCCCTGCAGCTAACCGTGCTGCCACCCGGTGTCTTAAAACAACAGCCTCTTCATCCTTTCTCTCTGCTTCTGTGGCCAGGAATCTAGGGAAACTGGCTAGGCAGCTACGGGTTGGGATATGCCAGAGCGCCTACCTTCACATAGCCTGTGTGGGCCAGCCTGGGCGTCTTCACAGCCTGGTGGCCTCAGTGCAATGGGAAGAAGTTCAGGAAACCAGCAAGGGTTCCGACAGACCTGACAGAGTTGTAGCGCCCTGTCTGCGGGCCTGAGAAGACTAGTGACAGCACTCCCCGCACAGTCTGTAGGTTACAGGGAGTTCCACACCCACCTCCTTTCCAGGGGAAAGGAGTCAGGCTCCACTCCTTGAAGGGAGGATCGCCAGATACTAGATGAACAGGAGATAGTGTTGGGGCCGTCCTTGGATGATGCAACCTTTACAGACAGTGGCTATTTACTGAGCCTCCACGGAGTTCCAAGTGCACAATATCTTCCTGAGTTCTTGCACTGGCCCTGGAGAGTGGGCATTACGATGTCCGTTTTACAGATGAGGTTGACGTGAGGAAGGTGGAGTGCCTTCACTGCTCACACACCGGCCTGTGGAGATGGAGGTTAATGACTCCTGGGAGTGGGCTGGAGGAAGAAGATAGGCAAGGACCTCCACATCTGACATCTAAACTCGTGTTACAGTGAGCATATATTTGCAGCTTTTGGAAGGTAGATTCCCCGGAGCCACAAAGATGCAGCTTACTCTTTAGAATCAAGGCTGTGTGAATTGAGGGAGCGACCACCACCGCAAAGGGCCCAGGGGCAGCAGGCGGGGCTGGGGGTGTGTTGTGAAGAAGCAAGTAAACAAGAATTACCCCAAAGGTCAGTCTCATCACGCCTTGGGGTAATTGGGGTGAGGTAATTGGGGTGAGGGGAGGCACAGATAACTTCCCTGACCCCCATTAGAACCACAAATGTTCCCAGGATTGTGGGTCTTAGGGTTCCAAGAGTTGTTTAAAAACTCTTTCCATTGTTGCTAAATTATGTTTTCTGGAAAATAGGGAAAGAACACCTGTATTCCCGCCACTGGGTAGGGTTCCGGTGTAGAGCTTTTCAGTCTTTTTGACGGCAGACTATCTCTTACTGCCCCTTTTGCTGTGCCACGCTTGGGAACGTGTTTCCAGGCTGAGTCGATTTGTTTTCACCGTCGCCGCGTATCTCACTGTAGAAGTGTGTCAGTATTTACCCGATCTTCTTACTGATAGTCAGCAGTGGTTTCTGGTATTTTGCAAGTATATACAGGAAATCACAATGAGAGTTCTTGCATCTGCCTGTTTACACAGCCGTTGTAATATGTCCCAGGATACACTCCTCCAGGTACATGCCTGATAGATAGGTAGGTCTACCTGGCTTCTAGGACTGTCTTCATCCCCTCGCTGATTCTGATGGTTAACATTCTTCCTCACCTTGGGTTCAGGTCGACAGGTCTGTACTCTTCCGTTCCTACTACTCTTCTATTAAAAAACTCCCAAACCAGACCTGAGCCGTTCAGATAAGGTTCCAAGAAATGTTTCTGCAGTCGAATACTACTACCTGGCACCGCCCTCGGAAAGATTAGCTGTTATCATCATAGTTATCTGAATCTCACTACCAGACTTCTCCATGCCCGGTGGTCTTCAGCTCCCCCACCCCACGCATCCACATATTTTTTTGAGAAAATACACAAACCTACTCGACATTTCATTAAAAAGAAATCCTTCAAATTGCGCTCAGGAGGAGCGGGTCATTTTCCGCTCCTACCAAGAGCACGCAAAAGGTTTTCTTCTCACTGCACTGTGCAGCCCCTGGCTGCCCGGGTCTCGAATCTGGGCACCCATTGTGGCGCCCGGGGTGGGGGTGGGGGGTGTCTCTTCACCTAAGGAGCTGCAGGAAGAGCTCAGGTGGGCCCCCGCCGTCAGCCCGGGGCGCCGGGGACCAGGCGCTTCTGAGAGCGGACCACCCGCGACCGCTCACCTGCGCGCCCAGCACCGACGCGCCCCGCGCCCACTCACCTGCACCTCCGGCTCCGCACCCGCCGACCAGCCCGCCCGGCCCGCGGCGCGCCCCGCTGCCCGGAGGGGCCGCCCCAAGCCCCGCCCCCGGGGCCCGGCTCCGACATGACGTGATGCCACAGGCGACCAATCGGAGGCGGGCCCTGCGCGACCGGCGTCCCTGCGCCCTGCCATTGGTCGCCCGCTTCGCCCCACCCCCTGAGCTGACTCCGGGCCACGGAACGGGCCACTCGGCGCCGCTGGGGCGCGGGATTGACGGCCGAGGGCCCGCCCCGCGCGTGGCTGGCGCAGCTGCTGGGGGCCCCAGCACCCAACGGAGCTCAGAACGCAGAGCACGCGCGAGGCCGGGAGCTCCATCCACCCGGTGGCCGCATGCAAGCCTCTTCCCCTGAGCCTGTTTCCTCTTTGTGCAAATGGGGCTTCCTGAGCATCTGGTACATCAGGCGCTGGGTCCTAAGCAACTCAAAACGGACATCATCCCTGCTCCTAGGGCTCACGTCAGGCGGGAGCTGGGCGGGGGGACGAGTAATCAATAAACGATCATCAAATAAGTGGAGTGTCACATAGTGTGCAGAGGAGCAGAGCAGGGTGGAAGAGGTTGAGCGTGAGTGCAGCTTTACTGGGGGGAGGAGATGGGAGTTTCACGTTGGGATCACACCTGGGCAGAGATAGGAGGGGAAGAAGCAGCAGGGTTGGAAAGAGGGAAATGTTCAACTGCCTTGCAAGCCCTGCTGGGGCCAATGGCATGGGGCAGATCTGGTGATAAGAACTCACAACAGTTGTCCCGCTTGGCAAGAACGCCCAAGCCTACAGACTCCTGCCTCAGCGACCAGCCCCTGGACAGGACCTTGGACAGGGCAGCTGTGCTACCCAAGCAGCCCCTGGAGGAGGGGTGATTGAAGGTGTCTGCTGGCCCCACTCCCAACATTTGGGACAAAGGCCTTGTTTGCAGAAGGATCTGGTTGGCACATCTCTGTGTCCCTCACAGAGAGATTTTTTCCTGCAGTTTTTTGTTTTGAAAGACGTCAAACATAGAAACCTATGAATTGAATATATACTAAAGTGGGCACCCAGCGACTGCCAACTGTTGGCCACGTCGAGTTTCTCTTTCCTGCTTTCTCTCTGTATCCACCCTCCACTTTTTTTTCCTGAACCATTAATTGGCAGCAGGTAATGTCTTCTTCCTAAATACTTCAGTAACCACCTCTTACATTAGCAAAATAAAACACATTATAGTCTGAAAATTTTGCATCAATCCAATGCTATTATCAAATATATTGTTCACATTTGGTTTTCCCCAATCATCCCGTTTATGTCCTTTATAGCTGTTTATTAAAAGCCAAGGTCCAATCAGGGAATCACACACACCATGCATTAGGTGTCATGGCTCCTTAGCCTTAATCTAGAGCACTGCTGCTCCAGCCTTCCTTTCTTATCTTTCTCTTTTTCTTTTTTTTTTTTTTTTTTTGGTTTGTGTTTTTGGCCTTTCGTGACATGACAATTTTGAAAAGTCAAGACTAACTTTTCACAGCGTTTCTCTCAACCTGCATATGACTGTTTTCCTCACTTTTGCATTTAGGTAATGCGTTCAGGGCAGGATAATGTACTACAGAGATGATGTGGTGTCTTTATGCACCATGTCAGAGGGAACATGATGCCCCTTGGTCACATGCTGATGATGAGTTTGATCGAGGGACTTTTGCCAAAGGTCTTCCATTTTTCCTTTGGTAATTAAAAAGTAGTCAGTGGACTGAAACTTTGAGACTGTAAATATGCTGCTCCCAGATAACCTTTCAGCCAGTCATCTTGCATTTAATGATGACTCCTGCCTGAATCACTGACTTCTTGTGCAAAGGGGTGATTTTTCTAATTTTATCTCTCCTTCCACATTTATTAGTGGGCATTTTTCTGAAAAGAATTTCTCTTTCTTGCAGCACCTGGGTGGCTCAGTGGTTGACCATCTGCTTTTCAGGTTGTGATCCCTGCTGATCAGATTGTGATCCCAGGGTCTTGGGATTGAGTCTTGCATCGGGCTCCCCAGAGGGAGCCCGCTTCTCTCTTTGCCTGTGTCTCTGCTGTGCCTGTGTGTCTCTCGTGAATAAATATTTTTTAAAAGAATTTCCCTCTTTTAATTTCTTTGTTGGTATGGATTAATGGATTTTTTTACTCATTGACTTGTGTACTATCTGTGCTGTTAACCTTTTTTTAAAAGAAGTTAGTATCTTTGCATATTATCCCATATTTAGCCAGTGGGAGCCCCTTTGGCATGATTCCTTTTTAAAAATAACGTATCTCCATCCTTCTTTGAGCACTTCCTTATTTCCTGCGACAACCAAATGTCCCAGGTGTCTTTCTTTCCTGCCCTGGGCCTAGACTCAGCCGTTTGGAGCAGGAGGTCTTTGAGCAGAGAGAGACCTGAAAGAACTGAGGGGTCTCTGGGAATGAAACCTACCAGAAGGAACAGTTGAAGCGAGGAGTAACTCAATTAGCATGTGCTGTTCTCAAGTTTCAAACTGTCCATCAGCACAAGTATTACTTTAGAGGGCTGGGGGAAATGTATTTTAAATGTGAGCACGTGTATGTAGCACAAAAGCAGTATCCCAAGTCGGGAGAAAAATACGGACTATTCAAATAAGGACAGTGTGTCTTATTCGTACAGGAAAAAATTGGATTCCTACGCCAAATGGACTACAGAATGAACTGTTAAGAAAAAGTGAACACCCGCCTGCAGCAGTTCTCTCCAAGCAAGAAACGTGGCACCAGGGCAGTGGCACACTCGCCTCCTACTGCTCCACTAGACACCTGCAGGGCCTGGGGAACCGCCCGGCGGCCGCACAGGACACACCTGGTGGAGAGGAAACGGCAGCGAGCGCCGGCGCGTCGGCACTGGGCTGCTACGAGCGCCCCCGCGCTGAACCCACCGCTCCTGCTCTACTCCCACAGTGCAGCCCTAAACTGCAGGAAAAAGAAATGAAACCAACGTGTGTGACCTTACGAGGTATAGAGCCGAGTTGCGGCGCAAACCCGGCGCAGTGCGGGGGGAGGGGTGGAATTAATCAGAGGCGCTGCGCTCCACGGCCCGCGACCGCCCCCCGCGCCGCACCGCAGCCTCCGGGAGCTCCCGCGGCTCCTCCGCGGCGCCGAGGGGCGCCTCCTTCCTGCGCAGGCGCGGCCGCGAGCTCCGCGGGGGGGCGGGGGGCGGGGGGGGCGGGGGGGGCGGGGGCGGGGCCTGCCGCCGCGGCTCTGCGGCCCGGACTCGCCGGACCCGCGCTGCGACCCGGAAGGGCCCGAGCTGCGGCGGCCGCGATGGGCCGGAAGGTGACGGTGGCCGCCTGCGCGCTCAACCAGTGGGCCCTGGACTTCCAGGGCAATCTGCAGCGGATTTTAAAGAGTGAGTCTGGGGCGGCGAGGTCGGGGCTGTGGTCGGACGGGGTGGGACGGGGCAGGGGGTCGGGCAGGGGGACGGGGTGCAAGGGGGACGGGGTGTAGGGGGGCGAGGGTGCAAGGGGGACGGGTGTAGGGGAGCGAGGGTGCAAGGGGGACGGGGTGTAGGGGAGCAAGGGTGCAAGGGGGACGGGGTGTAGGGGGGCGGGGGTGCAAGGGGGACGGGGTGTAGGGGGGCGGGGGTGCAAGGGGGACGGGGTGTAGGGGGGCGGGGGTGCAAGGGGGACAGGGTGTAGGGGGGCGGGGGTGCAAGGGGGACGGGGTGTAGGGGAGCAGGGGTGCAAGGGGGACGGGGTGTAGGGGAGCAGAGGTGCAAGGGGGACGGGGTGTAGGGGAGCAGGGGTGCAAGGGGGACAGGGTGTAGGGGAGCAGAGGTGCAAGGGGGACGGGGTGTAGGGGAGCAGGGGTGCAAGGGGGACGGGGTGTAGGGGAGCAGAGGTGCAAGGGGGACGGGGTGTAGGGGAGCAAGGGTGCAAGGGGGACAGGGTGTAGGGGAGCAAGGGTTGGGGGAGACGGGGTGTAGGGGAGCGAGGGTTGGGGGGGATGGGGTGCAAGGGGGACTGGGTATAGGGGAGCGAGGGTCCAGGGGACGGGGTGCAAGGGGGACGGGGTGCAGGGGAGCGAGGGTCCAGGGGACGGGGTGCAGGGGAGTGAGGGTTGGAGGGAACAGGGTGTAGGGGAGCGAGGGTTGGGAAGTACAGGATGCAAGGGGGGACCGGGTGTTCAAGGGGAGGGGTTGTGCGGGGGGACTACAGAGGAGGGCAGGCGGAGGGGGGCAGGCGAAGGTCCTTGTGATTCACACACATACCTGCTCTATGGAAAGTCACAGCCCTGGACTTGGGGACAAATAAGATGATGCATAATGACCACTCCCTGCCCCCTCAAGTGCTCAGGGCCCCTCCAGATTGCCTGGTGAGGACACTGGAGGTAGGAAAAGGATGCTGCAGAGACAGAGATGGAGGCGAGAGGCTGAGGCTTACCTGTCTTCAGATACCCTTGGGGTCCAGTGTGGCTTAGCTAGTGCTGAGCTGCCTGAGAGTTGCTGAGTTGCCCATGTTTAGAGGCGCTTAAGGGGAAGGTTGGCCAGCCACCAGGCAAGGAGGTTGTGAAGAAGTGTCCCCTGAAAGGTGGTCTTGTGACCAGAGAACTGGTTCCTAACTTAGGTTCAGCAGCTTGCCATCAACACTTGAGAGACACATGATGAGGGGTAAGGAAAGGTGGCTCTATTCAGGAACCAGGCAACCAGAGAAGATGGTGGACTGACCTGTCGAGGCCATCTTCCCCACGGGGGCAAGTTTTCAAAGAGGAAGTTGCAGGAAGAGGGACGATGGCCTTATGCAGGAGCAGCAGGTTTCCAGGCAGGAGGCAGTGGGGCCGGAGGCAGTCGGATGTGACCCTGAGCAGACTCACTGGCGTCCCCCCAGCTGTTTTCAGATGTAGTGAGGCTCATCTGGGAGAGTTTGGTCCTTCAGTCCTCAACGCCAGTGGTCTGCAGATCTTGGGGAAAGTAGGTTTGTTCTGCTACAGATCCAGGGATTTAGGTCAGCAAGCAAGGAGCCTGTGAGCTTGAAGCAAGTCAGACTTTAAGACAGTGGGAGTGCTGTTCATAGCATCTGTTGCCTGGAATATTTTTCCATCTCTTTGTGTCTTCCTCAATTTCTTTCAGAAGTGTTCTATAGTTTTTAGGATATATTTTGAGAACCATTTGAATGGTAAATGGTTCTCCAACCTTTTATTTTCAGGTTGTAGGTGTCCTTCTGTCTAAAATGAGTCTCTTGTAGACAGCAAATAGATGGGTCCTGCTTTTTTATCCAGTCTGAAACCCTGCGCCTTTTGATGGGGTCATTAAACCCATTCACGTTCAGAGTTACTATTGACAGATATGAGTTTAGTGTCATCATGATATCTATTTAGTCCTTGTTTTTGTGGATTGTGAAAATGTCAATGTTACCCAGGGCAATTTACACGTATAATGCAATCCCTATCAAAATACCATGGACTTTCTTCAGAGACTTAGAACAAATTATTTTAAGATTTGTGTGGAATCAGAAAAGACCCCAAACAGCCAGGGGAATTTTAAAAAAGAAAACCATATCTGGGGGCATCACAATGCCAGATTTCAGGTTGTACTACAAAGCTGTGTTCATCAAGACAGTGTGGTACTGGCACAAAAACAGACACATAGATCAATGGAACAGAACAGAGAACCCAGAAGTGGACCCTGAACTTTATGCTCAACTAATATACGATAAAGGAGGAAAGACGATCCACTGGAAGAAAGACAGTCTCTTCAATAAATGGTGCTGGGAAAATTGGACATCCACATGCAGAAGAATGAAACTGGACCACTCTCTTGCACCATACACAAAGATAAACTCAAAATAGATGAAAGATCTAAATGTGAGGCAAGATTCCATCAAAATCCCAGAGGAGAACTCAGGCAACACCCTTTTTGAACTTGGCCACAGTAACCGGAGAAGGACAAACAGTGTATGTTCTCATTCATTTGGGGAATATGAATAATAGTGAAAGGGAATATAAGGGAAGGGAGAAGAAATGTGTGGGAAATATCTGAAAGGGAGACAGAACATAAAGACTCCTAACTCTGGGAAATGAACTAGGGGTGGTGGAGGGGGAGGAGGGCGGGGGGTGGGGGTGAATGGGTGACGGGCACTGAGGGGTACACTTGACGGGATGAGCACTGGGTGTTATTCTGTATGTTGGTAAATTGAACACCAATAAAAATTAATTTATAATAAAAAAAAAAATAGCATCTGTTGCCTAGAGAAAGGCCTGATGGGGAGAAGCCGGCCCCAAGAGGGAAGCAGAGTAAGGGGTGAGCCTGCAAGCTTAGAGACTAGGGTGAGGCTCTAGCAGGACCACCATATAGTGAGCCTTGGCACCAGCTCATCTGTAAGCATGAAAGGCCCAACTACTTATACCTCCAGCTACAGCGGGGCTGTCCTGGGCAACCCTGCAGGTGTGCTCACCCCAGGCCATCTTGTTCGGAGCTGCTTCCCGCAAGAGGGTTTGCTAAAAGCAGGAAGAACAGGATAATGCAGGGGAGGGCATGTGCCCCAGACCTCCAACCTCTTTTTTTTGACATAAACCTGCTTTCATCTCATCAGAGCGCAAAGTGTATGTAGTTAGAGCGAGGCAGTCAGTGGCCAGAGCTGGGTCTCCATTCGAGTGGCCTCTTCTCTGCAGATGCACATTGGGGCACTGCTGGCCCAAACCAGAGGTCACTGGTGCCACTGAAGGCTGTGGTCTTTTGAGTCCTGCTTTCTCCCTGCACACGTTCTTTCACATCTGCCTGTTAATGAACTACCAGGGTGTGGCTTCCTCCTCCTGCCTGGTGCTAAGGGTCAGCCCTGCAGGCTCTGTGTCTTATTGCCTGCAGGGTAAGCAGGGCCTGTGGGAGTGCCCGTCCTTGGCTGCATGGGGTCAGGGAGATCACTGAGTGCTTTTGTTTGTGGTTTAGCTTTTTATCACACCTATTATAGCAGTGTTTTATCTGCCTTTGACTATGTTATAGATGCTAAAATTGCTCTCTCTCTCTCTCTCCCTCCCTCCCTCCCCCTGGACATGTAGGTATTGAAATTGCCAAACACAAAGGAGCAAGATACAGGCTGGGACCAGAACTGGAAATATGGTGAGAGCAGAACACACAGAGCCCACAGGGAAGGCAGGTGGAGGGATCTGTGTCAGCTCCCCACCATGGAAAGGCAGGGAAGGGGGTCTGTATGGAGAGGTGCGGATGTGCGGGACTGTTGAGGGGCATCAGAAGCCCCTGAGTGGGCCTGCTTTACTCCTCTGAGCGAGAGTACCCAGCCAGGCTGGGCAAGCCTGGAGTCCCGTGTCAGGTCACTAGAGTTGCTGAGACTTGCCAGCCGGGGCTGACGTCAAAGCTGTTCTGCTGGCTACCACCCTCCCCAGGTCCTCCCTTTCATGTTTGGCCCACAGCAGGTCTCTCTGGTCGTGGCCTCTCCCCACTCTGCCTTTTCACAATGATAGGGAAGCCAGTTCCTCCTTGTCCCTTATTCAGAATTAAGCAAGAGGCCACCACAGGCAAGTCTCTTACAAGCTATGATTCTTTTGTCTCACATGTCAGCTGCCCTCTGTGCCCTTCTGGGTCCCCATGTGTGCACAGTCCTGGTCATTGGTGGAATCAGAAGTCCCTCAGGCTGTGATCCTGCCTCAGTTTCTGGGCTTCATGTAGACAGAATGTCTCCTCCCAGGTGACCTCCCAGTGGTCCTCGAGGCTACTCCTGTCATTTTCTTCACTAGCTAGACTTCTGTTCTTGGAATCCTGACTTTTCTTGGGCTGTGTCTCCTGTAATTCCAACAGCATTTGTCCCCTCACTTAAACTGGTCTTCAAGACACTCCTCGGCTAGCTGCCAGGGCCCTGGGGTGTCTCAGTGATCTCTACCATCAACAGCCCAGTCCCCCTGGCTTAATCGCTGCCCAGGCACCTCCAGGTTAGGTCTTTGCTCCTTGTCCTGTTCTCTCCCCACACCTGGCCCCCAAATCCGGACCAGTCACTTTAGCTACAGGATCCCAGGATGGTACTTTTGTATCTGTTGATAACCTAAGGAGGAGGCTCACATTTATTATTGGTGACTGTTTGCAGAGAGGAAGCTGGGACAGGAGGGAGCCGGGCCCATTCGCTGAGCACACCTACTCCCTGTCTCTGGTGGCCAGGTCTCCAGCTCACACCCCAGAGGGGGGCAGTTGGAAAGGGAATGAGGGGCCAGTGCCACCGGGGATCTAGAGGTCCTTTGCTAGAAAGCCTGGCTGTGTCCTTTGAGCCAGTTTTGTAGACTTTGCAAATGGAAGGCTGCTACCTAAAATGGGCCGGGGGCACTTACAGCCCCTGTTACAAAATGCCCCTCCAGTTGTTGGCCGGCCAAGGGAGCAAGGTGTCAGCTGACGGCCAGATGTCAGGCATAGGACATGTGGCATCCATTGCCATTAGGTATCATGGGTGGATTGGGAGCTGCCAGGGCATAAAACCTCCAGAACAAGACTCTGCCCGTTGGAGAGGAAAGGCTAGCCCAGGTCTTGAGCCCTCAAGGGGGCATCTCCTTGACCTCCTTTGCATCTAAGAACCTGGGCTTTCCTTCTCAGAACTGAAGGCTGAGAGGCATGCTTTCCAGACATTAAACATGCAAATGCCAATTGTGGGGGGCGGGGGCGCTCTATGTCCATGTGCACAAAGTTTGCTCAGGACTTGCAGCATTGCTCCTAGGCCGCCGCACAGGAGGAAGGGAACATTTTTGAAGATTTAGAAGTAGTTTACAGTCACTGTGCGTTGTTCCTGGCACACCTGTGCCTGCAGACTCCTGGCAAGCTCGTCTTCACACTTTACAACATCCCAGAGCACTGTATGAGTTTTCTGGGGCTGCTATAACACAGTTCCACAAGCTCAGTGGTTTCAAACTGGGGGAATTAACTCTCTCACAGTTCAGGAGTCCAGAAGCCCAAAATCAGGGTGTGGGCAGTGCCCTGCTTCCTCCAAAAGCTCCAGGGGAGGATCCATCCTGCCTCCTCCAGTTATCGCTCCCAGTCCCTCATCCTGTGGCCACATCCTCTGATCTCCCTCTTCACACGCCCCCTCACTGGGTCTTCTCATCTTTCTGTTAGATTCAGGACCTGCCCTCATCATTTGGGCTCATTTCCTCTTTAGATCCTTAATTCCCTTTGCCCAAATATGGTCACATTCATGCATTCTGGGAGTTGGGATGTAGACACACATTTTGGGAGGACACCATCCTGCCTGCTCCCAGCAAAAGCATGTGTAGCAAGAACTAAGAGTTGCTCTGTGAGTGGTAATGGAGTGATATTAATGATCATCCTTGCCTGAGGAATGCAGTCTGTGGGTCTAGTTTTGCAGATCTGTGTGATTTTGGCTCCATTAAAAGTTTAAAAAAAATCCACAGCCAGACACACAGACAAGAGAGAATTTCTCATAGTAACTGAAAGCTTGGAGAAAGAGCCTAGGCCTGGGGGTTTCTTAATTTCCAGGGAAATGCATCCTCTTCTGTAACAGTGATCCTAACTCTGGTTGCGTGGTGAAATCACCCAGGAAGTTTTGAAAAGACACCAGTGCCTGGTTGCACCCCTGCACATTCTGACCCCATTAGCTCATCGGCCCCTGCTGACCCTCCCCAGGGCTCCTCTCCTCCCCAACTCTGATGTGTCTCTGGGGTTCCCCTGGTACATATCCAGGGCTCACCTGTCTGCTCCCTTCCTCCGCAGTGGCTATGGATGTTGGGATCATTACTATGAGTCGGACACCCTCTTGCACTCGCTCCAAGTCCTGGCTGCCCTTCTTGAATCTCCGGTCACTCAGGATATCATCTGTGATGTGGGAATGTAAGTGCCAACGCGGGCATTGGGAAGGCAAGCTCAGAAGATAAGGCTCGAGTGTGAGCTCTCTGGCACCATCTGACCCTCAGGGACCTGGAATCCGCACATTCCAAATAGGAAAGGCCTGATGTTGAAAGTGGATTTTGTACCCCACCCCCACCAGCCTGTAGACCCTTGAGTCTCCCAGGAGAGGCAGCTCTGGGAAGCAGTTTTTGCATTTTCCCCCAGAAGCTTCTGCATGTGTGAGAGCAAGCTGCACAGGTGGGAGGGCAGTGTTCACCTTGTCACACAGATGGCACTTTCTTCCCTTAATGCTAACTCCTGGGACCATATGGTTCTGGATGGTACAGCTTCCACAGGTGCAGGTATATACAGCTTGAGTAAGTGGGGAGGGTGTCCACAGGAGCAGGTATATCTGGTGTGGGTATGTAGGGGATGGGGTCCCCAGGTGTAGGTATATATGGTGCACGTATGTAGGGGGCAGATCCCCAGGTGCAGGTGTGTATAGTGCAGGTACATCTGGGGCAGGTCCCCAAGCACAAGTATGTACGGTGCACGTATGTAGGGACAGGTCCCCAAGGGCAGGTGTGTACAGTACAGGTACATAGGGGGCAGGTCCCCAGGCACAGGTGTGTACAGTGCAGGTACATAGGGGCAGGTCCCCAGGTGCAGGTGTGTATAGTGCAAGCACATAGAGGCTGGTCCCCAGGGGCAGGTGTGTATGGTGCAGGTATATAGGGACAGGTCCCCAGGCACAGGTGTGTATACTGTAGGTACCTAGGGGGCAGGTCCCCAAGGGCAGGCATGTACAGTGCAGGTACGTAGGGGCAGGTCCCCAGGTGCAGGTGTGTACGATGCAGGTACATAGAGACAGGTCCCCAAGGGCAGGTGTGTATGGTGCAGGTATATAGAGACAGGTGCCCAGGTGTAGCCCCTATGGGTGGGGTTCCATCACTGCTCCTGTGCGTCTGTGCCATCTCTACAGAGTGACAGCGCATCAGTGGGCTTGTGTATGTTTCCTGTTTATGTCTTCAGGTCAATTCTACCTGGTGGGAATAGAGCCAGGTGTGCCTTCTCTACCTTAGCACAGCCTTGCGTGTGCCCAGCCCTCTTTCCCACCTCACTGTGACTTGCGTTGATTGGGGCCTCATTCAACAGCACACATACGGGATTTTTAACCCACTTTGTTCACGTTTATCGTGATTCTGACATGTTTCCATCCTATTGCTGCTGTGAGAAATTATTACAAATGTAAGGCACGAAAACACCACCAATTTTTTGTCTTATATTTCTGCACATCAGACGTGAAAACTGGGTCAGCCAGGCTGGCTCCTGGAAGTTCTTGGGGGGATCCCGCTTCAAGAGGCCCCTGCATCCCTCGACCTGTCACCCACCTTCAGAGCCAGCAGTGCTCCCCTGCAGTTCCGCTCCACACTCTTGGCTCCTGCTCTGACCCCCTCTTCCCACACGGAAGACCTTGTGATTACACTGGGCATCCCCAGGTCGCCCAGGATGATGTCCCTGTCTCAGGGTCTGTAACTCAGTTATCACATCTGCAAATCCCCTCTCACCATGTGAGGTAATATATTCACAGGCTCCAGGGGTTAGGACGTGGACGTCCCTGGGCGTCCTGTTGTAGCCACCATGGCCGCTCATTCCGGCTCTTGTCCTCCTCTGCTTCCTTTCTGTGCTCTGCGTTCTTCTCTTGGCTTGGAGTTTATAATCCTATTTTTTAAAATATTTATTTATTTTAGAGAGAGAGAGAGAGCAGGGAAGGGGCAGAGGGAGAGGGAGAAGCAGATGCCTCCCTGAGCGGGGAGGCCGATGTGGGGCCCAGTCTCACAACCCCAAGATTGTTTCCCAAGCTGAAATCAAGAGTCAGGCACTCAATGGACTGAGCCACCCAGGCGCCCCTATAATCCTATTTTTATTTTTCTACTTCTCACTCTTAGAATGTAAACAATCTGGGGAAGCCCAGGTGGCTCAGTGGTTTAGCGCCGCCTTCAGCCCAGGGCCTGGTCCTGGAGACCCAGGATCATGTCCCACGTCAGGCTCCCTGCCTGGAGCCTGCTTCTCCCTCTGCCTGTGTCTCTGCCCCGCTCTCTCTCTCTGGCTCATGAATAAATAAATAAAATCTAAAAAAAAAAAAGTAAACAGTCATATTTATAAAGGTATTTTGTTTTCAAATCTAGCATTTATGTGGACCTCTAAGCTTCTGAATGAAACAGCAATTATGTCATGATGTCCTTGATACCTGCCCAGCTCTGCCCTGGCAGAGGGCCTGGCTTCCTGCAGACGGGGGGACACATGAAGCACCATGTGGGAGGGGAGGGGTCCAGACACAGTGCTGGACTAATGTATTCAGCTCCCCCGCCCCACCCCCAGCCCCAAGACCTGCCTCCTAGAAGGGGCGCGGGTCACAGGTCAGGAGGCGCTCTGAAGGGGAACCTGGAACCAGCACAGGGGCTGGTGCTAGAGGTCACTGGGGATGGAGAGGTGACACAGTGACGGGGCTGTGTGCAGAGGCAGGGGCGGCCCCTGGGAGGTATGAGAATGGTCCAGGAGGAGAGGAAGAGCCCTGAGAGGGAGCAATTGCGCTCCATTTACAAGGGTCTCTCCTGTTTTAGAGCCTATATCATGGTGGAGGCCCTTTGAGAAAGCCCCAGAGGAACCTTCTGATTCTTTTACAGGCCCGAGGGTGCTTTGTACTAAAACAGACATGTACTTTTGCTGCTCACAGACACACGAGCATGTCCCCTCTCTTCACAGGCCAGTGTTGCACCGGAACGTCCGCTACAACTGCAGGGTGATATTCCTCAATAGGTAGGTGGCTGCTGGGAGGGAGTGCCCAGGTGACACAGGCGTCCCTCCTCCTCCTGGGCTCTGCCCACCACAGACGCCTGCAGGTGTTAGAAGGAGAGAGACCATAGCATAGGGCTGCTGCCCAGAAGTCGCTTGAGGCAGTCTTCACGTTCCCTGGGGTCCCTGGACCTCAGCCACCCGCATAGCACACTTGCTGGGTCTAGTGGCTCTGTCATCATCCACTGGCAGGGGAGGGTGGTCCTGTGGGCTGCTCCTTGTGACCAGGTGTTCATCTCAGGAGCCATCCTGTTTTTCTGCCTGTAGGAGGATCTTGCTCATCAGGCCCAAAATGGCCTTGGCCAACGAAGGCAACTACCGGGAGCTGCGCTGGTTCACCCCGTGGTCAAGGAGCCGGTAAGGCCCTGTGCCTGGCGCAGGGAAGCATCTACTGCGTGGATGTTCCAGTCATGTCTTTCCCACGCAGCCTCGGTCCACATCATGGGGGGGATTTTTTTTTTAATTTTTATTTATTTATGATAGTCACAAAGAGAGAGAGAGAGAGAGAGAGAGGCAGAGACACAGGCAGAGGGAGAAGCAGGCTCCATGCACCGGGAGCCCGATATGGGATTCAATCCCGGGTCTCCAGGATCGCGCCCTGGGCCAAAGGCAGGCGCCAAACCGCTGCACCACCCAGGGATCCCCATGGGGGGGATTTGTAAGCATTTGGGACAAGTTCCGGCCATTTAGGTACAGCTGTCTTGAGGCTACTGGTTACAGTACAGCCAATTTATCACAGAAAATTTATCAACCACTGGGCATCTTGTGTCTGGAGCCATCCTGCAGCCCACTGCTTTGGGCTGTCATCTGCACGTCCTCTGCGTGGCAGCCTCCCTGGCACCTCCCATAGGTAGTCCATGTGTGACAGCCTCGGATGTCTCCAGACTTTGCCAGGCGTCGCCTGGGGGCATGATCACCCTTGGGCAAGAAACCCTGCCTTGTTCTGATGTGGGGTAACTGGGGTTTATGTACCACTGCTGCTACTACAGGTAGAACTTTCAACATTTTACCTTCAAATGGTCCATATTTTTGTGTCGGAGAACTTTGGGGTTTTCTGTACTCCCCCTTCCTGCACAGTTCTTGGGACTTCTTCTCCCAGTCCTGAGCCAAGCAGCTGCCTGCCTCTGTTTCTCTGACAAGTTGCTCATTCCCTGGAACACAGCTTCCAGTAAATTCCAGAGGTTCCCACCATGCCCTCCTGAGGCTGATTTCTAAATCATGGCACACTCCTCAAGCCAGGTGGGAGAGAGGCACGGGGCAGCCATGGGGGTGTACCACTCTCCCCAGATCTCCGTGTGGTCACCAAACCAAGAGCTCCCCAAAACTCGTTCTTTGCAGTTTTCTGGAGGCTTCATTATAGGGCACGAATGATTAAATCACTGGCCTTTGGCCACTAACTCAACCCCCAGCCTGGCTCTCTCCCCAGGTCTGGAGGATCTTCAACTGCCAGACTCCTGGCTTGGCTGCCCTGGCAACCATGAGAGCTTTCCCCGCCAACATGTATTAATGTAACAACAACACCTTTGTGGCTTTTATCTCTGGAAAATCCCAAGGGCTTTGGGAGCTCAGTGCCAGGAAGACCAAATGTTTCTTATGATAAATCATAATTTCACACTTTGTAAGCAGCAACCCAAGGAAAGTGAATTTTTGGACACCTTCCCTGCCTTCAGATGTCTTTATTGGACCCTGACATGTGATGAATAGTTTTACAGAATTTAAAAAAACAAACAAAAAACCTAGCTTCAAAATAACTTTTGTGCATAGTTTTAAACATATCATTTGAAGGATTGCCTTTGGCTCACACCCTTGCTGGGAGAAGCCTGGTACTACTCCATCTTCTTTGCTCTCATCTCATTATCTTTTCTCCAGGGCACATGGAGAAACTTCTCGGTATCCTTAGTATTTTTCAATTTTGTTATATGGGCCTTGGGTGAGGTCTTCTGTGGCCCCATAACCCGGAGACCCCAATCTGTAGTTTTGGGAAAGGTCGTCCGTCCTTTCTAGGAAGTTTCTGTTCTGTTTTCTGTTTCTGAAACGCCTCTTGTTGGGGGATTGGACTTTGTAGACTGTCTTCTCTGCTCTTTTCTTTTCTTTCCCACATTCTAGAAGATTTTATCATCTTTCTATCTCTACTGAAATTTAAGTTTAGTTCTCTTATTTTTCATTTGAGAGCTCTTTCTCATTTTCTCATATTTTCTTATGTAAAGCACCTTTTTTGAAGACCCTCATTGATCTGGGCCGCACAGTGGGGTTTGTAGCGCTTAAAGAGCAGGTGGTCACTTGGAGGTGGGAGGTCGAACCCTGACTCTACTGTTTGGCTGGGCCACTTCAAGCCAGCAAAGCAACCTGACTTTCTGCACCTTGGGGACGGTCATGGCAATGATGCCAGGGGTTGTGGTCATGAATGACATGAGGATGACATGAATCTGTGTGTAAAGCGCTGAGCACAGCATCTGATGGATGTTAACATGGCACCCATGTACTTGTGGTCTCTTTAGTTCTGAGAAGAGAGCTGGCAGGTGGCGGGGACCCAGCAAATATTTGTCGAATGCCCAAAGGTTACTGCTCAGGTGTATAAAGGACTCACAAATCAATAAAAACCAGAAAAAATATTCAAACAGAGAAACCCAAACAAAAAATAAAGGTACAAAGAACAATGGAAATTGGATAGAAGTGAAAAACAAATGTGTGAATAGATGCTGAATGTCACCAGAACTCAGGTTGATATAACCTGGCACCACAGCGAGATTTCTTTCTGCGCCACCAGAGTGACAAAATTAAACGGTTGGAGAGCACCAGGTCCTGGCAAGGATCCCAGGCCAACTGGGACTTTGGAAAAGTTGGGTGTTGCCTTGTGAGGGGCAGCAGTGTCCCCCGTGCACCAGCAGAGTGGGGACAGAGGGGGTCACAGCGAGGCCAAGTGACGGGGGTCACTGGCTGTTGGGGAGCGCAGCCAGTAGCATGGCCGTTCCTCCGTGGGTAGAACTTCAGCCAAGTGTGGCCTCTACCTTCCTTGTCACATACACCCAGTGGTTTTGACCTACCATAGGGACTTGAGTTTTGTGAACATTTCTCTTATTTCCCAGTTTCAGAGGCTTTTGTTATTTTGCTGTTGTTGTCCAGGAGCCTTTGCATTCGGGCATCATGGGTCCGTGGTCTTATGGGTCTTTCCTCTGCTCTCTGCCCACTTACCGCATCTTCTCCTGTGGTTTGTTGCCAACCTGTCCTCTGTGCCATGCTCCCCGGGAGACTCTGTCCTGCAGATCTGTGCCTGTCCAGTGTTTCAGACCCTTCTCATCCTATGCAAGCTCCCTTTCTGTCTTTTTATATTGTCTGATCATCTCTTCTTTGAGATCTCCTACTGAGGTGTGTTATCTCTGAATTTCCTGGGAGCATTGCATCTCTTGTCTCTGCCGTGTGGATGTGTGGGTCTCATGGTGGCTCCTTCAGACCGTCGCTTGTGTGATTATGCCTGTGGAAGGGGTGGCTGCAGACACCAAGCTGGAGCAGCCACCTCATGCTCTGGCACCGTTGAAACGACAGATTTTTACCTTCTGAGCACTGTGCCAAAATGGTCACAATAGTTGGGCATGTTACCATGTCCCTGCCTTAGTAGTGGCCACATGACTCATTCAGGCCTCATAAGATATTAGAAAAAAATAACCCAGTTCTTGACTGCAGATAATTTAAGAATCTACTCATTTTCATTATGTTCTTAGATGCACCCTGAGATTTAAGCATGGTAAGACAGGGGGCACAGGGGACTCTCGTAGCTCCTAGGGGGCAGAGAAGGCTTTTGATCAACATGGCCAAAACTGGTTTCTTGGCAGGAGTACGCATCTAGAATTTTTCCCAAGGATGTTGGCTGGGAAGAAAGGGCATCCAGCCAGAGAAGGGCACAGGCCATTCAGAGGAGGCAGGTATGGGAACCATGGGAAGAGGTTGGGCCAGCCTGAGCCAAGCTTTGGATGAGAAGGTACAGGGCGGACTTTTACTCATGCTATTCTGGCTCTTGGCGAGCCCTGGCAAAGCTCACCTGCCACATGCAAGGTGACCGCCGGCCTTGGAGCAGAGACTGAGAGCGAAGGTGAGCACATGCTGTCTCCTGGCGTTCTTGCTTTGGCCTGGTGCTCAGTGGGTCTTGGTGGGGGTGGAGGGCAAGGAAAGGAAGGGGCCTTGGGTGGGGGGGCTCTTCTCTTTAAAGTGAATTTTGACGCAGTGATGTCGCTGTCGGCAAACCTGCAATTGATGGATTTGAGGGCTTCCTGTGGGATGGCGGAGTGGCTCAGAAGTCAGCAGAGTGTCCACATGTCCCCATCCCTGTTCTTAGCGTGGGAGAGAAGGCAGCGTCCTCCAACGGCCCAGCCTTATAGTTATACCTAAATAAAAGCGCTGAAGTCATCCTGGAAGGCTCTTGTGAATTCTCAGTTTGTTTCTTGAAAAAACAAACATACGCAATTAAACATCTCAGCAGTATGTCTTGTAATGGCCTACATGCAGACGGGTCAGTGAACCTTCGATCACCTTCTATCTCTCTGTGCGGCCCCTTGGGAGGCCTTGTACTGTGTGTTCTACTCTGTCCATCTTGTACACTTTGGAGCATAATTCAACCATTTCAGGGATAACGTAGGTTTGTAATTGTGCGTCAGGCTAAGGTGGTGTGGTATGATCCTTTGGACCCAGACATTCCACCTAGATTTCCCCCTGGGGAAGTGTAACCACTGTTGAGAGAATGCCCATGACACATGTCTCAGGAACCCTGGACACCAGGGCGCGGGGAAGCTGAGGCGGTCGAGCTCCTGGGCACTGTGGTGTCACTGAGTAAGATGCCCCAGAGCTTCATCTGTCCGTCCTGTACGCCTCTGTTTCCCTGACGTCGATTGCAGTGGCTGGTGTGAGTGCCTGACAGCCCTTGCCGAATCATGAGCTTGCAGCCCCCAGTGTGCTTATCCTTAGATCTGTGGTGTTTCCCTCCCCAGGCAAACAGAGGAGTATTTTCTCCCCCGGATGATACAGGACGTGACAAAGCAGGTGAGTGTCTGGATGGATCTCGTCTTCCAGCCAAACGTCACTGCTTTAGGCTAATGGTGTGGCACGTGGAAGAGGACCCTTTGGGGCAAGGCTACCAGAACTGCACCGGCTGCTGAACAAACAAACCAAACACAGGGAGAGATTCCTGCACACGGAGGGAGGATGGAACCCCCAGGGGTGGGGGCGCCTCCATTCTCTTGCATCACAGATGCTCTGCTTGTTCGTGCCTCGCCCTCTCCTCTGGCTCACCCTGCCAGGGTTCCCAGGGGGGCTGGGACTCCCAGGGAGCTGGGGAGGAGTCCCCACCTTGCCTTAATAGGCTGTTTCTTGCTGGGGCTGCAGCTTGGGCCCAGGGACCACCCTAGAAGCCAAATTAGCGGGGGCAGGACAGTTCAAGGAAGACTTTACCCCATGGCCTGTTCATTCTCTGAAGACCCAGCATCAGAAATCTGTCTTGTCCATTGGACCTGCCGGCCAGGCCTTCAGAGCTTTGATCATCCAGTCTTGTCTGGCGGCCTCGTCCACCATCTTCCTACTGGAAGCTGCAGGGCTGATGGCTGGAACCTTGTTCGACCCACTTCTCATGGGTGCTTGGAAGCTGGGGGCACAGAAGGGGTGTTTTAGCAGGGCTATGACTTCTCTAGTTTCTGCCTGAGTGCCCATTCTGGTTGCCAAGTGTATTAATTTCATAAGAAAGCACCACAGATGGAGGAGACGTAGTGGAATAACAGATACTTACCTCTTAGTCCTGGAGGCTAAAGCCCGAGGTCCAGGCACAGGCAGGCGGGGTCCCCCTGAGGCTTCTCTCTGTGTGTGTGGATGGCTGTGCTCTCCCTGGGTCCTCGTGCGGTCGGCCTCCGGGCATGTCTGTGTGCTTCTGGTAGGGAGCCTGGTTGTATGGGATCAGGGCCACCCTGGTGACTCCATTCTTACCGTAACCACCTCTATGAAGGACCCAGCTCCAGATACGGTCACAAGTCTGAGGTGCTGGTGTTCAGGGCTCTGACATCGGAATTTGAGTGGGATGCAGCTCAGTCCACGACACCAAGTTCTCTCTACCCCTAATTACTACACTACAAGGATTTATAGAATCTCTCCAGTGGCGGGGCTGGCAGGGATTCAGCCGATCATCGGGAGGACTGAGCTGAAATACGGTCCCACTCCCCTGCTTCCCACCGGATTCCAGCTCCATTTGCCTCTTGGCTGTCAGCATCTTCCTCTGTCTCTTCCCTGGAGGACAGTGGCCGCCCTGGGCCCTGGACAGGGGTTACCTCCTATCAAGAGCCAGACTGTGTCTCTGGCATGGGCTTTGATTTGTGAGCGAGGCTCTTCCAGGGGCCGGCTTGGGCTCAGCACCTTCTGCATGGATAGTCAGGGTCAGGCAGGCTGAAGCTTGGGCAGGGACTCGCAGCCAGGTCTGGTCACCTCCAAAGTGACCTGGAAACTCATCTGACCATGAACTGCAACAGCGAGCACATTTTAATATGGTCCTGACCCAGGATAGACTGTATGTCTGTCTGTGGATTTCCATGTGTCTGTGTCTCCGGGTGGGGGTCAGGGGGCACTGTCTCTGGAACAGACCTGTCTTCAGTAGTCCTGAGTGAGATGCTCGCCATTTCATTCCGGGATTGTAGCATCCTACAGACCATCCCAACAGAGACGCACTAATAAGCTGGTGTGGGACATAGTCTGTGGTTGGAAGGATTTCACTTGGTAGTTGGTTGAAGCTGGCTGTGTGAATTGGTCCCAGAAACTGGATTAAAGTTCTGGAGTGTGTCCAGGAACAAGGCACGGACAGCCCAGGACCTGCCATGCGTGGACACTTTAGGCCGGGGGTGGGGTGCGGTCAGTGAGCATGCATTTGGGTCTGTGCTTTACCAGCCTGTTGCTCCAAGCCCTGCCTTGTCACAGCAAGATGGTGCGTGAAATCCAGCCGTGCCAACGTGCTCAGATTTGCGAGGTGCCAGGCAACCCCACGGTCCCACAGCGGCCAGTGGGGGTCCTGGGTGAGGGCTTTCCTCACAGCCACAGTGAACCGTGAGCTTGTCCTTGGCAGGAGGCATCAGAGAAGAAAGAGCCAGGTTTACACAGTCGTTCTTGCCCTCAGCAGTAAAGGGTGTTGAACTCACACATTCCTGCAGTCAGGGAGCCTGACCAAGTGCCCTAGGACGCGTTCCAAGCCTCAGGATTATTTCTTGTCTCATTGTAACTTTGGGTTTAAGAGAGGTGGCCAAGTTGGGCCTAGGACAGCGTGTACCAGAGAGGTCAGCATGCCTGTCAGAGCATTCCACGCCCACACAGCCAGTCAGCACACAGTTGTCTCAGGGCCTCATCACACCTGTCTGGCAGCCTAGGGAGGGTCCACCCCTGACCCCTGAGCTCCCGCCACTTCTGGCCCTGCCACCCAGGAACTGGTGGATTTTCCTCAGGTTTCTTGAATGAGACTCAGGTCATGGCAGACCTGGGGCAAGGGGTGGGGACCGAACCAGTCAGACTGTCAAAAGCGTGGGTGATGCAGAAAAGTCCATAGTGCCACGGCCAGCGTGGAGTGGCCCTCATGAAATGAAGCCTTTTACTCTTTTTTTTCTTTTTTTTTTAGGTTTTATTTATTTGAGAGAGAGTATGTGTGCATGAATGGGGGGAGCAGCAGAGGGACAGGGAGAAGCAGGCTCCCCAGTGAGCAGGGAGCCTGACTCAGGATTTGATCCCACGACCCTGAGATCATAACATGAGCCAAAGGCAGATGCTCCACCCACTGAGCCACCTAAGCTCCCCAAGACTCTTTACTCTTAATAACAGTGATTATAGGAATGTATGCTGATGGAAACTTCAAGAGTGGAGTACCATTTGTCACAGCCATGGTGAGCCCTATGGCCATGCCAGAGCACAGCCACCAGCTAGTGAACGCTGTGACCACAGGCCGTTGGTGTTAGCAGAGATGTCAACTGGTGCTGGGCCACCTGGGCTAGGAATGCTCCCAAGCTAAGGAGGGACTCACTAGGGCTGGAAGCAAAAGGGCAGCAAGGTTAGAACACAGCCCAGACGGGGCATGACTAAGGGATCTCATGCACCCTGTCCTCTGCAGGAAACTGTGCCCTTTGGAGACGCAGTGCTGGCCACCTGGGACACCTGCATTGGGAGTGAGATCTGTGAGGAGCTCTGGACACCCCACAGGTCAGCCCAGCCCCGTGCACACAGCAGCACTGTCGGCGTAGCCATGGGCTATGGAGATAACGGGGCTGGGAGGGTGGGTCGGCACACAGCCCTCTTCTTCCTGTCAACTGCCTCTGCCCACAGCCCACACGTGGACATGGGTCTGGATGGCGTGGAGATCTTTACCAACGCCTCGGGCAGCCACCACGTGCTGCGCAAAGCCCACGCCAGAGTGGACCTGGTGACCATGGCCACCACCAAGGTAGGCATGGGGCTGCAAGGTGGCCGCTCTTGCTGGGCAGCATGACTCAGCGAGATGCCGTGTTGTCTGGTCACTCACAGGATGGGTTTGGGTTCAGCAAAGCCAGGTTTGGGTCTTGGCTTTGTCGTGTGGGGTTTGTGTTCCATGAACCCCCCACCTTCTCCAGTCGTGTAAGGCTGCTGGGAGGCGGTAACGGACATTGGGCCTGATGCCTGGTGCTTTGGAAGGCCCGGGGGTCCCAGCCCTAGGCCTCTGGCTCTGTGCATCCGGTTTCCCTGCAGGGAGCTATTTATGGCATGGTGGGAGGTGACACCTCTGCTACCACTCATATTTTCCAGAATGGTGGGATCTACTTGCTGGCCAATCAGAAGGGCTGTGATGGGGACCGGCTCTACTATGACGGGTGCGCCCTGATAGCGATGAACGGCCACATTTTCGCACAAGGGTCTCAGTTCTCTCTGGACGACGTGGTAAGAGCGGGCCCGCATGCCTGAGGGAGCGTCTACTCGGTTCTGTGACTGTGCTCTTACTCAGGACTGTTTCCTAGAGGACCCCCAGAGCCGGGGGGCTCATGCAGCTCATAGCAAGTCCTGCCTGCTGTGATGGCTCCACCTTGGCCACAGTCAGGAGATGGGCCCCCACATAGCATGCAGCCCAACCTGGACAGATGAGACCACTGCAGCCTGTGAGTCACCCATGTGCAGCACATGAGGGACCCTAGCCTCACAGAGTCACCGTTGGGGACAAGCCAATAGGCAGGCGATGTGGGGGGCAAAGTGGGTGACCCCCGGGTCCCCCCAGGAAGATGTGGGGTTGGAACCCTCCTTGGGAATAAGCAGGAGCAGGTCCTAGTATGTGCACGAAGAGGATCCCCATTCACAAGAGTGGAGCGGAGGAGAGCTCAGTGAGGCCCCTTGGGACCCACTCACTCTTCCCCACACATCCAGGCACATGCGTGTTAACTGTAGACTCAATGCTACCCTGGCCTGAGTCCTGGGAGCTCCATGCTCCTCAGGGGGAGGCCTCGCTCCGAGGGGCCATGTGGTCTCACTGGACACAGCCAGCTGGCTGGGGTTGGTCGTGTCCGCACAGATTGCTGTGGGATGCACTCAGAAGAGGCGTCACTGCAGCCCCGGGGCACAGGGACACGGCAGGGGCAAGGTCACAGTCAAGAGGGTAAGCTGAGAAGCCTGGCCTGTCTTCCCCTTGCTGGGGCACAGGCCTCTACGAAGCTGATGGAAACTCGCCCCCCTACAGAGAACATGGGTGTGGGCGCCGTCTGTCCAGTTGTCCGTCTGTCCATGTTTGACACGAATGTCCCAATGTCCCTCCCAGGGGAGGCACCTGAGGAGAAAGTCCTCGTGGAGAATTGTTTGCTCTCCCTTTTGTTTCTGGTTTTTGCTTTTAAATTCAAAACAAAAGGATACTGCTGTTATTGCCGGAAATGGACATGCAGGCCAGCCCCACCGCAGGTTCAGATCATCAGCCCCAGCTTCACGGTGGGCCCTCACGCGGCATTAGCCCCCTATCACTGAATCCACCTGCCTTTGGGGGGCAGACGGGTAGAAATGCTAATTCAGAGGCAGCTAGTAGCAGCGCAAGCTCACAGCGTGTTGTAAATTCTCCGTAACTCTAACATCATTCACTTTTTTGTGCTCACGTCAGCAAGGCCAGGTGACACCTGGTTCCTTCACAGCCTTGCTGGGGTTGTCGTCAGGGGCCTGGTTATAAAACCAAACTTGGTTTCAAAGTGGAGCAAGTGAATTCCATGATGATTTCTTACCCGATGGGCAGGAGTTTGGCGGCAGGGACACCCCTGCCATGGTCGCCCAGGCCCTGCTTGCCACTTGACGGCATCCCCAAAGGCCTCCAAGTGTTCAGCATTAGCCACAATGAAGACGGAAGGGTTTGACTGGAAAGGTCAAGTTCGTGCAAAAGGCAGTGTGTCTTCCTCACCCCAGAGGACTGCCCGGCCGTCCTTAGGCCCAGTCGGTGTGGCCAGACCCTGGGCTGGGCATCAGAGACGTGTGCACCTTGCCAGGGATTGACTGGCATGGGTTGAGGGTCAGCTGCACCAGGAGAGCAGGTTCCGGGCCCCAGCAGGCCTCACAGCTGGACCCTCGCAGACCTGCATTTGAAGCACACACCCAGGTGTTGGCAAGCACGTCTCCCATTGGGGCCCCTCAGGCTAGAATTCTCTGATCTTGTCCGAGTGTTCGGGGAGGGACGTGGCATCCCTGCCCTGCCACTTCCTACATGATCCAAAAGAATTGTGTGGCACACGGAGCCATCGCACAGAGCCACAGGTCCGTGGACCCTTCCCTAGGACACGCTTCTTGGGCTCTTTGAACCTCGCAGGCTCTCTGACACCGAGGGACACCTCGGTCAGGCGTTCGGGGAAGAATGGAATGGGGCCATCTGCTCATGAAAAGATTCACACCATCTCGGTCTTTTTATCTTTTGTGGCCTCACACTTCCCTTGGTTTTGTCTCATGGGAAGCACCATGGCTTTGGTGGTCCATCACTCTGGGAAATGATGAGAGAACTGGAGGACAGATAAGCTCCTTTTTCTCTTTCTCTCTGGATGTGTCCAGCTTGGGTTGGGCCCAGTGCTGACAACGGCAGCTTCCCACAGGCCTCTTGGTGGGAGGGGGTGGCTGCAGCTGCCTCACATCATGCGGTGCTGCACAGGACCAGCTCTCACTGCCCCCGACTTGCATGCAATGACACAATGTTTCCGTGACATAACTAACTAGGAGTTTTTTGTTTGTTTTTTTCCATAAAGAAAGGGATCATGTATATGAATTAGAACCTTCTCTTTTTTGCTGTTTTTTGAGATTTTATTCTTTTTCTATATTGTGATATATTTGGACTCTTAATACTCCTGTCTGAGGTTTGAAGACAGTGAAGTGTCACCCGCGGTCACACAGGCAGCACATCCAGGCCCTCACGTGGATTGCCGGGGCTCTGGCTCCACCTCTCAGCCGTACCCCAGCTTGGCCTTCCCCTGCGTTGGCTTGGATTTGGGGTTGCCTCTCCTCCTGATCACAGGGTGGCTGCAGCACCTCCAACTATCTCATCTCCACATAACCATACATAAAGCAGAAAAGTGGCCCTCGCTCCCATGCTTCTTTTTAAGAGGGAGACACTGTCTCAGAAGTCTGTGGCAGATATGGATTGGTGGAATCGGGTCCTATGCTGGGATTAAGGTCCCACTGCCCCGTGTCTGAGTTCACTGGAGGCTCTGGTGGCAACAAGGAGAGGGAAGGGCTTTGGGTCAGTAACACTGGCTGGACCCCTGGGAACCCACAGGTCCCTAGTCCCTGCCTTAGAAGGTGTGACTTGCATGTGCAACTTGGGACACCTGTGAAAACCAGCCAAATCACATGGGTGAGTGGGAAAAACAGGAAATCAAACTTTCTCTCCGAAAAACTCTTCCCCAGGAAGTCCTCACCGCAACTTTGGATTTGGAGGATGTCCGAAGCTACAGGGCGGAGATTTCATCTAGAAACCTGGCGGTGAGTTCGTAAAGACATATGCGGGTGCTCAAATGCCCCAGGGACTCTTTAAAAAAATTTTTTTAAGAGAGAGCAGGACAGAGGGGTGAAGGGAGAGGGAGAAGCAGACTCCCCGCTGAGCAGGGAGCCTAATGCAGGGCTCGATCCCAGGACCCCGGGATCATGATCTGAGCTGCAGGCAGACACTTCACCAGCCACCCAGGTGCCCCTAAAATGGTTTTTAATGACCACATTGTGGAGCTGTTGTTCCCATGCCCCCCTGGGATTCGGTGGTTTTTGGCACACTCATGGGGTTGTGCAGCCACCAGTACGTCAGCACAGAAGGAACCCAGACCCCGCATCCCCCTCCTGGCCCGGGAACCACCAGCCTGCCTTCCGTGTCTGAAATCACCTGTTCTGTATCTTGCACAGAGACGAAATCAGGTTGGCATCTGGCTTCTGTTGCTGAGCAGAACGTTTACATGGTCCATGTTGTAGCAGCTGTTAGGGCTTTATACCTTTTTACAGCCAAAGAATATTCCATGAGAAGGGTACACCGCAGGGTGACCATCCACCCGTCCACTCAGGACACGTGGACGTGTCCACTTGCTCTCTGATGGATGATGCTCTGGAACGTTGTGCAAGTTCTCATGAGGACATTTCCTCTTTGTCTTGGGGGCGCACCTGGGAGGGGAACCTTCTGTGCTTTCATCTTGAAGGGACTCCTGACTGTCCACAGCAGCTGCCCCTACCATGTGTGAGGGTTCCAACGCCGGGTACCATCTGTCTGTCTGACTCCAGCCATCCCGCTGGGAGCGAGGGCACCACTGTGGCCTCGATGTGCGTTCCTGCTGGCTGACAGAGCAGCAGCCCCCGAGGGCTTGGGGTGCAGGGGCGTCATGTCCTGAATCTCCATCAGGCCAGCCGGGTGAGCCCCTACCCCCGAGTGAAGGTGGACTTTGCCCTCTCATGCCGCGAGGACTTGCTGGAGCCGCCGTCTGAGCCTGTCGAGTGGATGTACCACAGTCCGGCTGAGGAGATCAGGTGGGCTGCCTCTTCGTGCCCGTGGGGGTGGTGCTGCTCCTGGGGCCACAGGGGCTGCAGCGGTGCGGGCAGCTGGTGCCTAGGACTTGCCCGGGGTGGGCGCCCGGTTAGGAGGAAGCCGTGCGGCCTCGGGGTTGAAGGCATGGGTCGGTGCAGCCAGAGTGCCTGGCTTCCTCAGCCTGGGGACTTGGGTACAAAGGCTCTGCCCCTCCTTTCCTTTTTGTATCTCAATTTTTCTGTTTTAAAATGGGGCCAAAGAGATCACCTACCTCCCAGGGCTGTTTGGAGACCAAAATGCATTTATTCACATAAAATGCTTAAAACAGAGACTTGGTGTATTGGGAGGGCCCCCACCACTGGCGGGTCTCCCCAGCGCTGCTCCTACCTTGGCACCTGTCCCCAGGTAAACTGCTGACCAGGTCAGCAACTACCAGACCTCACACTTCCCCTTGCTCCCCAGCCTGGGACCCGCCTGCTGGCTCTGGGACTTTTTAAGACGCAGCCGACAGGTAAGGTTTCCCGCATTTGTGTCTGATTCTGTGGCAGACTGGTGATTTTTTTTTTTTTTAATGCAAGCATTTCTTCAAGCTGCCTCAGTCAGAAGCTTAGTCTACATTAGCCAGAGGCCAAGGGGCACACAGGGGCTTGACTCCGTCTTTGGGGTCTTGTCTAATGACACTCAGGAGTGACGAGACACCATCTCCCACTGGTTCTGTGGTCATGACATCTGTAACTTATTGTGGAGAACTAGTCCTAAGTGCTCTTCACAGTGAGAGGTTTCTTTTCCCTCTAGAAAGTCCATCTGAAACATGCAGGGCATCTTTCTTCCTCCCCATGTTGTGGCTGGAGCTGGGCTAAGTTTGGGGCACACAGCTCCTCTGAGGCTCAGGAGGAACCTCACACCCGCACTTGGTTGGCCCATTCCAGGCGGGGTTTTTCTTGCCCCTGAGTGGTGGGGTGGACAGCGCAGCCACCGCCTGCCTCGTCTACTCCATGTGCCGCCAGGTCTGCGAGGCCGTGAGGAACGGAAGTAGGTGGCATCCGTTGGTCTGAGCGAGGCTCCAGGGGGTGAGGACTGGGCTGGGGGACCCCGGGGTGTGGCCATCGTGGGTGAAGGAGGCTGTGCAGATGCGCTCAGATGTCACAGCAGGACCTGGGGCAGCAGGCCATCAAAGTCCTTTCCTGGGGCTTTGGGCCAGTGTGGCTGAGTCCATCGAGTCAGATGCCCACTGCTGCTGTGTGCTGGCAGTGTGGCCCAGTGGGAAGACCCGGGTCAAAATCCTCCCCATGCACCGTGTGTTGACCATCCCCTTGGTGTGCACTCCAGGAAAGTGAAGGGGATGCTACATACATGGAGATGTTGCCGGGACGCAGGGGAGGGACTGGGCGCTGAGCACCACGCACAGTGCACAGCAGCTGGCCACTACCTGTTACTCGCCATCTGGTGGTTTTCAGACCAGGAAGTGCTGGCTGATGTCCGGGCCATCGTGGACCAGCTCAGCTACACACCCCAGGACCCCCGAGACCTCTGCGGGCGCCTACTGACGACCTGCTACATGGCCAGCAAGAACTCATCCCAGGAGACATGTGACAGAGCCAAGGAGCTGGCCCGGCAGATCGGAAGGTAGGGGAGGCTGCCGGTGTGGGGCATGGGCAGGCCCCGGCAATGGGATCAGAGCCCACACCCGTGGTTAGATGTGCATGTGGGGGTTGAGCAGATTGCTGCAGCCCATCCTGAGTCAGGTTTTAGGGAAACGGCTTCAGGTCTCCCCAGACCCTGGCTCTGTTGGATTATCACCCCTCCTTCCTGTCTTCCTTGTGTCCCAGGCAGCAGCCACCAGGGTAATGGGCTCCCCCAGTGTGGGAGCCAAGACCCCACTCACAGCTCAAGGGGGGTGGTGGCGCTGGCTCTGTGACAGCCTGCTACTCTCTCTACCCAGCTGGTTCCCTGTGCCTGAGGAAGGTGGAGACGGGGAGACTCAGTCCATTCGGGGTCTTCCATTTGTTCTTCTGCTGTGGGAAAAAATGAGGAGTTGCCTATCTATGCACTGGGGTCAGCTAAAGCCTGCCCCCTCCCCAGCAGCACTGCTCCTGGGTATGTCCCCAAGGGAACAGAAAGCAGGGGCTCAGATATTTGTGCCCACATTCATGGTGATGCCATGCACAGCAGTCTGAGTGTAGAAGCAGCTCGAGTGTCCGGCAATAGATGGATGAGGTCTGTGCACAGAATGGGCTTCAATCAATCGATCGGCTTCAGAAAGGAGAGCTGCTCAGATACCTCGTACCTTGTGATAAACCTGGAAAAGTGATGCTCAGTGAAATATGCCAGGCACCAAGTGGCACAGAGAGCAGGAATGTCCCCATGGGCAACCCTGCAGACAGAGAGTGGGGTCATGGTCACGGGCTGGGACGGGGGCTGCAGGGCAGGTTCTGGAACTAGACAGAGGGACGGGCTGCATAGCACCTTAAGTGCACTCACTGAGCATGCACTTTCACATGGTAGAAATGGCGTATTTGGGGCTTTGTGTGTTTTACCACACATGCACGCACACACCTTGAGCACACCGACCCTGTCCCCTACAGTCACCACATTGGTCTCAACATCGACCCAGCGGTGACAGCCGTCATGGGGATCTTCAGCCTGGTGACGGGTAAGAGGCCTCTGTTCGCGGCTCACGGTGGAAGCAGCAGGGAGAACCTGGCGCTGCAGAATGTGCAGGTGAGCCTCTCAGCTGGGCCGTGGTCACCGCATGGGGCCTCGTGGGCAATGCTGCAGGAGTGCATGCACACGTGTGTGGTTGTGCATGAGCATTAGTGCATACGCGTGTGAGTGTGCGAGAATTGGTGGGTGAGATGTGATACACAGGTGTGCGTGTGGGGTTTCTGCATCTTCCGGGAGTGGTTCCACATGCCCGCCCTCCCAGGTTGCTGAGGAGCTGGAGCCCAGCCGGTGAGTGCGGAGAAAGAGGACCCTGGGCTCCAGCCTCTGGGCTCTGGCCCATCTCTGTCCCTTTTCTTCCAGCCAGAGTGGCTGTCCATCCTCCGGGGGACAGCCAGCTGTGAAGGGGGTGGAACAAGGGGCCGGGATTTCCTTGCAGCCCCATCCCATGACTGGAGCTCTTGGCTCCCCAGCTCTGGATCACCCCATCTTTGATACAGGCACCACTCGCTGAGCAGCTCTCAGGCCAGGAGGACCCTGTTTTCTCTGGATGCTAGAAAGCTCCTACACCACTTGGGCTCCCTTTCTCTGGAGCTGTGTGAGGAGCGGGGTGTCAGTGGGCATGTGCCCCCCTGTGTCCAGCACAGGGTAACATTTCCTGTTGTGTCCCCTAGGCTCGGCTAAGGATGGTCCTAGCATATCTGTTTGCTCAGCTGAGCCTCTGGGCCCGGGGCGCTCGTGGTGGACTGCTGGTGCTGGGGTCGGCCAACGTGGACGAGAGGTGCGTGTATCCGACTCCTAGCACCCAGATCTCCAAGGGTGTGTGCTCCCTGATGGTGTTTCCAGGCCCCAGCCAGTTCTCACTGCGTCTGCAAGACATGGTGTGGGGGTCACATCACCCCACGGCTCAGGCCACGTCTAGCACCCGTGGGACATCATTGCTCCAGACCTTCATGATGACTTGGTTTGGAGACAAGTCAACACCACGTCCCTCTGGCGCCCCGCCCACCAGCCCGGCTCAGACCGGCTGCACCTGCTAGGAGCGCTTCCTTTGTGCTGGGTGTGGAATCTATCTCCCTACCCCACCTCAGGCAGTTTTGCCCATTTCTTTCTCCTGGGCAATCCCACCACATCCTACATCTAGTTTTCACTCCTAACCAGACAGTTCACCTCTGATGTGGACCAGAAATATTTTGTCATGAATTCGCCAGTGAAAAAAAACTCAGAGCCTCCCTGTTATTCCGCAGATAAATTTCAGCTGACCTTTAGGGTGAACAGTGGAGGCTGGGAGGCTTCTCCAGCCTTGACATCTCCAATTCTCTTAGGCAGGCCCCGCTCAGGTGTTCTCACTGCTCCTTGTTAGCAGAGGGGGGCAAGAACTTAATCTGTCATTTGTTTATCTGTTCATCTCTACATCGGTCCATCCATCTACCCCTCCATTCATCTGTCTACCAATCCATCCACCCGTCCATCTGTCCACCCATCCATCCATCTGTCCATTCATCCGTCCACCTATCCATCTGTCTACCCATCCATCTACCCATCCATTTGTCCATCCGTCCACCTATCCATCCATCCGTCCATCTGCCCATCCACCTATCTTTCATCTGCCCATCCATCTGTCAACCTATCCATCCACTTGTCCATCCATCTGCCTACCCATCCATTGGTCTGTCCATCCATCCATCCATCCATCCATCCACCTATCCATTCATCTGTCCACTAATCCATTCATCTCTCTGTCCATCCATCCATCCATGCACCCATCCCTCCATCTGTCTATCCATCCATCTTTCTATTTGTATCTTGAATATCTTGGATCCTGCATGTCTCTCTCTCTCTTTTTTTTTTTTAATATTTTATTTATTTGTGAAAGACACAGAGAGAGGCAGAGACATAGGCAGAGAGAGAAGCAGGCTCCCTATGGGGAGCCTGATGCAGAACTTGACCCCAGAGCCCAGGATCACACCCTGAACCAAAGGCAGATGCTCAACCGTTGAACTACACAGGCGTCCCTCAAATGTGTTCTCTGTTAAATATTACTTTGGGCTTTTGGTATTTCCTAATTATGATCATTTGAAATCAGCGCCCTGTAGCTGAGAGAAAATTCTCACGGTTCTCATGCACATCCTGTCAGTTTTCATTCTCTTCTATTGCCTGCGGGGCTTCCATAAGGCAGTGATATGTCAGGAAGGATGTGACAGCTGGTACATATCCTGAGCCTGTTGCCATTGAGAATATGGGTGTGTTTTGTTTTGTTGCTTTGAACAAGAAGTGGACTTGTCATGTGATTATTTCATTGCAACATTTCCCCTCACAACTCTTGTCCATTGTCTTCTGGAATTTAACATTTTAGCAAAAAATAACGATGATTTTGTCCAGTGTGGGAGTGGGCTTCTGGATGCTTAAAGGTTTCTAGATGTCACTTCAGAAAGTAAGTAGTTCTCTCTGCCATCTCTTCACGTACTCACATCTTTTCATCACTTTTAGCTGCCCACCTCTCCTCATGGGTATTTAGAAGTCTGTCTGCAGCCGCATAAACCTTGCAGTCATGCTTCCTCTGCTGTGTTTGTTTCCTGTTCTCATAGGAACGATGGTCACGTACTGCACCCCCGTTGCTCACATGCCGAGGTAGAGCCTCAGGTCTACGCACTCTGCCCTGCTGGTTCTTGTGAACAGGTTAACCTCTCATTCTAACTTTGGTCCTGTTGCACTCTGATGTGCTCGCCCCTCAAGGAACAGTTGGCTGGGTACCACGTGTCAGCATTGCTCTCGGTACCATGAACAAAACAGAAAAGCGATTCCCGTTTTACTCTAGTGGGAGGGGGCTAGTAATAGGAAACTCATCATGTGTGTAGGGTGTGGAAAGTCTACGGAGAAAACCAGGGCAAGCACAGGGAGAGTTGGGGAATGTGGGCTTATAACTGGAGTGGCCAGGGACAGCCTTTTTGAGAAGTTGGTGTATAAGGGCCTGAGGAGCCCAGAGAACAGTCTGTGCAAATGTCCTGTGGTGAGAGCTGACTAGGACAGGGAGCCATAGTCATCTGTCTGAAAAGCCCAGTCTTGTCCGAGGGAGATACTGGGAGCCCAGCTAGGACAGGTTGGAGGAGAGTGGGTGGTGGGTGAGGGTACTGGGGGTCAGCTCTTTCTGGAAGTTTGACACTGCAAGAGAGGGGAGGTACAGCATGGTAGCTTGCAAGAGCAATGGGACAAGGGCAGGTGTTTTAAGGGGCGATGAGAGAGATCTGTCTAATGGGGAGGGAACAGAGTCGCCAATGAGGCAGGAAGACGTGGCTGAAGAGCTGGTGTCACGGGGAGGTGAGAGCAAGTGGCCAGGCAAGCAGTCGGCTTTACTGGGAGTCCAGCCAACATGTCCATGGCAACAGGAGGCCGCAGGGTAGACGGCACAGATGCAGGTCGGGGGTGGTGTAGGGTCAGGGCAGTGACTGTCCTCGGTGAAGCAGGAAGCAGGGTCACCAGCCGAGCAAGGGTGGGGGGCAGGCATTGGATGTTTGAGGGGCGTGGTGAGAAGCGAGCGAGATAGATCAGGGAACTAAGCAGGCAGCGCGGAGGCTAAGGACACCCTGGGGGTGGGGCCACGCTCTGTCACTCACACGTGTAGTGCAGGGGAGCCAGGCAAGGGTGCTGGAGACAGAGGGGCCCGGGAGCTGAGGAGCTGTGAGGAGAGGTGATCGGGGTGAGCACGAGGCAGGTGGCCCACAGATGCCAGATCCTGGTGCAGCGGGGGCTGTGGGAATGAGGTGCCCCCCGTATCCTGTGATCTGCTGGGATACAGGACCCAGCATCGGGTGGCACTCATGGCTGCGGTTGACTAGAGCTGAACAATGCAGAGTGGGGGCATTCGGTTAGGGGGTGATGGGAATGCCCCTCCAGATCCCTGCTGCCAGCTGAGCCCCAGTCGTGCATGCAGGCCTTTCTGGGGTCACTGTGCTCCCTTCTTCCTGCACAGAGCCTGCCGTACAGGAGGCCCTGAGGTGTCTGGGTGGGGCCCCCAGCCCCTGGTCACCCAGAGCAAGAGGTCAGGGCAAGGTCAGAACCCTGATTGGCCAGGGGCATGTTGGCGGTCAGTGCTGAGTGCAGAGGGGCCGGAGGAGCCATGAGGCCAAGCACTGTACCTCGAGCCATACCAGGAGGGCAGCCTGTCCCGTTGGAGGGGCTGGTGAGCTGGGAATGCACCATGAGGGGGCACGGAGCATCCCTTCCCCATCTGCAGGCCCCTACTTGCTAGCTGACATCCTGCTCCCACGGGCAGCAAGGTGGCCGGTCCCTGATTCCCCGGTGGCTTGTATGGTCCAGTCGGGGAGTGTGGTGGGGGACCTGCAGTGGGGCCTCAGCTGGTGTCCTAAGGACTTTGCCTTTCCCTACATGAGGGGGGACGTCCCTGGAGGGTTTTGAAGAGTGATGCAGCAAGTTCACCTCCTATCAGTCCAGGTCTGGCCTGGCGGGGGCGGCCTGGCAGGGTGGGGCAGGGTGAGGCTGGGGACAGCGAGGCGTGCTTGGCTCCTGGTATATTTTGGTATTGGCGGGAGAAGTGACAGGATGTGCTGGTGGACCAGACGTGGGGTGAGGACGCCTGGCCAACCCAAGCAACCGAAAGGATGGGCCGGCCTTTAGTGGGGTGTGGGGTCAGGGCCCAGTGTTGGGAGTGTTGGCTCTGACACATCTTCCAGACACCCCCGTGGAGGTGCATGGTAGTAGGCAGTTACACGGGGCCCTGGAGTCTAGCCGTGAGTCACACGCCTGAATCTGGAAGTCCCCAGGTGACACAATGCCCTTTAAAGCTGCGAGACCAGCTGGGACCAGCACGGGACTGAACATGGACAGAGAAGGGAAGGGTTCGGGGTTCCTGAACAAGAGAGCCACAGACGAGGCGGGGCAGCCAGCGGTGGGAGTGACACTAAGAGTAGAGGCCCCTGGAGGCAGGCAGAGAGGCTGTTCTGGGGCTGCTGGGGCTTGTGCTCAGGTATAGGGGGGCCTTGGGGCTGGCCACGGGGCTAGGGGACTCTACAGGAGGGGCCAGGGCAGGAACCTGGTGGCAATGGCTGGAGAGAAAGCAGGAGGGGAATGGACATGTCCCGGAGAGATTTGGCTTGGGGGGCACGGGGGCATGGGACAGGAGGATGGGGGCCTGGGGCATACTTAGGTCCCAGGAGTGGGAGGGCTGGGGTGGTGGAGTTTGTGAACATGCCTGCTAGCTGACCATCCCAGTCCATGGGCACCACAGCAGGACAACTCAGAGCCTGGCTCTGGGGGTGCAGCTGGCTGTCCACCCCATCATGGGGTTCCTGGTGAGGCCCCCCCTTTTCCTGGCCTGCAGACGTGCCTTGTCCCAGTGCCCTCCCTCGGCAGATGTGGAGAGCCCTGGGGTCTCCTCTTCTAGTGAGGACGCCAGGCCTATGGGATCAGGGCCCCACCCCAGTGACCTCAGTTAGCCCTATGACCTCCTGAAGACCTACCTCCAAGCAGTTGCCTTGGGGGTTGGGGCTTCAAAATGTGAATTTGGGGGACACACGGACATTCGGCCCAGGACATGACTCCTTCAGCGCAGCTGTCCTTTGAGTCCAGCCAGCACACCACCTGGGGCTGACATCTGAGCAGAAGTCTATCCATCTTTCATGCATACACGTGGCCTGCCATCTCCGAGGCGGCCACCTCCCTTCTGGACTTCCGTGCCAAGACAGAGCAGGCAGGAGCCCTGCCCCAAGTGGGTCTCCTAGCTGACCAGGGTGCCGCACCTGTCTGTCCCCGACACCATCAGCTCCTGATGCATCTGAGTGACAGGAGGAGGCCTGTGGTAGAACGGAGACATCGTCTCTCTGGCCGGTAGATCGCTGTCTCCCGGAGCTGCCCTTCCCAACAGGACGGAGCGGTGGGGCGCCCACCCCGGGGTGCAGGAGAGGGGCTCCCGCTCAAGGCAGCAACCAGGTGTTCTCTGCCCCTCTGTTGGTGCCCTGGGGCTCTTAGACCCAAGGCCTTGCTCCCTGGCAGGAGCCTGAAGGAACGAGAGGTTAGTCTTTCTCTTGAACGGAAGGCTGGTTGTGTGCGTGGAGGTTGGATGGGGCCCATGCTGTCGGGGCAGGTGCATCTTCAGCCAGACCAGGCGTAGGACAGCCTGGTGGAGTGAGCAGGTGTTTTGCCGCTGGTGTGGAAGTGTGATCTTGGGAGCAGTGACACATGTGCCTGGCGACACCAGCAGAGGCCAGGCCCTGGAAGGCCAACACCGAGGAGGTTCAGGGGTGAAGGCCAAGGTTGGGAGTCACCCCATGGGGGCCAGGGCTTGGGATGTGAGTGGAGACCTGCCGTCACTCAGAGGTCCAGAGAGAGAACACGGTGGGTGGAGAGGGATGCGTCCCCTGGAGGGTGTGTGTAATGAGTGACCAGGAGTTGGCGGCTCAAGGGCACCGTGCCCGCTGGCAGGTCGGTAGGATATGAGTTCGCTACGAATCTCACTGGCTGAACTCCAGGTGTCGACAGTGCTGGCTCCTTCTGGAGGCGCCACATCCCTCGGCTCGGGACAAAGCCAGTGGGGCCACATCTGCGCCCCTCCCCTGCTCCCGGCTTCTCTGGCTCTGGCCCCCTGCCTCCCTGCTGTACCTCTAAGGATGCTTGTGACTGCATCAGGGGCCCACCTGAGGTCCAGGATAAAAACCTCACCTTGACGACCTTAGCTTAATCACATCCACAAAATCCCTTTTGCCCTCAGAGTCACGTGTTCACAGGTTCTGGGCAGAGGCTGTGGTATGTTTGGGGCCACTCTCTGCCCACCACAGGACGTCTCTGGGAGGGGGAGTCAGCAGGCCCGGAGAGGTGGCCCTGCTGCTGCTGACTCAGCATCCACGTGCTCGGAAGTCCGGCCCCCCCTCCTAGGGACCCCACACCTCGGCCCCACATTCTGCTGTCCCCAGCCCGCCCTGCAGACACGCCGCTCCCAGCTGGATGCGGGTCCTTCCCAGATCTGTGTGCTGGTCTCATTGCCTTCTCAGGCATGCTGAGTACCTGCCCTTGGTCCTCAGCCTCTGCCTCTTTGCGGACGGCTCCAGTGTGCCAGGCTTCTCCGAAACCCTCCAGCTTGCCAAGCTCTGGCTCCACACTCTGAGGACTGGGGACTGGGCCGCAGGCAGGATCTGTAGCCCTGGGCTCAGCCTCGTTGAAACCACATGCTCTTTCCCTGCAGTCTCCTGGGCTACCTGACCAAGTACGACTGCTCCAGTGCAGACATCAACCCCATAGGAGGGATCAGCAAGACGGACCTCAAGGCCTTCGTCCACTTCTGCATGGAACAGTTCCAGCTTCCTGCCCTGCAGCGGTGAGTGCTGCCCGCCAGCCCGTGGCTGCACCCTCATAGCCCCTGCCACAGCTCCCTTCTGGCTGATGAAAACCATCCTGCCCTTTAGCGGGCACGTGGGGTCCTGTGACCAGGCTGCCCCCTTCATGCCGGGGCTCCACCAGGCCCCCCAGGAACATTGGGCGACATCTCACAGCAGAGTGTGCTCAGCACCTCTCAGGTAGGTGCTCTTGGTGGCCCACATGTCCAGGATGGTAGATGCTCCCGGGTGACCCACACGCCCAGGATGGTAGGTGCTCCTGGGTGTCCTGCATGCCCAGGATGGCCCCACAGAATGCACCACCGGCCCTGAATGTGAGTGCACCGGCCCTGAATGTGAGTGGTGCTTCAGTGGAAAAGCCCCATGTGGTGGCTCCCGGCCATCACCTCCTGCCCCTGGTCCTGAAGCCCCCCGGACATCCAGGTCCCTCTCCCCAAGAAAGCCCAGCACCGCTAGCCCTGGCTCGGCAGTGCTGACAGAAGTGTGTTGACAGGGGCATTGCTGGAGACTGGGACAGTTGGGTTGGGGATTTTCTCCCCAGGCTCATGGGCACTGTGGCAGCCATCATGACTGGCCTCTGTGTGTCTTGGCCACAGCATCCTGGCAGCACCGGCCACCGCAGAGCTGGAGCCCTTGACCTACGGACAGGTGTCCCAGACTGACGAGGTAGTGGTGGTGGCTTCGTCACCGTACTTCTTCCCCATCCCCTCCTTGTCGTGTCTGTGCTGGGCTCTCCCACTGCTTCCTTTCTGTCCCGAGCACCTGTGCTCTATCTCCAGGCTCCTGGCCGGGGACCCCAGGGCTCAGTGCCAGTCACAATGCTTTGACATTTCAATTCAGCCTTCTTGAGGCTGATGCCTAGGAGGCGGGGTGAGTGGGGCAAGTCCCTTGCAGGTGGCAGGGGTGTGGCCTCAGAAGAATCGCTCTTGATTCCCCCATCCCATCCCACATTGGCCTACAGCACTGAGGGCTGCTCGGGACCATAGGCTGTGGTGTGCAGCTCTGTGGACGAGGTGGGGTGGCCGTGAGCTGTTGCAGTCTGTGACAGCTGACCTTCCTGCTGCAGCTCCTTTGGTCACAGAGGTTTACCTGTGCTCTTTACAGGAGTATATAGTTTTACTCTTATATTTAAGTCTGACCTGGTTGAGTTAGTTGTGGTGTATGATGTGAGGAAGGGATCTAGCCTCGTCCTCTTGCATGCAGAGAAACGGATGGCTCAGCACCATTTTGTCAAAGAGGCAATTCTTTCTCCCACTGAGCGTCTTGGTATCCTAGTGGGAATCACCTGGCTGTAGGTGTGTAGATCCTCTCCTGGACTCTGTCCCGCTGACCCGTGTGTCTGACCCTGTGTCTGTGCCTCACTACCTTGGTCACCACAGCCTGGTAGTAAGTTTGGATATCGACAAATGTGACTCTTCCAACTTCATCATCCTTTCCAACATAATTTTGGCTGCGCTGGGCCCTCTGAATTTCCATATGAATTTTGAGACCAAGGAGTCATTTTCTGCTGCACCTGCACCGCCAGCTTGGATTTCCACAGCAGGTGCACTGAGTCCTTAGCTCAGATTGGCAGGTGTTGCCACCTGAGAGCATGAGGTATTCTGAGGCCTGGACATGGCGTGTCTTCCTCCCTCCTCACTCCAGGCTTCTTACCATCTTCCAGTGTTTTGTTGTTTTCAGGGTGTGAGCATGCACTTGTCTTGTGAATTTATTTCTAAGCGCAGACAATAATCTGCGTCCAACTGTAAATGGAACTCTTTTCTGAGTTTCCATTTGGGGTGGCTCGTTGGCAGTGTCTGGGAGCACTAGGCTTTCTGCAGCCCCTTCCTGTCCTCTCTTTTCCTGTCCTGCTGCGTGCTTGAGGGTTGGTTTGCACTTCTCCCCATGTGGCATAAGGTGGAAAGTGAGGTCTTCTTTCTGAATGCAGGGGTTCACAACTATGAATTCCTCCCTTACCGCCATGCCCCCTGCCCCACATTGTAGGCTGCATCTGCATCCTGCTTCTCCAGGCATGCTCTCCTTTTCCTTGTGGTTTCTCCTTCACCCATTGGTTACTCAAGAGTCTGCAGTTTGATTCTCACACATTTCTAAGTTTCTGAAATTTCTGTCTGTTACTGAATTTGTAATCCTGGTCCTTGATGGTTGGAGAGCAGATGCTATCAGTGTTTAAAACTTCACAGGGGCCAGTTTCATGGCCCAGCAGTTGGTCTGTCCTGCGCAACGTTCTGGGTGCCTCGAGGAGAATGTGCACTCTGTAGGTGTGGGCAGAAGTTCTAGAGAGATGTGTTACATCTAGTTGGTTTGTACGGTTCGCGTTTTCCATCCCCTTGTTGGGGGGATGCATTGTTGAAAGTGGGGTATTAAAGCCTCCAAGTATTATTGTTGAATATAAGGAATCAAGATGTCACCCTGGAAAATATCCACCTCATGCAGAAGAAAGCATGAAGGAGGTCCGAGGCAGGACCCGCTAGGCACTGGGGCATGGCCATTTATGTGAGTCCCAGGGACAAACAAGTGGGAAGTAACCATGAGGTCCCCAGGTGGCTCAGAGTGCTCAGGTGACCTGATGATGGCAGTGTCCCTCCGATAGGGGTCAGGACAGGCCTCCTCAAGCTGAGGAGTAAAGCAGGGAAGGCCAGGGTGAGCAGTGGGGAGCAGGAGGGAGGGCCTGGTCACTGGTCACAGGGGGTCCTGCAGACCCTGGTTGGAGGTGAGGGCTGTCCTATTGTGCCACAAAATGCCAGTGTCACCATCTGTCTCTCTCATTAGGCTCTGACTATATATATATTCCAGGGCACAGCAGGAGTTGAGCAGGGGTTAGACCAAACACTAGAAATGCACAAAGGGCTGGCTCGTGGGAGCCTCAGTGTGAGGCTGGCATCCTGTGGCCAGCATGGCTCAGGTGCCTGTGCTGAGCTGTCCACCCTTGAAGATAGCGGGCTCCCTGGGGCAGGGCACAGGGCCAGTCTGAGGGGGTGTCTCCTGGGACTGCCAGAGCCAGACACTACTGGCCAGCAGCTTAAATGAGAGAACCGTACCCTGTCATCGTTCTGGAGGCTGGGAAGCCGAAATCAGGTCATCTGCAGGGCCACGCTTCCCCGGGGGGCTCCAGGAGAGGGTCCTTCATCTAGCTGCTGGGGCTTCCCTGGTCCGCGGCCACGTCCCCCTACCTCCCTTCATGCGGGTTCTCCTCCCCATGTGTTCCATTCTGTCTCATATAAAGGCACCCCACATCCAGGCCCATCTCATCTAAAGACCCTTGGCTTCGTTATATCTACAGAGATCTTTGTTTTCCCAAATAAGCCCACAGCTTGCAGGTTCTGGGCTTGGAACCTGGAGAGATATCCTGTCGGGTCCACATCGCAGTCCATCACAGCGCTTGAAGCCAGGCTGGTCCCTTTCTCCTGCTGCTGGCTCTATGTCGCCAGGCAGTGACGGGGAGCATGCCCTGGTCCCAAGGGGGGACCTGTCCCTCTCCCAGGTCTCAGGCCCCAGCAGCACTGGGGGCCACAAGCATCCTCCAGCGCCATCCCGCTGCCTCTCCTTCTGCAGGAAGACATGGGCATGACGTATGCGGAGCTCTCTGTCTACGGCAGGCTCCGGAAGATCGCCAAGGCCGGGCCCTACAGCATGTTCTGCAAGCTTGTCAACATGTGGAAAGACGTGTGTTCCCCAAGGCAGGTAGGACACGTGCGGGAGCCGGCAGGCACGGTCCCTTTATGGGGAGAGTTTGGCTGGGAGCGAGTCTGCATGACATGGCCTTGAACATGGCGCTCTGTCCCCCGTGACACTACCACCCAGTGGTCAGCTCCTCTGAGTGGGGCCTGGCACCTGTCACACTGGCCCTGCCCGCTGTCCAGCTCCAGTCAGGCCCACTGGGGCTCACCCGGTGGCCCCCAAAGAACCACCTGGAAGCCTCAGGTCTGCCACCACGGTGTCCCAAAGCACTGGGGTCAGGAACCCATGTGTGACAGCCCAGCCAACTGCCCTTGGGGAGGTTCACACACAGTGCAGCGGCGTACAGGTGAGAGCCCTGCCCTGGGTCCTGGCAGCTTCACCAGCTTCCAGCCCATGTGTTCCTTGCCCACCAGGTGGCTGACAGAGTGAGGCAGTTTTTCTTGAAATACGCCATGAACAGACACAAGATGACCACGCTCACGCCCGCCTACCACGCAGAGAGCTACAGCCCCGACGACAACAGGTTTGACCTGCGGCCGTTTCTGTACAACAGCAGCTGGCCTTGGCAGTTTCGGTGCATAGAAGATCAGGTGAGTTAGGCGCAAGTGGCTTTTTTCCACGTCCAGCATCTATCAGGGAATCACCGGCTCTCTTCCGTTGAGGACAAAAAGCTTTCCGTTCACGGCCATGTTTTTTACTGGCAATTTCTGCAAAGGGATGAGTGTGTTTAAAGCCTGTCAGCGGGACGTGTGTGTCTTTGTGCCGTGGTACTCACACAAGCAGCCATGTGGCTGCGGGGCCACCTGCTGTCGCTTCCAGACAACCTGTGTATCCAGACGGTGTTGCGTGTCTAAAGCACCTGCCTTGCCTTGCTTTTTCTCATAAATAATAGTAGGATGAAGGAAGGGTTAGTAAAATCAGTTTGAAGAGCAAGTCCAGGCCCTTCCCACCTTCCCTCTCCAGGGCCAAGCACTGGAGCCAGGGCACAGGGCACATGGGACGCGTCGTAATAGCCCGTGGGAGGGAAGGTGCCGGCAGGGAGCCCTCGGTACACTGGCCGTGCTGGGCTGTGATGAGCACAGCGTTGCACCAGTGAACATGGCAGGCCAGACGGATGCACTCTCTGGTAGCTGAGAGAGGCGTCTCTGTAGAGGACATGGATCTGGAGGACAGACACCGAGTCATACTGCGTATCCGGGTCACAGTTCTCGGGGTGAGGGCAGGTCACCTCAGGGTGACAGGGCAGGCCTGTCTGAGACGTTCCCCACTATGGCACCTCAGGTAGGGTCTGCACCTCTGGCATCTGGTGGGCAGAGGGCTGGGACGCTGCTGCACCTGCCATGCCCAGGCAGCCCAGGTCCAGACAAGGTATAAGTGAGAGGCGGGGCTCAGCTGGCCTACATGCACTCAGTGGTGGGTCCCCCCTCATCAGGAGTGGGGTTTGGAGGCCATGCAGCCAAATACAGACAGGTGCGGACCCCTCAGCAGGCCCACGCAGGCAGAGATACAACCTGCCATGGTCTCCTCGGACAGCCAGGATCGCCACGATGTACTGAGGCATGTCCTCCCAGACTTGTCCAGTGCACGTGCTTGTCATCCTTCCCACACCCTCGCACACGGTGGGGACTGCTTCCTGGGCTGCTTGTCCAGTCCCGTGACGTCCACTCTTATTTGGTGCAAACCAGTGTGTTTGGACTGTGTGGCTGTTAGCATCTGTCCATGGACATTCGTGTGACTTCCCATCTAGGTTCGTCAGCTGGAGAGCAGAGGCCGTCAGGACCTGGATGGTGTGGACTGACGCCAGCTCCTGCACTGGAGGGCCCCCCACCACCAGGGTCCCTGGTGTTACGTCGGCCTCGCCAGTAATCTGCCCAGAGAGTGCACCAGCATCCTGTTTCACATCTGATGGAAGTTCTAGTTCGTTAAAAAAGGCTCAAATAAAGAGCATGTGATTTCTGGGAGCGGAGTCGGTTTATGTGGTGGGGGTGAGGAGCCGCCTCTTCCATCTGCTCCTAAACCCCCTCAGTTCCCAGAATCCTCTCTCTGAGGCTAAGCCCCAGGGGACCGCAGCCTCCCTGGAGCAGAGTGAAGTTAAGAGGGGGGTGGCCACTCACACCCACAGGGTGGGATCTGTGCAGCTCCCTCTGCCCAGAGCCTTACCCGGAAAAGAAACTTGTAAACAGGAAAAGGAGTTTATTGACTAACATATGGAATGGTGCAGGGCTTGTGACGACTTCAGGTCTGGCTGGATCCAGGGTGTGCACATGTCCTTAGAAATTGATTCTTGCCCCCCGCTGCCCTGCTCAGCTCCCCTGCCTCTGCTGGCTTTCCTCATGCTCCACATTGGGGTGCTATGGCCCCAGCCTTGCAAACCCCCAGGTTTAAACCCAGCAGGAAATTAGGGCTTGTGTTTTCCTGCTGGGTCATAACGCCCATCCCTGAACCAGTTATCTATAGTGCAGGGGTCCCCCTAGGACCAGGAGGTGTGAGAGAAGCAGGAAGAGTGGATGGTGAGTGGCCAGACAGCCCACAGCCCTTCCGAACGTCCTGGTCCAGGCAGGGGTCTGGGCCTGCGAAGCCTCGCCTTCCCACAGTGACGGCAGGGCTGCTAATATGGATCAGGCTGCACTAAAGCCATGCCCCAAGCAGGGGGACTGATACATTTCTCTCCTTCCCCAAAGGCTGCCACCATGAGATGGTGTCCGTTCCTGGAACCCAGGACCCCCTGTGGACACAGGAGCAAAACAACCCCTTGTCCCTCTGCCCCCAGGAACAGGTTAGTGGCCTTCTAAGGAGGCGCAGAGAGCCCCTCGCCTGCCAACATGTGCGGACACAGCAGGAAGGCTGCAGCCTGGCCAGGGGTCCTCACCTGAGCATGCTGGCACCCCGACTTCCGGCTTCCCAGCCCCAGAACCATGACAGGTTCCTGGCATCCCCAAGACACCGATATGGTGCTTTTCCTAAAGCCAGGAAGCAGTTGACTCCTTGAGCAGAGTTCAGTCCTACCCCAGGAGGATGCAGAAGTAAAGACCCAGCAGTACTAGCTGCTCCTTGAGCAGACGGGCCCCGGGGGCACCTACGGCTGTGCTCCTCCTCCAAGGATGGTTCCCACGGAGTGGAGGCAAGCCTGTGGTGTGCACCCCTGGCAGCTCTCCTGACCCTGTTGGCCCGGCAGGCGGTGGTGGCAGGACAACATCCAGGAGATGTGAATGTGGGGTCTGGTAGCTGAGGTGGAAACCCTGATGTCACCCCACCACCCTCTAGATGACTGTCAGCAAGGGGGATGCCCTAGTGCAGACCTTGTCACCCCACAGGCATCCCAGGCAGGACGGCCACCTCACTGACACCCTGGGGAGGGAGTGAGCACACCACGTGACATCTTCAGGCCCCCCAGGTACAGGGCAGGGTCCCTCCAGTTATAGGGCAGTGTCCCCCCCCCAGTTATAGGCAGTGTCCCCTCGTTATAGGCAGTGTACCCCCAGCTACAGGGCAGTGTCCCTTCCTGTTATAGGCAGTATCCCTCTAGCTATGGGGCAGTGTCCCCTAGCTATGGGGCAGTGTCTCCCAGTTATAGGGCAGTGTCTCCCAGTTATAGGGCAGTGTCTCCCCAGCTATGGGGCAGTATCCCCCTAGGTATAAGGCAGTGTCTGCCAGCTATGGGGCAGTGTCCCCCCCCCAGGCACAAGGCGGTGTCCCCCCACTATGGATCAGTGTCCCCCCAGGTATAGGGCAGTGTCTCCCCAGTTATAGGCAGTGTCCCCCCAACTATAGTTGGTGACCCCCAGTTAGAGGGTTGTCACCAGAGCTCAGCGTGAGAAGCTGGGAGTTTCTCCCCGCAGCCAAAAGCATGTCTGTGAGGGGTCCTAGCCCTGCAGACATGCTGCACACAGGACCCAGCCTGCTTCCTCGGGGAGAGAACGAGGCCCCATGGTAAACACAGAGCTGGCTTCAGATCCCAGGGACCTCCTGGCATCCAGGAGACTGTCCTGAACACCGAGACCCCTTGAGCCTTTCTCCTCCCTGCTGGATGGTGCTGCAACCTTGGACAACAAAAGCAACGTGAGGCTTTATTGAAGCAGCCCCAACCCGTGACCGGCTTTATGTTGTCCTTCCAAACAGAACTCTGTCAACAAAAATTCATTTCACTGGAATTCTAAAGATAAAAATAGGGTTTTGGAAGACATTGCACCCAACAGGATGAATCCCTGAGAAGTCTAGGAAGAGACCTTGGAACATGCCAGAAAAATGGGCAAAGTCACTGGGCACCCCATTTCCAAGGGACCCACCTACACCCAGAAGAGTTTTGGCAGCATTACATATGCCAGATGCAAACCAACAGAATTTTAAGGCAAAAGTAGAAACCATCGACTCTGCATGGGTGACCACCGGCATGACTCTATCAGCCTCCTTGATGAGCCTTCCAAAGGATAAGTTGACGATAGGCTGAAAAGGCCCAAAGAGGTGCATTTCACATGGAAAGTCGGCTCCAGTGATTTATCCTCAGTTTCTATGTAAAGAGGCTGTGACAGGATTTATTCTGCAGGTGCTTGACTTGGAGGCGCTGCCTCTTGCTGCCCGGAAGGCGTGACTTCCGCCAGCTAATCACCCGCCCCACTTGGGAACTCGCCACCTGGCAGGGGGCCATCCCCACTGTTCGGCTGGATGGGTGCCTCTCCCTGGCTCTGGGTCCTCACCTGGGGCCCTCTGGAGACCCCCGCCAGGGGCTCCCCTGGCTGCCGCCTCCCACTGCCTCTGATGAAGAAGTAAATGGCAGGGTTCATAGTGCTGTTGATGGAAGACAGGAGAATGCAGATGTCGTCAAAGGTCTGGTTCCCCACTTCCGATACCAGGAACCTGATGATGCTGAGGGGTACGCCGCACAGAAAGAAGGCCAGGGTGGTGAACAGAATGACCATGCAGAGCTTTCTGGGCAGATGCAGCTGTGTGTTCTCCCGGACCCGGAGGAGTAACAGCAGGCTGGACGTGCCCATGACAGAGAAGAGGAAGAGAATCCACAGGTTGGTGATGGTGACAAGTGCAGGGCAGAAGCTAGTTGTCTGGATGGACAACTGACCGCAGGCATAGCCTCTCAGGATATTCATCAAAAAGTTCAGGAGCCAGAGGCAGACACTCACACAGGCTGGCAGGTGCTTAGGACAGTGGCACCGGTACCATATAGGGAAGAGGACAGAGAGACAGCGCTGGAAGCTGATGGCCGTCATGATACCCAGTCCAGTGAAATAGGAGAAGAACCTCAAGATCATCAATATACTGGGAAGCTGAAAGCAGGACCAGAGGAAAATTCTCAGGATCCGTCGCACACAGAACACAATTTGCAAACCCAGGTGCATGAAATCCGCCACAGCAAGACTGAGGGTGTAGACCCAGAAGGAGTTCTTCCTGATGGATGAATGGACAAGTTGGATTACGACCCCATTTCCCACCAACCCACAAAGGGCCACGACCACTGTGATGGACCGGAAGAGCACGTGGCCAGCAGTGTCCACCTTCAAGTTCATCCCTGTGATGTCATTGCTGGAATCATTGATGGCTTTGTGGTACTGGTCCATGCTGGGGAGGACTGGGCTCAGGAGGGTCAGGCCGTGCTCCCTTGGCCAGCAGGTCCTGCGCACCCCTGGGCAGGCAAAGACAAATGCAGAGTCTCAGGCAGGTAAGCAGGTGCCTCACGCCTCCTCCCTCCTCCCTCCCTTTGTCTCTGTCTTCCCCTTCCCTCTATCCTTCCCCCATACACACCCCTGGCCACAAATGTCCTGAGTGAGAGGCCTTCCTACTGTTCTTGGCTCTCCCTAGGGGAGAGAGCTGAGATAACCTCTCAGCTTCACCTTCATGGGCAGGGTCCCCGGAGCATCAGCATGGCTCACTCCCATCAGTTCACTGGGTGTTGCCACCAGATGAGTGTCCAAGCTGAATGCAGAGGCAGGGGCAGCGGGAGTTGGGGAGACCCAGTCTCTGCCCTCAAGGAACCTCACGTGACAACCATTTACAGGACAACGTGATAGTGTTCTGGGACTCATCTAGGAGAAAGATGGAGCCACCACTTAAATGATCTAAAGACAGTAGAAGTCGTCAGAAGAAGGGATGCATGACACAGAGAAACCACCCCAGGGGGATCCCTGGGTGGCGCAGCGGTTTGGCGCCTGCCTTTGGCCCAGGGTGCGATCCTGGAGACCCGGGATCGAATCCCACGTCAGGCTCCCGGTGCATGGAGCCTGCTTCTCCCTCTGCCTGTGTCTCTGCCTCTCTCTCTCTCTCTCTCTCTGTGACTATCATAAATAAATTTAAAAAAAATTTAAAAAAAAAAGAAACCACCCCAGGAAGGGCCCGAGGCATGAGTGAGCAAGTCCCCCAGGATGTAAGGGAAAAGACAGTGGGTGGTGTAAGGGTGGGTGGAGACATCTGGTCTACCTCATTCCTTGGGTGCAGATGGTGAGTTGTGTGAGCCCCTGGGGGGTCTCATGCACTGCCTCTCCTCCAGTACCACCCATGTGCTGATGACCCCAAAAAGACAGCCAGCCCCCCAAACGTGCTCTGTGGGCTCTACGGGCTGTGAATTTGAGTATCCCAGGAGCTGTGGTAGACAGAAGATGGGCTCCTCCCAGAGACACCCATGACCTGATCCCCAGAATCTGTGACTGTTAGGTTGGCAAGAGGGAATGAAGGTGACAACGAGGTGACAAACACACATGGTTTGAGGCAGCTAAATTTGTTGGGAACATGCTTCAGGGCAGTCGGAACCCTCATGGTGACCCATTCTGCCACTGGAGGGCTCAGGCTCCTGCAATTTGGGGCTGTTTGTAGCACGTCCAGGTAAAATGTCCAGATGGCTGCTGGACACATAGGCTGGGATTTGGGAAGAGTCATCCGGAGGCATGGGTTTGGCCAACATCATGATGTGAGGGTTGGCCGACACCTCTGAAGAGGGTGATACCTATCACAGA